TACAGCGGTCCTCCATCATAAAAAGCGTGAAGACAGGACAAATAACTCCCCCCCCCAAAAAAAACCTAGGTCTCCCCCAACAAGCGTTTGAGACTAGCTCCCCTAAATATAAAAGATGGATCAAACTGGTGTACCTGCTCCATGACTGCAGTCATGGGATTGTTGTTTCACATGACGGTGTATGTTTTGACTCCACAGAGTAGAAAGTGACGGAGACGGGATATTTGTGTTACTGTGTTCCATGAAGTGGGACTATTGTCCTTTGTCCTTTTTCTCTTTGCTGTCTGATGCTAGAGAGAGAGGGAGCCATGCTGGAGTGCTCTGTGTGTGTTTATATGCAAATAAAGTAGATTAGCCAAAATTCTGAGTTGCTGAGCTCTGTTACACAAACTGCAAACACTCTGCGGATCCCTAAGTGTGCCGATGTCTGTTGGCATCAGTCGCTGTGATATTCGGGCAGAAGAAAGCTTTTGACACTCCCGAATGAAAGACCAGGAGGGTGAGAATTTGCCAGTTGGGCATGTGTCTCTGCCAGGGTCCTACTTGAGTGTAGGACGAGCTCCTGACAGTACCAACCTCCCCACTGCACCAAGGATTCCCTGCCCGAGCTGCTTCAGGTCGTGGCAGATGTTCTCCTGGAGACACCTAGTTTGGTTGTCCTAGGGCAGGGGTCTGCAACCTTTAAGACCAAAAGAGCCACTTGGACCCGTTTCCGAAGAAAAAAAAACTGGGAGCCGCAAAACTCGTCATTATAAAAATAACTTTTTGTCACTTTTTTATTATTTCTTTGTTTGACCCCTCAGAATTACTCCTCCTCATAGAAATAAACGTTAAATTAACAAGTTACCTTTTTGTGTGTGTGTGTAATTCACTCCCCTTCAAAACAGTGACCAGTGTACATGCCCCTTACAATGTAGCGGGCGGGCGGGAAGGTGACGTCGGGATGGTGCATGACTAACGCACACACTGCCCCCATGCGACGTCACAGCCAGTACAGCGCCCGCCACAGTGGGGAGTGTCGGGGCGCACAATGCACCTCCTCCCCTCGCTAGTATCCGCCCCGGAGCCGCAGCAAAGGTGTAAAAGAGCCACATGCGACTCCGGAGCCGCGGGTTGCCGACCCCTGTCCTAGGGGATTTTAAAATCCATGCCAACACGACCTTACAAGGGGCTACTTGGGACTTTGTGGAAAGCATGGCCTCCATGGGGCTGTTCCTGAATGAGTTTGGTCCAACTCATAGTCGCGGACATGCCTTAGACCTGGTGTTCACCTCTAGTAACAAGGGTGATCTGACATTAAGTAAAAGTGAAACAAAAGAAGTGCCATGGTCAGATCACTTCCAGGTGCAACTGGACTTCTCCATGACCCTTCCCTTCTGCAGGGAGGTGGGACCAATTTGGATGGTCTGCCCCCGCCACTTAATTGATTCAAATGGTTTCCAGAGAGTGGTAGTGGATGCTTTATCCCATTTTGATGGCCTTTCAACTGATTACCTGGTGGCCTGCTGAGCCAGTGCTATTGACTGTCTGGCTCCGAAGCGCCCTCTCTGATTGCATGAAGCCTGGACAGCCCCGTGGTTTTCCCAGAAGCTGAGGGCAATGAAACAATTTTTGGGACGGCTAGAGCGCCGGTGGCGGAAAACTCATTCTGAATCAGATCAGACACGGATTAGAGCTCAACGTCATAGAATCATAGAATAGAATCATAGAGTTGGAAGAGACCACAAGGGCCATCGAGTCCAACCCCCTGCCAAGCAGGAAACACCATCAGAGCACTCCTGACATATGGTTGTCAAGCCTCTGCTTAAAGACCTCCAAAGAAGGAGACTCCACCACACTCCTTGGCAGCAAATTCCACTGTCGAACAGCTCTTACTGTCAGGAGGTTCTTCCTAATGTTTAGGTGGAATTTTCTTTCTTGTCGAGCCTACCAAGTGGTGATAGCAACGGCGAAGAGGACTTTCTTCACCGCCTCTATGGCATCTGCAGAAAATAGCAGCAGGAGACTCTTTCAGGTGGTTCGCAATTTAACAGAATCACCTTTGACATCGGGGCCTGGTAAAGACCCCAAGATCTCCTGCAACGATTTTGCAAAGTTTTTTGCAGATAAAGTCTCTCAGATTCGGAAAGAGGTGGATTCCACCGTGGGAGCAGGGCAGGGGCGGGAGACTGCTAAGAGTCCTGTCTAGTCGAGTTGCATGGGATCAATTCCAATCTGTTACCTCTGAGGATGTGGACAGGCTGCTTAGATGAGTGAAACCAACCACCTGATCTCCTTGACCCTTGCCCATCCTGGCTAGTAAAAGTGAGCTGGGAAGGGCTGAGCAGTGGGCTCTGCGGGGTGGTGAATGCTTCCCTTTATGAGGGAGCCTTCCCAGACTTGCTGAAAGAGGCGGTCATTAAACCTTAAATTCTTCAACATCTTTAGACCTGGCCAATATGGCCAACTATTGCCCGGTCTCACAATCTTCCATACTTGTGTAAGGTGATTGAGCTGGTGGTTGCTGAGCAACTCCAGGCATGTCTGAAGGATGCAGACCATTTGGATCCCTTCCAGTCTCACCATGGGGCTGAAACTGCCTTGGTCATTCTGGTCGATGATCTCCGGCGGGCTGGGGACAAAGGTGAAAGCTGTTTCCTAGTTCTGCTGGATCTCTCAGTGGCGTTTGATACCATCAACCATGACATCCTTCTAGACTGTCTAGAGAAGCTGGGGGCACTGTTATACAGTGGTTCCGCTCCTCCCTCCTGGGCCGTGTCCAGAAAGTGGTGTGGGGGATGAGTGTTCGGACCCCTGGGCTCTCACTTGGGTGCCTCAGAGTTCTGTCCTCTCCCCCATGCTTTTCAACATCTACATGCAGCTGCTGGGAGAGATCATCAGTGGGGTTGGGGATGATACCCAGCTCTACCTCTCTTTCAAATTGGAACCAGTGAAGGCGGTGAAGGTCCTGTGTGAGTGTCTGGGGGCGGTTGGAGGATGGATGGCGGCTAACAGATTGAGGTTGCATCCTGACAAGACAGAAGTACTGTTTTGGGGGGATGGGGTGGTCAGGTGTGGAGGACTCCTTGGTCCTGAATGGGGTAACTGTGCCCCTGAAGGAGCAGGTGCGCAGCCTGAGAGTCATTTTGGACTCACAGCTGTCCATGGAGGCGCAGGTCAATTCTGTATCCAGGGCAGCTGTCTACCAGCACCATCTGATATGCAGGCTGAGACCCTCCCTACCTGCGGACTGTCTCGCCAGAATGGTGCATGCTCTAGTTATCTCCTGCTTGGATTACTGCAATGCACTCTACGTGGGGCTACCTTTGAAGGTGACCTGGAAACTACAACTAATCCATTATGTGGCAGCTAGACTGGTGACTGGGAGTGGCCACCGAGACAACACAACACCGGTCTTGAAAGACCTACATTGTCTCCCATTACGTTTCCGAGCACAATTCCAAGTGTTGGTGCTGACCTTTAAAGCCCTAAACAGCCTCGGCCCAGTATACCTGAAGGAGCGTCTCCACCCCCATCGTTCTGCCTGGACACTGAGGTCCAGCTCCAAGGGCCTTCTGGCAGCTCCCTCACTGCGAGAAGCAAAGTTACAGGGAGCCAGGCAGAGGGCCTTCTCAGTAGTGGCGCTTGCCCTGTGGAACACCTTCCCATCAAATGTCAAAGAAATAAACAACTATGTGACATTTAGAAGACAATTGAAGGCAGCCCTGTTTAGGGAAGTTTTAAATGACTGATGTCTTGATGTATTTCTAATCATTTGCTGGAAGCCGCCCAGATGGGCAGGGTAGAAATTTGTTGTTGTTGTTGTTGTTCATTTCCACAACCTCTCCTGAATCTGATGAAAATAAGAAATGGAACTGAGTGTCATCAGCACTGTACTGATACATTATTCCAGATTCTAAGATGACTCAAGTAGTTGTGGGTGGGTGCTAAAGTGGAGAGACCCCACAGGAGCTCATACCATGGGTGGGGGGGGGCAGGCTGTAGTCTCCCAGCACCCTCTCCAAGTATCAGCTAGCCAAGAATGAACAGAACCACTTCCTTATGGCGCTTTCAGCTCCCAGTCTGGACATGGACATGTTTAGGGGAGCGTGATTGGAAGCACAGGGGGTGCCACAAGTATGATGGTGAATGGAAGGGAGGGAGGTGCTGAATTTTGGCATCGCACAAGATGCTGCTGAAATTTGACCACAAGGTCCACCACTGCTGGACATCACATCCAGAAGGAAACTCATCGAAAGCTCCTGAGGTCCAGGTAAATCAAGAAATTTCCTTTCTCCGGTACTGCCAGCAGATATCATGGGTAGCCAAGGCACTTTGTGGCAAAACCAGACCAAAAGCACCAGGGCTGCTTAAGACATTTTTGCTGCATGAGGTGAACCAGAAAACACCCCTCCTGTCCCACTGCCATGCAACCTGACTAGGACCAAGTGATAAGTGACCAAGGTTTTATCTGAAATTTTCTCTCTCTACTGGGTAAGGCTGTTAGGATTGCAGCCCAGACCTCCCAACATCTGCATCTGCCTGAACTAAAGAGTGGTTGTGAACATGTGTAATAGTCCTCCTCAATGTCAGCTGAGAGCTGCCAGGTAAAACTCTGCAGTTGCACTCATAAAAAGACCTGTAGCAGCAGCCCAGTGCATGGAGCTGGTGGCCGAGTCATCAGGAAAGAAGGCTGCAATCCTGGGTGCAAGAGGGTGTTGGCAAGCAGCAGGGAGAGAGAAGGGCTGTGGAACCGGCAGGCGGTTTTGCCGGGACTCGGAGCGGCTAGAGCCATCCCTCTGTCTTCTCCCACTGCAGCGGCTGCCTCACCAAGTCTTGGGACAGCTCTGGTCCTGTGATGCCCAATTGACATCCAGCTCAGTAGCTATCTGGAGCTGTGTTAAATCCATTAGCTCCCGCAGGAAATAGAACTGAGGTAACTCTTTAATTTAGCGGCTCCTAGAAAAGGTTCAGGGACTGGCCCAGGCCCATCTCGCACTGCGAGCAAAGATGCAACTTGTCCGTTTCCATCATAAGCAAACTTCATTCACTTTAAAAAAAAGTTTTATTGGGAATTCAAATAATACAAAGAAAACATGGTTCATGTCTTTCAATAAATTTAAGCAAAGCCAACTTTCATTCCCTCCATCCCTTAGAGCCCTTCTTAACAGCATACAGACTATAGTAAGGACTCTTTAATCCTTTCACAATTAGTTGTTGTGTGCATTACATGTAAACTGGTGTTACCTGTTCCAGGTAAGCAACAGTCACAAGAAGTCTTGCAGAAGGTGACTTGAGATACACACCAGAAAACAGCCTAAGGGCTGATGGGGCTGGCTTTGAGTTCAGAAGATGGAAATGAGTAGCTGAAGAGTCAAATGTTGCCGGGGCTAAGGGAGCCTTGCTCTCTCTCCCCTTTCCCCAGTAATTCAGCATAATTACATTTTCAAATAATATATCTCAAGGCCGTACTTCTCTGGAGCAAGGAAAGCATTGCCTTACATTCTACACCCTGATTTACAGCAACATACACAGGAGAATGCTAGAAGCAGCTGAGCCTCAGCCAGCCAGCCTCACAGAGTCAGACGAGTGCAGCTTCGGATGAAGCCACATTTAGAGCACTCCTTTTTCCCCCAGATAGCAGCATTTATAGCAGTAGTTTATTTTTAGTATAGTATTGCACTTTTGGCTGGATCATTTCCAGGCAAATTGCAGCCTGATCCCTAGCAGCAGTCACTCCAGAGCACACACAGGCAGTGGTCGGGAGCAGCTTGGTGCCGCACCCTGAAGGAGATGGAGTTGGCAAGTCAGGCAGTGGTTGGGTTCCAGGACAAATCCTAAAAGTCAGGGCTTGCTGGACCATGAAGAGCTGCCGGTCTGGGGCAGGGTCATTTTCTGATGCCTGGGTTTGGGTGACGAACTGTAATTGAATTTCGTTTTCTTCCACCTGCTTCTGGGCACTTGAGCTGCTAGGTTTCCTTCTTCGCTCATGCAAGAACATGGTCACAGGATGGAAGAGGCTGGGGGGAGATCCCCTAGAGAGGATAGTGCACAAAGCAGAGGTCTAAGAACGGGGTTAACTCCCTCCCTCTCATCCTGCTGCTTAACCCTACCCTACCATGCAGTGGGGACAAGGAGCTCTGAGGGCTCTAAAGGGCAGGAGTGGTACACTGGTGCCATGGGACAATATCTTTTGCAACACCAACTTTGAATTGAAATCCATGGCTGCAAATGGTGGGGAGTAAACACAACCCACTGCAGACTACAAAACTGGCTTGGGGGCCCCTATATTCTGGGTACAAGGCTGCTTAGCCCACATGAAAGCCAGGGACCAGCACTATCTCAGCGGGTGTGGAGAGCGGAACAGGACCTCCTCCCTCTCTAAGCTGGTGATAGTCTGGATTTGAAAGGCAATAAGGCATTTGTGCAGCAGGTTGGAGGTTAAAGGCGCTCCCCGACAGTCTGGAGAAGAGGCAGCGTTTCTCTTCCTTGGAGTAGCAGAAAAAGAAGCAGCACACGAGTGACAACCTGGTCTTAGGACTTTCTCAGCTGCTGCTTCCTCACAGTTCTTTCCCAGCTTCTATGATTATCTTGGAGAATTTGCTGGCCTAGAGCAGGCAGGGAGGGTGGTAAACTGAACAAAAGCCCTTGAAAGTAGGAAAAAGTCTGAGTGTTTCTCTCCCCATTATGGGGATGCCTTTTTTCAAGAACATGAGCCTGGGGGTGGTGACCCTGTGACCCAGGGGCCAACACCTGTGTGGGTAGTTAAGAAGTGTGAAAGGGTTTGTAGCCTTGCACAAGAAAGAGGGACAGCAGTGGAGTAAGGCCTTCGGAGCAAGCCCTGTGGTGCTCAACAGCAACGCCACCACGACTTGTAGGCCAAGTGAACTCTGGCCTAGCCAGGCCTGCATTCCTCTGTGGCCTCCTGGCTCACCTGTATCATTGTGCAGGTAAGTGGGCTTGGACTTACCTCCAGGTTCATCCTTGCTTTCCTCAGCACATCGTATGTCCTTGTCACTGTAAGCAAAGTAACAATCAGGCTTGTCTCTGAACATTTCCTCCCTGACCCCTTCATTGCTTTTCCTTCATTGCCCAGGCAACTTGTGAGATTTCCCTTCGTGCAGTAGAGGGCAGTGGGGGGCCAGCCAGCTATGCAGAGGCCCAATATGCCTTACTGCTGCACAGGACAGTAGCCAGCCCACTGCTAGGATACAGCCCCAAGTCAAAGAAAACAATGTCTGTTACATGTAATAACAATAGCTTATGCTGTGGGGCTGGGAAGACTTTATCAAACATACCATTAGAACTAGGCAGGCATTTGAGTCAAGGCACTCCCTGAGCACCTCTGCTCCGATTACTGGGAACAGAATTGAGGCCGGCACACAGCCCAGGAGCAGGCGCCTCTGCTCCCTCTGCCTCATGACAAGCACCCAGATGTGGGAGGCCGTGGAGGAAAAGGCCCTCCAGACTTCTTGAGTCTTTGATTGTAATTTCCTGAAACCCCCCAAGTACTTCTGAGGCAAAAAGGAGGGCAATCACCCATTCCTATTTTTAATTACAAGGATGTAAACTTGTAGTGTAAACTTGTAGTTTTCTTCCTCTCCACTCCCTTCCTGCCCCAAAACATGACCCAGCGTTGTTTTCTGGTTGCTGTGGATTCAGCTGCAAAGAGGGCAGGAGGACCCTAAGTCTTGCCCGCTCTGGATCTGTAGGCTGGATGAATGCCTTGAGGACTGCACAGCCAAGCCACCCACCCCTGCCCAACCAACCACCTCACAGCTGGGAGGCAGCTCACAGTGGCTAAGGAGGACGCTCTCCATGCTCTCCTTCCCATGGCCGGCAGTCCGCAGGCGACTCTCTGGTTCAGCTAGTCTGGCTCTGAGCTCCTGGATCTCCTCCTTCCGAGATGGCTCCTGAGAAAGAAGCTGGTTATTATTTTCTATGGCATCTCCAAAAGTGACGCAGTCCAACCATGAAACAGAACGAGGCTATGGACTCCTGCAGGTAAAAGAATGTGCTGCACCTCTTCAAGCAACATATGAGTAAAAGACATTTTATAATTCTTCACTTTTCAAAAGTAAAACAGCATTGTAGTTCATGCGTTGGTAACCTCTAGGACAGACTACTGCAATGCGCTCTCTGTGGGGCTGCCCTTGGGTCTGGTTTGGAAGCTCCAGCTGGGGCAGAATGTGGGAGCCAGACTGTTGGCGGAAGCTTCTGACTGAGGACAGGTCACACCATTGTTAAAACTGCTGCTCTGGCTGCCCACCTGCTACCGAGCCAGGTTCAATATCCTTGTATTGATTTACAAAGCCCTGAACAATTTAGGTCCAGCGTACCTCAGGGGACACCTGAACCCTTATAGTCCAGCTCGATCACTGAGATCATGTGCAGGAGTGTCTCTTGTCATTTCCTGAGTTGGTGAGGCTCATTTGGAAACAATGAAAAGTTGAGCCTTTAGGATCATCTGCCCACTCCTGAGGAACTCCTGCCAAATGCGCAAAGCATGGGAAATAAACAAGATGAGCTTGAGCTCTTGGTACAGCAAACTAAATATGACATAATAGGCATCACTGAAACCTGGTGGGATAAGTCCCACGATTGGAATGTAATAATGGAGGGATACAATCTATTTCAGAGAAACAGACCAGACAAGAAAGGAGGAGGAGTGGCGTTATATGTCAGGGATGTGTATACCTGTGAAGAGATCCAAGATTTAGAACCTCAAACCCAAAGTGAGAACATTTGGGTCAAAATTAAGGGAGAGAAGAATAACAGTGACCTCATTGTGGGAGTTTACTATAGATCCCCAAGCCAAACGGAGGACATAGATGATGCCTTCCTGGAACAGATGGCCAAGCATGCAAAAGGAAGGGAGATAGTAGTAATGGGGACTTCAATTACCCGGATATTTGTTGGATGTCAAACTCAGCCAAGAGCATAAGGTCAAACAGATTCCTCACTGGCCTTGCAGACAACTTCGTTGACCAGAAAGTGGGAGAAGCAACAAGAGGAACAGCCATTTTAGATCTGGTCCTAACCAATGTTGATGACCTGGTTAGTGGGGTAGAAGTGGAAGGATCATTAGGCGCGAGTGATCATGCTCTTCTGAAGTTTACTATTCAGAGGAAAGGAGCAGCCAAGCATACTAGGACTCAATTTCTTGACTTTAAGAAAGCCGACTTCATAAAACTTAAGGAAGTGCTGGGTGAGATCCCATGGACAGTAATACTAAAAGGAAAGGGAGTTCATGATGGCTGGGAGTTTGTTAAGAGGGAGATAGTAAAAGCACAACGTCAGGCAATACCAATGAGACGGAAACATGGAAGGTGCCTAAAGAAGCCAGGGTGGCTATCTAAAGAACTTTTAACTGAGTTAAGATTAAAAAGGATGTGTACCAAAAATGGAAAAGGGGAAACCACCAAAGAGGAATTCAAACAAATAGCCAGCACGTGTAGACACAAAGTCAGAAAAGCTAAAGCACAGAATGAACTCAGGCTTGCTAGAGAGGTTAAAAGCAACAAAAAGGCTTTTATGGGTATGTTCGTAGCAAAAGGAAGAACAAAGAAACAGTGGGGTCACTCAGAGGAGAAGATGGTGAAATGCAAACAGGGGACACAGAAAGGGCTGAACTCCTCAATGCCTTCTTTGCCTCAGTCTTCTCCAATAAAGAAAACAATGCCCGACCTGAAGAATTTGGAGCAAATGATTCAGCAAAGGAAACACAGCCCAGAATAACTAAGGAGATAGTACAAGAATACTTGGCTAGTTTAGATGTATTCAAGTCTCCAGGGCCAGATGAACTGCATCCAAGAGTATTAAAAGAACTGGCAGATGTGATCTCAGAACCACTGGCAGCCATCTTTGAGAATTCCTGGAGAACAGGCGAAGTCCCGGCAGACTGGAGGAGGGCAAATGTTGTCCCTATTTTCAAAAAGGGGGAAAGAGAGGACCCAAATAATTACCACCCAGTCAGTCTGACATCAATACCAGGGAAGATTCTGGAGCAGATCATTAAGCAAACAGTCTGTGAGCACCTAGAAAGGAATGCTGTGATCACCAATAGTCAGCATGGATTTCTGAAAAATAAGTCATGTCAGACTAACCTGATCTTGTTTTTGACAGAATTACAAGCCTGGTAGATGAATGGAACGCAGTGGATAGGGCCTACCTTGATTTCAGCAAGGCATTTGACAAGGTGCCCCATGATATTCTTGTAAAGAAGCTGGTAAAATGCGGTCTTGACTATGCTACCACTCAGTGGATTTGTAATTGGCTGACTGACCGAACCCAAAGGGTGCTCATCAATGGTTCCTCTTCATCCTGGAGAAGAGTGACTAGTGGGGTGCCACAGGGTTCTGTCTTGGGCCCGGTCTTATTCAACATCTTTATCAATGACTTGGATGATGGACTCAAGGGCATCCTGATCAAATTTGCAGATGACACCAAACTGGGAGGGGTGGCTAACACCCCAGAGGACAGGATCACACTTCAAAACGACCTTGACAGATTAGAGAACTGGGCCAAAACAAATAAGATGAATTTTAACAGGAGAAATGTAAAGTATTGCAAGTGGGCAAAAATAATGAGCGCCACAAATACAAGATGGGGGACACCTGGCTTGAGAGCAGTACATGTGAAAAGGATCTAGGAGTCTTGGTTGACCACAAACTTGACATGAGCCAACAGGGTGACGTGGCAGCTAAAAAAGCCAATGCAATTCTGGGCTGCATCAATAGGAGTATAGCATCTAGATCAAGGGAAGTAATAGTGCCACTGTATTCTGCTCTGGTCAGACCTCACCTGGAGTACTGTGTCCAGTTCTGGGCACCACAGTTCAAGAAGGACACTGACAAACTGGAACGTGTCCAGAGGAGGGCAACCAAAATGGTCAAAGGCCTGGAAACGATGCCTTATGAGGAACGGCTAAGGGAGCTGGGCATGTTTAGCCTGGAGAAGAGGAGGTTAAGGGGTGATATGATAGCCATATATAAAAGGATGTCACATAGAGGAGGGAGAAAGGTTGTTTTCTGCTGCTCCAGAGAAGCGGACACGGAGCAATGGATCCAAACTACAAGAAAGAAGATTCCACCTAAACATTAGGAAGAACTTCCTGACAGTAAGAGCTGTTCGACAGTGGAATTTGCTGCCAAGGAGTGTGGTGGAGTCTCCTTCTTTGGAGGTCTTTAAGCAGAGGCTTGACAACCATATGTCAGGAGTGCTCTGATGGTGTTTCCTGCTTGGCAGGGGGTTGGACTCAATGGCCCTTGTGGTCTCTTCCAACTCTATGATTCTATGATTCAATAGAGATTCAGCAGGCATCTCCTGTGCCAACCTTTAAATGCCTGCTGAAACCATTTCTGTTTCATTAGGTCTATGCGGGCAATTTAGAGTACTTTCCCCAAATGGTCTGATGATGTTTGTTTTATTTTTTATTTTATTTTTTGCTTTTAACTTGTTTTTAACATTCTATTATTTTATTGTCTGGTTTTATGTTTTTATATTCTTGTAAACAAACCTCTGTGATATATTTTTATGATACAGTGGTATATAAACGCAATTTTCTTTGCCGAATTGAATAGTCTAGTCCATTCTAGCACTCATTCTGTTGCACATATAAATCAGCCCTAAGAGACTAAGTTAGGAATGCCTGCAGCATGACACAAAACTACTTGAGATGCCACTTCCTAAGAGCAGTCTCTCTCTCTCTCTCTCTCTCTCTCTCTCTCTCTCTCTGCACCACATAGAATACGCTGCCCTTTCTTATGTCTCCATCGTCCCCTTTCCAACACACCCACATGCAAAACAAAACACCCGGCTGCATGAGGCAGACAGCGCACAAGGAAGATCTCTGTCACATGGCATTCAAGGAATTTTGCTCCTAAAGGAAAGGAGGAGGATGCTTTGCATGGGAAGAGGAAGCGTCTCCCTGCTGCCTGTCATACTTGCGCAGAGATGTGAGGGCCGGGAAGGGTTGCTCTCCAGAACGTTGCCAGGAGCGAAGCGGACTTCTCCAGGATCTGGTGCAAAGAACTCATGTTGGCAAGCAGTTGCCTGATCCTTTCTTGGCAGAAGATCTACAGCAGCAGAGAGAAGAAACTTTTATCAAGAGAGTCTCTTGCACAACCTCAGCCACTTTGACGCCCATGTTTAACTTTTGCATACTCTCAAACATTCCTCAGATGAAAATAGGGGACATTTCTTACGACCTGACAACTGGCCCTCCTTGACCCGCCCCCATTTTTTGCATCCCCCGCCCTGCAGAGCATTTCCTGTCAGAAGAATGGTGAGGGCCACCAGCACCACCCCAATGGGGCATGCCCCCCCCCCACCGTCCTGAGAAAACCCCTCAATCCAGATTTTATTTTATTGGTAGACTTACAAAAAGAAAAGCACACGCCAATCAATAAATTTTAGAAAGCAGCAAGATTAAACACAGACACATAAAGCATTAAAAAATCAAAATCAAGACTCCTTGTGCTCTGCTCCCACTTTCTTCCTGCCCTCTCCCTGCCCCTGGGAGCCGGTGCATCATGGGGAGATGGGCCTCAGCAGCCAAAGCCTCTCCTCCTCCTTGGCTGCCCTTCAGCAGCCACTACAAGCTGCCCAAGGGAGGAGGCCAGCAATGGCAGCCATTGAAAGGCCATGAAGAGGCAACCGCCACTCGGGAGAAGAACCAGCTCACCCTCCTCGCTGAGCGTGGGGGCAATAGCACTGGCGGGCAAAATAGGGATATTCTGGGATCAAATCAGAAGCTGGGATGGTTTTTTAATTCTGGGACTGTAATTCTGGAGAGTATGCATTTGGTAGTCCTCAAGCTGTCTCAGTAAGTCCTCCCAGGAGGCACCTCTGTCCTAACATGAGGGAGCAGCCTTTCTTCTCCCCATGGCCCAGGTGGGCTGGAAAGATACCCTGTGATATCTGTTGCAGTCCCAACGACTTGTGGCCATTCCTGGGTCTCGCAGTCTCGTGATGGTGTGGCTGAGAAAGACCACGTGGCTCCGGAGGAGTTTATATTTTCTGCATCTTCCCACTTTACCTTTGATTGCTGTAGTTCTTGGCCAGGATGCAGGAGAGAGGCCATTTTGTGGATCAGAGTCTTGCCTTCCAGAATCTGTTTCTTAAGGGTGCTGTAGTCCTTGAGGTGGCTGATCACATGGGACCCCTGGCTGCTGATATCGTTTAACAGCACCGGCTTCTCCTGCTTCTGTGTCCCTGAAAGCAAAGCACCAGACTGGAACCTAATTGGGTCAGCACCTCTTTGGAGTTCAGATCACACAGGCTTTGCTCTCTTCAGCTACAACCAGATGCAGGACTGGCTCACCTATGAGGTGGGGGGAGGCAGCCACTTCAGGCAGCAAAAGCCCAAGAGCTGTTGCCCTCGTGGCCATACTGCCCCACCCACCACCACCAGTGGAGAAGCAGCACCGACTTCTGGCAAGATCGCATGAGATCTTGCTAAAACTTAGTGAGAGTTGGGTGAAATATCAAGATCTGCAATTTCTGGCTATTGCCTTGACCTGCATCCACACAGGTCAGGTGTGACTTTCCTTGCATGTGTGGAGAGAATTAGGTTTAGTGAAAATTCCAGGGAGGATCAAGGAAGACATCCACCCTAAAATAATCCACTGATGGTGTCGGCTGCTCTGTTTAGGTATATTAGTTGTCAGTTTTTGAGTTGCCAACTCAAAAGGTATATGAGGAAAGACTTAGTTGATTTATCCAGCATATTTATCTACAGGTTCCATTGGTCTGCAGCTAATCTTTTGAAAAGTCGCCCTTTTATGTCCATTTCCTAATCTTTTGGGAAGTTGCAATACTTTATGATCGTTATTATTGTAATCTTCTGACTATGCTAGACTTCTCACCCAATATTACACAATATTCTCATCCAATACCTGCTCTGATACTGCACAACCCATCAAGCAATACTGTTCATAATGTATTGCAACTTCCCAAAAGATTAGGGAATAAATACATGCTTAATTAATTTCAGTCTGGTCATGATGGGAACAGGATCAAAGAGTCACACGAATCTTGAGGAGGAAGAGGAATGATACAAGAGTCATAAGGCAAATTACTCAAGCCAGCATTCTGTCAGCATCTAGGAGTGAAGGGAATTGCTAGTTCATTATTATGTTTTTACAGATACAAGCAAAAAAATTAGTACCAAACAACACTAATAAAATAATAAAGTGGAAGAGAATGACATGCCTTCTCTGAGAGCCCCCCAATAACTGTTGCTGAGTTTATCTAAAAGATAAACCAAGGATGGGGAACCTGTGGCTCTCCTGCTATTGCTGGACTCTCCTCCACCCTGATCCACCTGACCAGCGGTCAGAGGGTCTTCCATGTACTGCAGAATGTGAGGCAGAAGCAGCGGCCAGCTTTAACACCCCCCCCCCATTCAGCAGGCATTCCTGGGCTCATGAGATTCATCATGTTGTTCTTTTTCATTACTTAATGATGTTGAACTGAATGTTTTGTTGATAGCTTCTCTGTTTTTACAGATATATTTGTATTTTTTGCTTAAATGTTGCATATGCATTCTTTTTTAATTATCTCACTGCGTTTCATGTAAAATGCTTACAGATTCTGCATATTAAGGGGTATACAAGTATTAATGGTGGTGGTGGTGAACAAAGTAAGTGGGGAACCCTATGGCCCCTGTGAAGACTTCCTAGGAGCTCCGGGATAGATCTGTTCCACTCCGGACTTCCCAGAGGCAGATCCGATGTCCTGCATGCTCGGCCTCCACCTGCTTCTCTCTCTTTTTATTTATAAGATATTTATTAAGGTTTTTTGAAATATTACAGTGAAAATGAAAAAGAAAAAAGAAAAATACAAAATAAAAACAGTTAAAAACACACATATTTTCTATTACTTATTTTCCTTTAGCTTGTTTCCCGGACCTCCTCGTACCTCCTTTTTTGTATTCCACTTCAATTTATTGGTTCAGCAAATCCTTACCATTAGATTTTAACCCATTTATAACCCTTTTTTCATATTCTCTTAGAACATTACAGCTGGAAACCGCTTAATTTCTATCCAACATGATTCTATCATTCATTAATTTTACAATATTTCTGTAAATAGTCTTTAAATTTCTTCCAATCTGCTTCCACCGACTCTTCTCCCTGGTCTCGGATTCTGCCAGTTATTTCTGCCAATTCCATATAGTCCAGGCCTCCACCTGCTTCTCCAGTGCCCAGGCCCAACCAGCCAGCACCCCCAGAAGCATTCCAGGGGTGTCCCAGGAAGCAGCTTAGTACCCACCTGAGGCCACCTTCAACTGTGGGCCACACAGCAACTTATAGACCTGTAATTCAGCCTGCAGGGTCTGGAAGTGCAGCTGGTTTTGCTCGCACTGCTGCTGAAGCAGAGCCACTCTATGTTGAAGCCTGCAAGGAGAACCCCAAGAAATGAATGGAAGTTTGCCATCTCTGGCTGGGAAGTCAGATGTCTCTGCAAGGCCCATCCTGAAGGGACAAGAAGAAGCAGAAAGCCTAAAGGCAGCTTCATCAGCGTTCCTTCTTCTTCTTCCCTTTCCCAACTTGGGGGGGGGATCAAAGCCCATTCACCCTCCTTTTGGGTTCTCTTCCAGCAAAAGTTCTTTCCTTCCTTCAACTGTAGTGTTTTGGGGTTTTATTTTTCAAACAATGTCTGATGCTTTCTGGAAGGCTAGTCTTATTAATCTTACAGTAAAACTAATGAAGCAGATTTCACCAAGTTAAAAACTAATTTATTCTGGCCATAAACTTTTGTGGACTGGAGTGATGAAATGTTCAGATGAAATGGATTGCAGTCCAGGACAGCCTACGCCACACTAAACCTGTTAGTCTTTGCTGTGGAGATGCCTGCCATTGTAGGGATCCTTGTGAATGGCTCTGAGGCCGCCTCCGAGAAAGCCCGTCCCTCCACCCCAATTCCTAGTCATCCAGCCTCCACACCCAACAGCTCCCATCTCCATAAGACTTTGAGGGCAAGGAGATGCTCCATCTCCTTGACTTCTGCCATTCTGTTTGGCCTACCTGGAATTGTTCTTCTGCAGAGCCAGAAACTCCTCCTGGAGGTGCACAAAGTCTTGCTGCTTGCCTCGGATTTCTTCCTGTAGCCGCTGCTGCTCAGCTCGCTGCTGGTGCAGCTCCATCTCGCCGTCATGCAGTTTTGAGTGGGATGCCAGCAGAGCTTCCTGCAGCTGCTCCAGCTCTGGGGATGGGAGAGAGTCAGGGGTGCTTTTATCTTACTAAAGAGTCCTCAAACAGAATGCAACTACACTGCCATTATTTCTTTGATTAAAATAAAAATGTTAGTGCCTTTTCACATGTGACCATCAGAATCTCCAGCTGCTGTAGAAGGGAGGTTGGCCTTGACATGGAAAGGCCAGCTGTCCAAGCTGAGCTTTGATCTCCATCTCCTACCAGCCTCAGAGCTTCTCCCTCCACAGACTGGCAGAAAGGGAAATGACTTTGAAGGGTCTGCTTTGTGGGAGGCAAGCTGGACTTCAGTTCTTTCCATTTGTCATCCAGGTACACCAGAAGACAGGGGAGGGGAGAGATCCCTTGCACTCTGAATGGCTGGATGCAAGGAAGGAAAAGTGAGGGGCATTTCGTACGAGCATTTTGTACTTGAGTACGATCTGAAAGTATGAAATATACAGAGAGCCCCTTAGAGCTTTTCCACTTGGAACGGAATTAAACAGAACTTTAACATACTGCTATTTTACCCAATAATACTCTTCTGCATTTCCAAGATTATTCTGTAATGTCTAGTCACTCATGGTCCCATTCAGGAAAGGTCCCTTCTAAATTAAAGTCTTCCTGTATAATGCCTTCAGTCAATTTTATTGCTTCCTCTGGATCCCAGCTGAGGGGGTGTGTGACGGGTGTGATATCTAGACACCAACAGAGCACTTTGGGGTTGAGTGCCATCTGTGGCAGATCTCTCCCTGAGGAGAGGGTGAGGATGCCTTTCCTCTTACCATGACTTTTTGGCACCAGAGACAGGCGTTTTTCCAGTTGCTCCCGCAGGTGATCATTGGCAGAGATGGACTCTTCTAGGCGCTGGCGGAGAATCTGGATCTCAGAAAGGTGTTCCTCCAGCAGACCACCAGCTGTGCTCAAGCAGCAAGGAAGGGCACAGATGCAAGAGAGATGAGAGCCAAGGTAGGATGTGCCGAAAGTAATTCTGAAGCTCTGGGAATTTCCTGGCATAGGAAGGAGACCTGACCTGTGCAAGCTACTATCATCCTCAAATTTATAACCTGGCATGAAAAGGTGGAACCACACATCCTGTTCTACAAGAGCAATATTAAGGCAAAGGTAAAAGGTAAATGACCCCTGGATGGTTAAGTCCAGGCAAAGGTGACTATGGGGTGCAGCGCTCATCTCACTTTCAGGCCAAGGGAGCCGGTGTTTGTCCACAGACAGCTTTCTGGGTCATGTGGCCAGCATGACTAAACCGCTTCCATCACAACGGGACACCATGACAGAAGCCAGCGAGTGCACAGAAATGCTGTTTACCTTCCTGCCGCAGCAGTACCTATTTATCTACTTGCACTGGCATGCTTTTGAATTGCTAGGTTGGCAGGAGCTGGGACAGAGCAACAGGAGCTCACCCCGCCATGGGGATTCGAACCGTTGACCTTCTGATTTGCAAGCCCAAGAGGCTCAGTGGTTTAGACCACAGCACCACCTGCGTAATACCAGTAATAGTAAGAGATGCTGGTGAATCTCACCAGAGCTAGGCCCGGAAATGCCCATTGATCCAGAGCAGGATGTCACTCATGATCCAAGGAATACTCAGTGGTTTCTTACCCTGGAACCATGCAATCAAAGAAGGCTGGTAATGATGGTTCTCATGACTCATGCAATGAAGAGGACAGGACTGCAGGGTTTACCTGAGAGCTTCTGGCTAGAAAGTGTTGCTAAAGAACATGATGGCAGGATTCCAGAGACACATCTCTCCTGTGGCTCTCTGAAGTTCAGGTGCATACAACAGGGGGGGTTGCTCTCCCCCACCCACCCCTCAGATTTCCTGTTCCATTCAGCAGAGTTTTGCATGGGAAGCAACTGGTCCACATGAGGGCAGGCCTGGAGGCAGGGCTTGGAAGAGACAGCAGGGAAGCCCGTGGAAAGGCAGCCAGCCGGTGACCCTGACTTCACAGGAGGTAGAGCTGGCAGCTGCACACCTAGGCAGAGGGGACAGCAGAAAGTCAGAAAGAGGAGGGCAGGACACCATGCTCACTTTTATGTGACACTGCAAGCTTTCCATGGGAGTGGGGACTGCTGCTGCTGTCTACTCCATTCAGCCAACTTCCCCACTTTCTCCCTACAGCACGTGTCCAGGTATTTGGCATCTGAAAACCAGAACACGACTCTATATTGGGTGCAATTCTAGAGAGAAAAATTAGGCACCTGCTTCTTGCTGGTGGAAGATTTGTTAGTATTCAGGAAAAATCCTGCTGTCTATGAAACCAGTCTGGGTTTTCTAGGCTACGACAGTGTTTAAGGGCAAAGAGAAGCAGATGCAATGCAGAGTGAAATAAAACAACATGACAGCTAGTAAGTGCAATAAATAACAACAACACATTGTTTCTTGATATGGTCAGCAAGTCCTTTCAGCTGTCAAGTTGCCAACAATAAGAAAGACTCAGAAAGCAAGGCAACTCAAACCACACTAGATGTAACATGGGAGATCTGTAATCAGAATCTCCTGTGGGAGATATAGATACACACAGAGAGAGATAGAAAGGGAGGGAGCTGTGGGTGCTCAACTCACACTGGGGATCAGGGAAGGGGGCTGACCCCTTTCTCCTCAATGTTCTCCTGATTAAAATCCTTCCAGAAGCTGGGGAGGGATGGGGAGAAATTGTTCTAATTTGGAATATGGTGCGGGGGGTGGGGTGGGGAGGATTACCTGTTAAAATTCCCGGTCTGATCTGGATCCTCTGAGATTAAAGATTAATTTAAAATACACACAGAGGGAGAAGATCCTAATTGGGGATCTATTGTGTGATGATGTGGCATCTCTGTTCATCACTATGGCCCAGAAATACAGGTTGGCTGAGGGAAGCAAAGATGTTGAAGGATGACTGTATTTGGTTCTCATATTGTTTGAGAAGTGTGAATTCAGTGGCTTCACCTTTAAATGCAAACTGAATCTAATTTCCCCCTCAACCCTGCTCTTGGCAGTGAACACAGTCCGTCCTACAGTGTCAGTGTCCATTGCCTTTCTGGAACCCTCAAAATACCAGCCCCAAATGAACATACAAAAGTTGGTCTGCAATGGCCTCTGCTATCCTAGGAGGTGGTTAGTTTCCCTGCTCTAAGAGGTGAAGTCAGGCCATGCAAAGATGGTTGTTCACCAAGCCATGCAAGCCATGTGGGAGGTTGGAGAGGGAGGCCAAGCGCTCACTTTCTCCCAGCTGATTCTGCAGCATCTGCAGCTCCTGCTGTGCCTCAGCCAGGGAGAAAACTGGCGCCCTGCAGCAGCCAAGGAGTGGAGCTGGGGCTGGAGGAGAAGGCCCCAAAGGCAGGAAGGAGCAGGGCCTGGAGGCAAATGAAACCAAACCAGCTGGCTTGGACAAAGAGTCTGGATGGAACCCTAGGCACAGAATAAGAGAGAGAGAGAGAGAGAGAGAGAGAGAGAGAGAGAGAAGGTTAAGAGGGTGAGGTGACAGACAAACATATGAACCAAGTCGGCTCTTCTCCAAAGATGCTGGCTGCAGCTTGGAGGACACAATATCGCCTCTTGAGCGAGTGCTCAAGAAGTCTGCTCAGCGAGAATGACTGATTCCACGAAAGAGAATCTCTCCCCCCCCCCAGCTATGTGGATAGTTTAGAACTTTCCCTAAAATGATCTGTCCATAAATGGGATGAGGCAGAGTAGTTTTTGTGCACAGGATGGACATACGCTGATCTATCCATCCCCACTTGACCTTGTGGCTTTGGTGGCTAAGGGTCCTTCTTACCAGCTCCATCTGGTTGGTCAGCTGTGGGCTTTCCAGGAGAGACACAGCATGATTGTGATTATTTATGCTCTGATAACCTCTGGGTCAGGGACGCAGGTGGTGCTGTGGTCTAAACCACTGATTGCCGATTGGAAGGTCGGCAGTTTGAATCCCTGCAACGGGGTGAGCTCTCGTTGCTTGGTCCCAGTTCCTGCCAACCTAGCAGTTTGAAAGCACGAAGTGCAAGTAGATAAATAGGTACCGCTCCAGCGGGAAGGTAAATGGCATTTCTGTGTGCTGCTCTGGTTTCGCTAGAAGTGGCTTACTCATGCTGGCCACATGACCCAGAAAAACTGTCTGCGGACAAACGTTGGCTCCCTTGGCCAGTCAAGCGAGATGAGCGCCACAACCCCAGAGTCATTTGCGACTGGACTTAACTGTCAGGGGTCCTTTACCTTTACCCTCTGTATGTTATGTGTTATGCATGGGGCTGCCCTTGGAGACAGTTTGAAAATGGCAACTAGCGCAGAATTCTGCTATTAGGATTCTGAGCGGTTTTCCTAGATGCAGCCATATTGTGCCTGTTCTGAAGTCATGACATTGGCTCTCTGCTGGTTCCCAGGAAATTTTGACTGGGCCTATACCCCCAATGAAACACCTTTATAAAATAATATTTGTTGGGAAGAAAAATAAACATTTACAAAGATGTGGTGAAACTGCAAATATTCTCCCTCCTCACCAAAGGACTGATTCAGAAAAAAGGTGCAGGATGGCAGGCAGCCCAGCTGAGGGAAAGCTGTTGTTGATGATGTCAAGGGTTAAGTTCTAAAAATAAGCAGTATAGGAATTCAAGCCATCTGGAAATCATTCTCTTCCATGGGAGTTTTCCCCACAAGTTGAAGATGCAGGGAAAAGGTTGTGGCTACATTTTGTCTTCAATATTATGACACATCTAAAGGCAGTGAGGCTTGAGCTGGAAACGCCTGGGTCATAAGCAGCCCCAAGGGGAGGAGGTGAATGAGATGCTTTAGCCCCTTGACAATTAAGATCCCTGAATATTCTTTACTGTATCCTCCTTTGCTCCTAACACGTCTATGTTGCATGGTGATCTTCATAACATCAATTAAGTTATAACTAAAGGTCCACACATGCCGACAATTTGCCCACCATTCCACTCTGCTTTATGTGGTCCACCATACCTCTGCAAGGCTGCTGGGTGGCTTGCGAAGGAGATAGAAGAAGGTTCCTTGGGATGGGCTCCGCTGGAGCAGCAGGAGATGTGGCTGCAGCAGGTGGGGGAGATGGTTGCACAGAAGATTTGCTGGAATAACAGTCTAAAAGAAGCCACAAAGAGAGGATGGGAAATGCTTTTGCATGTGGAGAGTATCATGGCTAAACTCTGGGGGCAAAGGAGCCCTGATCATATGACAATGGACGAGACAAGAGTGAGAGGAAATGTGGACAGTGATAATAATTTGTTTGTTTGTTGGCTAAATTTATACCCTACACATTAAGAAAACATGGTGCTCTCAAAGTGGCTCATATTAAGTGAGAAGAGACAAAATAAAAGCAGTCGTACAACCATTGCATTAAAAGTATAGCAAGCATCTGAACTGCAGGTATGATCTGCCTCCCACCTTCAGAAATGGTATTCAAATGCAACCAAGGCATGTTCCCATATACACAGCAATGGTGCAGACCTCCCAAGCCCTTGGGTGCCCCGTGAGGACCAGGTAGTTTGGTGATCTGAGCCTTCTTCTAACCTTACACCAGCTGAATAACTGGCGGAGGAGTGGATACACACATTCAGAATATCTCACTTGCAAATCTAAATTGCTTTTAGACTCGTGCGGTGTGTGTGTCTCTTTGGTTTTGTGAATTCCTTGGGAACTTGGAAATGTCTGAACAAAACAACGTTCACCAGACTTAGCATTATGTAACATGGATTGTCTGTGGTTCAACCTAAATCTTGTGCCTTGTTCTGAATATGTTTTCTCTTCTCCTATTACTAACAGGAGGCATGTATTCAGTCCTTTTCTACAATGCTCTCCATCCTGCACCCCACCATACCTGTAATTCGGGTGTTGTTCCTTTATAAAAGCAAGCAATCCCATTGTGTGGATATCTACTTGTTCACCTCTCACAAGCCCTTCATTCCAAACGGTTTGGCAACCTTTTGCAATCTCTGACACATGAACCCCACTGTGGGTTTAGTTTTGACTTTCCATGCAAAGTTTTTAGCAAGACTGTACATTTATCTGTGCATGGAAGCCCCCTAGGAGCAGCTCCCACCCTGTGGAGAAAGTCTGCAATGGAGCTTTTCCAAGTGTAAGCAAGAGCCTTAGAGAGGCTGTCTTGGGAGAGAAGGGACTACTGGACAGGCCTGGTCTGTTCTGTTCTCTCCCCTTGCACCTTCATGTAGAACTGGAGCAACTAGGATCCAGTCTCCGTTCCAGGTTCCCTGCTGCGTTGTCCTTGGAGGTCTCTGCGCCTGGCACAATTTATGCTACTCAGCAGTCCTGGAGAGAGAGCATTCCTCCGGCAGGTCTTTCAGACTATACCTTTGTTTCGGAGGCTGTGGGGCTGGTTTTCACTAGGGTCCTCCTGGCAGAAAACACACTCGCTGCCCTCATCCATGTCAGAGCAGCCGTCCAGGCCATCTGAGAGAAAGGAAGTGCTGCTGCCAGAACGGGGCGATTCAGAGATGGTGCGGCTGCTGGAAGGGGTCACTGAGCGCAGGTGGAGCTTCGCCTGGAGGCTCTGGATGGTTTGCTCCTTCTCCTGGAGCTCCTTGCTCAGTCTGGGGAGGGACAAAGTATTTCCACAGAGAGACTTCCCACCTCCCCAAAGAAGACACATCACCTGGGGGGGGCAGGGCTCTCTGCTCTTTTAGTGGCTGTGCAGAACAAGGAATCTGAGCAGGTGAAACTGTTTCACACAAATGTTAAAGGTGTCTTCTTGTCAACTTAACATCATGCCGATCTCTTTCTTGTCCTCTGTGCCAACCAGCAAACTCACAAAGTCTACTTGTGGCACAAATTCTCCCTTGGAGATAACTTATTACAGGACAGGACATGCGTTGGCTACAAAGGATCCCACACTGCTAAGGGCCACTGGTTGTTGTATGAGGTGTCCCAGCCCTGAGCTAGAGGACCAGGCATCCCACTTCTAACACCAAATTGTTATGGAAATACTGGGGTTCAATACTGGGGTTCAGCCTGGAGTCTCCAGAGGCTAGTAAAGCAGGATGTCTTTATTAAAAGCATTGTAATGTGGCATGACCCAAGCGAGGGAGTGACACACACTTTTCAAGTAAAAAGGAAGCAGAGGGGTAGTTATGCCCATAGGGAGGACAGAAACTGGATACAGAAGACCATTGACTAAGTGAAGAGCTGTATCACTCTGCCAAGTGGCAAAAATTTACCATACATAAGATGTGCAGTAAAACGGATGCGTAGACGTACCAAATTTGGAGTAAGTAATGTCAAAATAAGCCTGCAGCTAGGAATCTACTACAGTTACCTCAGAGTAAGCAGTTCATGACTAGATTTGTCCTCCATTTTTAGGTCATTCCCTGAAACAGAATTCAGATGAACAGGGTTAGTCCATGATTTTGCAGTCCCTCTACTTTTTCTCCCTCTCCCTCTCTCTAATAGGGGACAAAACAGGAAGTCATGAGGAAAATGTGGGTTCCATACTGAGAAAAACTGATGTCACGCCAAAGTCTCCAACAAGACCCTGCCCTTAAAAAAAAAAAAAAAAGCTTCTTAAAAACCTTGCCTATATGGTTTTCAGACTTTTTCACAGACAATGTTAGGAAAGCCTAATTGTAAAACCTGTCTCAGTCAAAGATTCAATAAAGCATGAACACACTGTCTCTGGGCCTTAGCACTCAAGCTGTATGGTGGGAATAACTGCTTGTTGGAGAGAAGCAAAAACATTTCCTTCTCTTGAGCTTGTAGCTAATGAACATATTACTTTAAACCACATGAGGGAACTGTTTGTCTAGTGATCAAGCCAACACTCATGGGTCTAAGTTAACTCCACCTGCAAAAGCTGAATCACTTTAGTCTGTTCTCTCTCCCAACTTGTTGAGACAAAACGTCTGCTATGTTCTCTTTCTCCACTTGTCCTGTAAATAGTTTCTGCATGAATAAAGCCTTTGAACTCCAGAAACTGTAAGTGAACATTCCACTCTAACTCACTCAAGTTGCAAATGCTCCCAGTCAAAGGAATGCCCACAGCAGATAGTTAAGTAGTGTTACAGAAGTTGGGCACCACTCCCACTCTCTGCTGAGTGGTTGCAAGATTCCCAGGAGTTCCAGGTGCTCACCCAGGGTTTGTGTTCCTTTGGAGGATTGAAGACACAGCGGAGACTGTCATAGCTTGGTCAGTTTAAGAGGGACTTGATCCCCACAGCAGAGCAGCACTGGAGTTCAAGGCATGTCTTCCAGCCAGCTCTGCATCCAGCCTCCCAAAGATGGATCTCTGTCTATTCTCCCCTTCTTCTTCTTCTCAGTACACCTTGCTTTTTTCATGACATCTCAAACACCCCCCATCCCCATGGCAACCTCCATCTGCCCAGGCCCAAGATGGGCCTTCAAGCCCTTTTGTCATGTTAACCCCTCTATCCCAGGTGAGGCCTTGGCTTGGAAGGAAGCTGAGCTTGTACTTCCCCACTGGCAGGGCTTTTTTTGCAGCTGGAACTTGCCGGAACTCAGTTCCAGCAGCTCTCAGGTGGGTGCTAGGGTCCCTATCTGCACCCCTACAAGCCCTCAAACTCAAAGTCTGTGAGAGCCGATGAAACTCACTTCTGTTCAGTTTGCTGGCCAGCCGCTCTGCCCACTGACTCCCTTGTGCCAGCTGTTCACGGAAGCTTTGGCCCAAGAAGTAATCAAAGTCGGTGCCTCTCAGGAGCTCCTCGAAGGACTTGATGGTGTCCTGGAAGTGTTGCTTCAGCAGGTGACACACCCCTCGTCCCTCCCGAATCACCTGGCGCAAATGGGAGAGCTCCCGAGCCTGAGCCTGGACCAACGAATTGTATTTCCTGCAGGAGAAGAGAGGACCGTGAGAGGCAAGGCTCCCCCCTCACCAAGTGATGGAGGAACACTCAGCCCCCAGTGAGAAAGAAAGGCACCGGACTTTCGGGGGATGCCGTGGGGAATAAGACACCTTGGAACGGATCCACAACTCTTGCTTGACTTTGCCAAATTAATTTCACAAGGTCAATGCTCTCCTCAGGGAGGTTATACACCTTTAGGTGCCAGGTGAGAATGCTCCTCTCCAACCAGGCCTTGGGCTGATTAACATCCGACACCCGTTTCCATGTCTTGTGGGAGGGGAAGAAGGCCTTAACATTTTATGGAGTTTTTTGTTTCTGTTTATATTATGTATTTTGTGCTTTTATCTTGTAATTTTATCTTGTGAATGGCCCTGGGATCTGCAAATGAAGTGGTGTATAAAAATTTGAATAATGTTGATGATGATAATAATAATAATCGTACTAGTAATTATAATAAAAAAATGTTGTTTGAATGTTCTGCCATGCGGAAACGGCTCATATATTGGTCTTCTGGATATCCTCTGGTATATTCAATATACGAGCCGTTTCCGCATGGCAGAACATTCAAACAACATTTTATTATTATAATTAAAAGTACTAGTACTCCACCCCCTGGCAAAGGAGGAGCAAGAAGGCACTGGAGGGGCTGCCTTGTGAAGGTCGGACTCTCCCAGGCCCAGCAGATCAGTCCCCCCTGCCCCCTGGAACTCTGCCTCAGTCCTACCCCATAGATGCTGCAGGCTTCAGCTCCTCGGCCAGCAGCCACTTGGGCTTGCTCTCTCCCAGATGAGCCTCCAGCAGGGACACCCTCTGGATGAGCCTGGCCAGGTCTCGGCTGGGCTGGAGGCTGGCGGGGCAGAAGGAGCCCAGGCTGTTTGAGTACCAGCCTTCATCTTCTTCCGTCATGCTGTGCGAGGGGGAGCTGCCCAGGGCATAGCCTGGTTTCTGCTGGAGTGGGCGCTCGCCCCCAGAGCCATAGTCACTCGTGGCAGATATGGAGCGCACACGACTCTGCAGGTTCTGGATGACTCTGTGCGAGCTCTGCAGCTGTAGCTGGAGGTCCCGCACTTGCTGGCGGAGAATGGCAGCATCGTCACATGGGCTGGGAGGGGAGCCCAGCATGTTCTTCCTAGGCTTCAACTCCTCATGGAACATATCATGTTCTTCACATTCTGGGGAAACAACTGAAAGGTGAGATATTAGGGCGGGGGGAGGGGACGACCAATATTGCCCTGCCAGGGGGTGCAAGTTGGCCCACAAGGCCATTTCCCCCAAGCCACGCCCACCAGCTGACATAATTGGGATTTTAAGATTTTGTTCCAACAGACTTTGAGATTGGTTCATTAAGAAACCAGGAAATGAGCCCCTGACAAAGGCATTTGGGGCTGCAAATCCCTTTTCTTGGCAGCTTCAAAATATATTTCTCTCTTTTTTTGTATGGCATGATACGTGTTACATCAGCTGATGGGGTTCAGTCCTGCTGGTGAAGCAGACCCCCTTCTTGCACCCCTAGGAGCTCACCTATCAGTCACCTGACATTATAATAATGTCAGATGATTCACAGGTAGTCAAGATTAGCGCACAGGGTGGAGGGAGATGAGGATCTGGTCCACCAGTCCGAAAAGGGTTTCCACCTGTGCATTAGGGTCCTTTCCACCAAACATTCACTCAGTATGGAGTTGCTGCAAATCCCAACTTCCTGGCAGCTGTTCCTGGACCACACTGTGGATTGAGAGCTCATGGGCTGCATTTACAATTTTTTAGATGTACGGCTAAAAATAACACAATGAACATATGAAATAGTCCCTGGACCAGTGGTTTTCAACCAGTTTGCTATGGCACCCTGGCCTCTGTCCCTCTTTCCTTCCCTCCCTCCTCTGAGGCTCTCTTGCGTCTCTGCCCCCCAAAGGCTGGCACAGCTGTTTGTGGCAGCAGCCCTGGTTGCAAGCTCCGTAGGTGAATGGTGCCTCTGGGGCTGGCCAGGGGGTGTTGGTTGCCAGGAACTGAGGCAGCACTGGAGTAAGCCAGCAAGGGGGTGAGGGAGCCCAGCCAGCCAGTCCACTAACCCTTGCTGTTGGAAATGGGCGGACAAGTGGGAGGCTGGGCAGGCAGGCAGGCGCTGCCCTGGCCTTCCTGGTGCTTGCTGTGTGCAAGGCTTGCCTGGGAGGTGAGTGCCTGGTGCCGAAGGGGAGCCTTTCCACCGTGCAGGCCCAGCAGTGCCTGCTGCTGCCTCTGCTGCCTCCCAAGGTGAGCAAGGGGCCACCGTCTTCCCAGGCAGTGTGAGGAAGCACCTCTCTTTTTGGCAGGGGGGCAGCTCAGAGACCGGGGCGGTGGCAGAGGCTGCTCAGAGGACACCCAAGGAGAGGGGAGAGGGGAGAGGGGAGAGGGGAGAGGGGAGGAGGCTGGGGAAACCCTCCATGAGAGAAGGTGTTCAAAAAAGGGTGAGAGAATGCCAGCTCGGCAGACAAGGGGGGACATAACTGGGCTCCTGAGCCCCACAGGGGTGCTGCAGAAAGAATGTAATTGCTCAAGGGAGCCGGGGACTCAGAAAGGGCAGAGGTTGAAAACCTCTGCCCTAGATATATCCCACTTTTAGAATCACCCTGGCATCGGGAGGCCTTTGCTTTAGCCCCCCCCCCCTCGGTCACTTGTGGGGCAAGAGCTCAGCTGGAACTCCAAAAAGGCCTTGGGGGCAGCAACAGCCAGCCTGGGGGGGCTTCCATGTTACCAGGACTGGTTGCCTCTTCTCGGTCAGCCTCGTTTTCACTTTTCCCGCAGGTCTCATAGCCCAGGTCCTGGAGATCCACTTGTATCTGCTTGGTGTCCTGCTGCACTGTGGGTTCACCTGTTACAAAGAAAGCCAAAAATACTAGCCTCTTGCCTTTGGCTGAAGGGCAAAGGCTACTAGAGAGCCTTGGGCACCTCTGCAAATTCCAGGACACAACCTCTCTGCCCCCCCTCCCTTATGGGAACATAATCCTGAGGGAAAGACTGAGGAAGAGAACAGCAGTTGCAGAGCCCCCACGAAACAGGGAGTCCCTTTCTTCCCTGCGGCCTTTGCACGCCATCCACAACACTTCCCTGTAGCATTTTTTGGATTATTATCAATAATGGTGGTATTCTGGGTTAAATGGCTGCATCCCTTGAGAGGAAGCACTGTGCTCCCATGACCAAAATTTCCACTTCCAAAAAGGAAGATAACTCAGCCACTGAAGCCTACATACAAGCTGAAATTAACTGAAGTGAACTGTTGATTGTTCAAGCTAAAATATATTTATTGTGTAAGAATGACGTAATTTTGCTTTAAAAACCAATGGAACCAACACCCAAAATGGGGGGAATTGGAGCTGCTTACATTTCCTTCCTTTTTAATGCTGGCATGCCCATTCCTCCCCCCGCCCCTGTAAGGCTACTTCATGCTCAATGGGGAATCCTTCTTTGGGCATTTCGGCTCTTCCTCCACAGTTTGTGTTGTATCAGGACAGGAAATAAGACAGCAAAAGCTCACAATGAACTCTCTGCAGACAATCAACCAGCATCTTTTTTGTTCCTTAGGATTTAAGTGTCCCTCATCCGTGTCCACACGTCTGGGGCAACCGTACTCACTGAGCAGGGCCCGGTACTGCTCCAGCTGTGCCACCTGAGCCAGGACGGTGGCCTCTGAAACCAGGAGTTTGCCCCGCAGCCTGTGACATTGTTTTTTGCACTGAGGCAGCTCTGAGGGGAGAAGATGGACTGGCTGCCTGAGCTGCTGCCAGGAGTTGCTTCCCAGTCTGACTTCCCACACCTTTGGAGAAGAAATGAGGGGTTGTATCAGTCAACAGCAGAAAAGACATGTGAGTCTTCAGGGCAGACTTTAAACTGACCCATGAAATATCCCTCGTAGGTTACACTGCCCACACCCAGTCTTTTATTCTACCTTGATCTGCACTTGACTTGCACCAACCCGGTGAGACACATTTCGCAAAAGGACTACATGTATTACCCACTTAAACAGATGCTAAAGCTTACTACAAAGCACATTAAGTTAGTACTGCAAACAACAGTTTGGAACAGTAAATCCTGCCGTTGCCCAACATCATTATGGAAGTTAATATCCTTTTAAAATCTGTTCTGTGCAGGAGACCAGAGAGCCATCGAACAGGAAGAACTCTTGAGTAGAAATGGCAGCTGCTGCTAGCCTAGGGCAAATCTTCCCCAGCTCTGAGGTAATCCAGAGTTACCTGAGTCTCTTTTAGGCTGGTGTCCACACTCTGGGGACGTGGGCAGTGGCGCTGTGGAGCACTGTCATGGGGAGCCCCCTTGAGGCTGCCTTGCAAGGCCACTTGCAGCTGCTCGGACTCCTGGGTCACACCAGCAGCGACCTGCTGCTGGAAGATGCTTCCACCTGCTTGGCTGCTCAGAGTCAGCTGTTCTTTCAGGAGGCCAATCACCATCTCCGAAGAGTGCAGCTTCTCCTGCAGCTTCCTGACTTCCAACTTCAGGTCCTCTTGCTCTTCCTTTTCATCCTCATTCTCCCAACCCTCGGATAACATTGCTTCTCCAACTTGCTCCTTGAGCTCTGCATTTTCGAGACACAGACTCAGCAGGGCCTTCCTGTAGAGACATAGGAATCAGTACCCAGAGATTAAGCACTACTGGTAACTGGCAAGTCTGGGGCAGCCAATGTGGTGTCCCTCCAGGTGTTGTTGGTCCACTGTTGTTCTACATCAGCCCCACACAGCATGGTCCATGGCTGGGGGTTGCAGGAGATGTGGCCCAGCAACACCTGCAGAGCACTACCTGGGCCATCCTGGATTATCCCGCTTGCACCAGGCATTGCTCCTGGACTAGCCGGGTATTGAACCTTTCCTCCCAGCAATGCCTGGCCCAGGAAGTGTTTGAGACTCCACCAGCATTAGGATCATTCCCTTTGTTTAGCATATTCAAGGGGGGGGGAGGTGGTTGGAAAACAACATTTTAAAAGCAGAGGAAGCGTTTGTCATCCTCACTGCATACGCCTCAGGCTGAAAGAATGAAGAGTCTTTCTCACGGCCTGTGTAAAGAAGTTTTGACCTCAGAGGACCTCAGGGTACGAGGCATTCGTCCTTGCACAGTTTTGCACTAGAAGCATGTATTGGGAGCTGGCTGGAAGGCCTCTGCGCATTCTGCTAGAGATCCAACCTGCAACTACAAGCTCTTCCTCTGGCCCATCACTAGCCATTGTGCAACTGGGACCTGCCAAAAGGCCTATTCCTAACCCGCAACCTGGAACATGCTCCAAACATCTATATTTGAACCTTATCAGACATTTAACTTCTGTGGTTCTTGCCCCAAAGAAAATCATCACAAGGGTTCAGGACTTCTCATTTGCCTGGACACCTTTTATTTTGATTTCAGTTTCACTGGCTCATATCACAAACGCAAGGAAAGAGGAGGACTATCAGTCTTCATTGTAAGAGCACCCACCAACTTTTAGAAGGCCTCTGAAGGCAGCCCTTTATCGGGCAGTTTTTAATGTTTGATGTTTTATTATGTTTTTACATATCCTGAAAGCCGCCCAGAGCGGCTGGGGAAACCCAGCCAGATGGGCGGGGTATAAATAATAAAATTATTATTATTAAAAAAGAACTACACTTCTCTCCATATGAACTGACTCAGACCCTGCAATTGCTCTCTGAGGCCATTCTTTGTGTGCTCTCTGCATGGGTGATTGAAGGGCAGCAACACAAAAATAGGCCTTTTCTGTGGTGGCTCCCCATTTGTGGGATGCTCTCCCTAGGGAGTTTCTCCTGGCACCTTCATTACATATCTTTAGGAGCCAGGAGAAAACATTCCTCTTCTTCCAGGTGTTTGACTAATTAAACAATGTATGGCCTTTTAAACTGTGGAAAGGGGTTATTGTTTGTTACTATGTTATGTATTTTTGTGTTTTTATACAGTGGTACCTCAGCTTACATACGCTTCAGGTTACAGACTCTGCTAACCCAGAAATAGTGCTTCAGGTTAAGAACTTTGCTTCAGGATGAGAACAGAAATCGGGCTCCGGCAGCACGGCAGCAGCAGGAGGCCCCATTAGCTAAAGTGGTGCTTCAGGTTAAGAACAGTTTCAGGTTAAGTACGGACCTCCGGAACGAATTAAGTACTTAACCTGAGGTACCACTGTCACTACACTGTGATTCTTGGAAGGGCAGTATAGAAATTAAATTTAATTAAAAACAAACAAACAATTACGTTAGAACTGAGGTTGCTGCACTCCAGGAGGACATTTCCGGGAGCCACCCTAGCCTACCTGAGCTGAGACATTGAGGAGAACCCAGCTTCTTCAATCTGCCCCTTGAGATGCTGCAACTCCCCTTCCAGCTTCTTCTTCTGCTCTCGAAGCTGCTGAGTCTCGGATTTTGCAGAAAGCAGCTGGGCCTGCAGGCTCTTTTCTCTCTCCAGAGAGGGAGCGGGGAAACTGCTTTGGCCCACGAAGTTGCCATCAGCTCCTTCCTTGGCGTGCTAAAACATGTAATTGAAACAAGAGGAGATAACTCCTAAAAGACCAGAACACCCAGTCTATGGAAGATGTGCCAGAGAATGAGTTGCTAAACAAGCAGAAGTGCACAGCTTCAGCAAGGAGAAGACCGATACTGGGACTTCCAACATAATGACAACAATTTGCACGCAGCAGTTCGCACACACCAAAGCCTTGCTTACCGGGGTTATGTGGTTGTGGGTTCTGGCAGGATCTGATGAGAGGGTCTTTCCAGAACCTGGAAGCTGCAGGTGCTTCTCTGACAGGGACAGGGGGCAGGTGGGGCACCCCCCCACACACACACACCATGAGAGAAGTGAGGAGCAGCAGTGGTGAGAGCTCCTTGAGATCTCGAGACTTCTGCAAGATCTCACCAGAAGTCTCCGCCACTTCTCCTTGCTTCTCTGGTGGTGATTGCAGGGATGGGTGGAATTTGGCTGCCTCACTCAGCCTCCTGGGCAGAGCCTCCTCAAGCCAAGCCAAAGGAACAATGTCTCCACTGTTACACAGGACCACACTGCTCCCAGGAAGAAGCATCTGCCCCTTTGAGCATGATGCTTTGCTCTCTGATTCACCTGTTGGCGAGTGGTTCTCTGTGCCTCTTCTTCAATACTGTCTGTGAACTCTGTGCTGGCATCCTCAGCATCCTCCTCTGCCACTGGACCTGGGAATGACACCACAAAGCAGACCCTTGAGACTTCTCCCTGGCCTGTATAAATTTCCATGCATAACTGCCAGCACAGACTCTGCAGCAACTTGATGCCAGATTGACTGCAGATTCCAACAAGGAAAATACTTCAGCACTTGCAGCTCTTCCCTTTACTGCAGGAGCAGCCTTTCCCTATGCAGCAGATACAGATACAGCCAGAAAGTTAGGCTACTGACACAGTGCATGTCCTGCTGCATGTGCCCTCCAGGCCCAAGCAAATGCCCCACAGTGCCTAAGCTTGGATTCCTCCAGTGTGGGTGTGGGTGTTTTGGAATGAACTGGCCTCAAGTAACCACCAAAATGTATAAAGGTAAAGCTAAAGGGACCCCTGACCATTAGGTCCAGTCATGACCGACTCTGGGGTTGCGGCGCTCATCTCGCTTTATTGGCCTAGGGAGCCAGCGTACAGCTTCCGGGTCATGTGGCCAGCATGACTAAGCAGCTTCTGGCGAACCAGAGCAGCGCACGGAAACGCTGTTTACCTTCCTGTCGGAGCGGTACCTATTTATCTACTTGCACTTTGACGTGCTTTCGAACTGCTAGGTTGGCAGGAGCTGGGACCGAGCAACGGGAGCTCATTCTGTCACGGGGATTCGAACCGCCAACCTTCTGATCGGCAAGCCCTAGGCTCAGTGGTTTAACCCACAGTGCCACCCGCGTCCCTACCAAAATGTATAGAGCACCAGAATTATGGACTACATTGCTAGATTTCGCTGGTCCATTCAGTAATCTGAAAGTTTGTCCTGAAGAGGAGCCAGTGGTAAAGGGGGAGCGGTTAATGGGGACCGAGAAGAAGGCAGGCACAAGGAAAGAATGAGGAAGTGTTTCTTAATGAAACTATCAGTTAAAATTGCACCAGATTTCCTCTCTTTGTAACGGAAGCAAGGTACAAAAGCTCCCTTCCCCAAGGATTTTGTGCCGAGAAAGAGAGATAGAAGAAGATAGAAGAAGGTAAAGCCATGCAATACTAACAGATTAAGAAAGGGGAAAGAGAAACTGAAAAAGATCCAAAGATGTAAGGGAACAACCAGACACAAGAGGCTTATTCATTCATTAACCAGGTGCAATCTGTCTCTACCCAGGTAAAAGTGCTTGTGTGGAAGTGTGCACATTTGCACAGTTCAAGTATTGTGTCCACAAACTGTACACTTGTTGACTTTTACAAGTGAATAACTGAGTGTACAGCTCAACTATTTGTGTACGCAGGTATACTGATTGTAAATTTGTTGAATGCCATGTGAGGTGTTAGGGGAAGAGTAGTACCTCTGGTGGGGGCCCGTCATGCTTCTTCTAGGGTAGTTTGGTCCCCACTCTGCACTCAGCTCTCACCTGTGGCTCCTAGCAACTGTCAGCAGGCGGCAGCGGCCACAATCCTAGGAATGGCTTAGACTGGCCGGCTAAAGCAGCTGAGGGGAGCCAATGGGTCTCAAATCCTCCATGAGTGAGGGACTTCCCCTACATGTGAAGACAGGCTCTGGTAGATTGAGCAGATATGACCAAAAGTGGGTCCAATGGTCAAGAAGGCAGTTTCTGTAGAGGGAAGTGAGGGCCAGATGGGGCTCACCTGCCTGAAAAAAGAGCCCATCTAGGAGAAGGAAATCTCTGATCCTAAACCTCTGCTGCCTTACAGGATACCTTTGGGAGAAGAAAAGGCAAAGGAGTAACCCTCCTACACAAATCCAGAGTGGAGTCCCTAAGGCAGCTGGATGGTGCCTTGTCTGCCTCCTCCTGGCAACTCCCGCAGCCAAGCTGGTGCCAAATGTGTTGCTTGCTCTGCTTTCCTTTGGGCCACATCAGCAAGGCCAAGATGGTCTTTCCTGGGCAGCCCAGGACTCCCAGACACACTTGCCCAGCCTTGTGCCCCAGGGAGGTCACTTTGGTGTTGCTAAAGCAGCAGTTTGTCTTCACTCAAGACAGACAGGTGCCAACATAAGTGTAGTGTGAACACCCCTATGACCAAGAAGAAGAGAATGAGAAGCAGAGAAAGTAGGAAAATTGGGGGAAACAGATTACATTAATTGAGGAGACCCTCCCACCTCCTCAAAACTGGGGTTATTCAGCCAACACAACAACCTTTTTCTTTTTTGCAAACAGCAGCAATTCAGATTGAATTTAGCTTATCTTATTCTTAAGAGCTGGGTATTTAGTCTTGTGTAAAGCAAGTCTGTACAACTTAGGGTTTGCCCTCAGTGGAGTTTGCTGTGGGTCTGCAGCTTTTTGCATTCCCATTTAGTTTGTGTAGTGCACATGGTATTAGCTTCCGACAATACCAATCTCACTGCTTTCCCCCTATACATTCATGATAATCTGTTAAACGGGGGGAAATTAGGCTTTAAACAGCTTCACTCAGGGCTGCAGACAAACTATTTCTGGTGTGCTTCTGAACTCTGTGTGTGTTCACAGAGAGAGAGAGAGACAGAGAGAGAGAGAAAATGTGCTTCCAATGTGTTTCAGCTATACAGTGTGCATTCAGCCTTGGTGTCCAGAGCAGTTTTCACATCTGTGGTGACGCCACCTCCTGGTCAGAAAGCAGATTTATTTTCTGATTTTACCAGAGGGTAGAGCTCCAACCCTTCAGAGCAGACTCTGGCTCATTGGTAGCAACTGAAAAACAAACTTGAGGGGTCTGAGGACCAAAACTAAAGGACTAAAGTATACATTGTGGCACACAAGTCATTCTTGTTGGGCCCCATTCATTCCTCTCATGCCTGCCTATGAATAAGTTCCAGCAAAACCCAGTTGTGTGCATTAAGCAGCTGGATGGGTGGCCTTGAAGGATCCCTTCCACTCTGATTTTTTTAGAAAAGTGAGCATCCATCTCAGATTGGATGCAGGCTCTTCTTGCCCCTGCAATGAAGTGCCTCTCGTGGCACTGGCACCTCTTTCTCTGCTATGTTGATATCCTGCTAGAACTTTCTGCAGAGCACCCTGAAAAAAATCCAAGTCAGGCTTAGAATCAGCCTTATCAAATGTATAATATCTCTTCTGCCACACTAGCTCATGATGGCCTTGCATTATAAAAGGAGGATGGGCCTGGTAGGAAGAAGAGTAGTCTGAACATGCTAACAGTGGCTTACAGAGCTTGGCACTCACCCTACAGGTTGCTAGTTACAACAAATTTGGGTGTAGATATATTATAGAAATTTTGTGATAGGAAATCTGTTCTGAGAAAAGCAGGGTCTCCTTTGCAAAAAGAAGACGTCCCCAAGAGTACCTCACTGATCTCAAATCAATTGCAACACACATGCCCAAAGAGAAATCAGGCTAAATACATTGAGAAATCCTTCTGGTGAGGTTACTGTAGGAACACCAGTCTTGTATACTAAAGAACATGGGATGTGCTCCCATGCAGACTGTATTCATCCGCTGCACTTTTGATACCACAGGAGCTCTGTAAGGAAATTATCCTTATGCAATCCTTGATGGCCTCAGAATACTGTATTCAACTATCAAGAAATTGTCTATTGAAAGGTACATTTAGAACAAATGAACAGCAGATTAGTGTCGGAAGCTCAAACTGCTACTTGGCTCCACTACTCAAGTGTTGCCCGAGTCCTGTGACCCTGGAAGCTCCTATCCTTCACCCGCTAGGACAAAAATAGAGGGTGTCAAGATTGCTGCAACTGCATCTCCCTGGGGGACCCAAAAGCAGTCTATAAAAGAGGAAGACAAGGCAGTGTGTTTACTGACTTAGTTGGTCTCTTACCCTTGAATATGACCACTCCGGCTGCCATGGTAGCAAAAATAATAATTGGGGAGTTGGAGATGCCTCAATAGGTTCAGTGAGGAAAGTTTGGGTTGATTTCCTTTATTCTGCAGCCCACTTTTGAATTATCATCTTAATGTTCTAGAGCAGGGATCTTAAGATGATAATGTATTTCGGCCCCCACTGGCCAATTGTCATGGATGATGGGAGCTGTAGTCAAATAACATCTAGAGGACCACAACTTCCCTGTTCTAAACTCGAGAGCTTTGGCAAAAGGTCTGTGGAAGAGCTCTGATGGAAGCAGCCTGTCGCTCTGAGTGAACAAATGAACAGGGCTTCATTTCTGCCTGGGAAAACCCTTCTCATCTCAGTGGGATTTTATTGATCCCAAGATAAGAGTAAAATCTCATGTACTGCAAACTATAGTACAGGAAAGAACCTAATGACTTTTCATGTTACTTATATTTAAGGGTTTTCTTTCATAATGAATTTTAATGTTGTCTTGGATATAAATAGTTTTAATTTTTAAAGGAACTTCCAACCCAGGTGATGTTAAGAATGCTGTGAAGACTCTGACTTCTAAGGCAGGCGACACACTCTGAAGGGGAATGATTTAACTCATATTCTGTTTTACAGTTGCGCCGTTTTCTTAGTGGTGTCTGGTTCCATCATACAGTATATGTTTTCTGTATATAAAGCAGTTTACTCTTGGGTTTCATTATTCCCATAGCAGAATGTTTTTTCCTAATCATATTTGTCCCTGCACAACATTAAATTTTATTTACATGGCTGATGCATTTCTCTATAAAGTATGGGATTGAAAGGGCTGTTCGAGAGGGAGTGGTAAAGGTCTCTTTCCCAATTGATTTCTTGGTTTTGCTCAGCCTGGAGACACATACTTCCCGCATGCCCGTCAAGGCTTAACAGATTTCTCAGATTCAAGCAGATTTCCATTTCCTTTCCCTTATCAAGTGGGACCTGCCACAGGAGTGCTCCTGTTCAGAGTTCCACATTCCATCCAGCCAATCTTTTCTTGGAGACTCCATTGCATTCCCCCTCCTCCCATTTTCCATCCCACTACCAACCAAAAAAAAAGGTCGGCATTCTGGTCCCACTGAGCTGTTTTTGAACAAACACCCGTTAGGGTTACAGATGCCTTTAGGCCTTCCGCCTCCCCTTGTGTGCATTGATAGCACCATAACTTGTCATTTAATATTTGGCTGACTCTCGAGTTTTACTTTGCTTCACATGGTTTGGAAAACCTTGTGGGGGATTTGGGCTTGGCCTTCCACTTACCCAATAGGAGCTGCTCCCTGAAGAGTCTTGGCCCCATTCTTTCCACAAGAGCCAGATGTGTGCCAGTATCTCTTGAAGAACTATGCACCCTTGACTGGGAGCAGAGGAGCCAACTACTGGGGGCCAAGGTCCCTTTACCCCCCCCCCCCCAATAAAATATCTGAGGTGGTCAGGGCCTCCCAAAGCTGAGGGGCATTGCCATTCAAATGGTCTTGTGATGATGTGGGGCAGGGCTTACGTGACCCCCTCCAATATTTTATTCAAGTTGGCACCCCTGACTGGGAGCAACTAGTGAGCTCGGCAGGATTTTTCTCTGAGCAAACTTTTGTAGGATCAGGCATCACTGCTGTCATTCTCTGAGCATTTACAAGTAAATCCCACTGAAGCCACTGTTTTGTTTCAAGTAAACATGCACGGAATTGTACTGTAGACTATTCTAACAAACTAATAATAATAATAATAGGCCATGAGAAACCCATCAAAAGAATTCTTCTTTATTGCTACTTTATGCATAAATCTGAAATGAGATTGCTGGTATCTTGAGAGGTCTACTGTATCATTAGAAATTTATCAGCAGGAGTATTTTTTTAATGCAATAAAATACAGTTATTACCCCCGTTTCCCCAGATTTCTAGACACTGCCCCTCCTGAGCAGGACTGCTTTGTAATGAAGAGGCAGAAGAAAGAAACAATGTGTTATTTATGTTTGATTTAATTTAGGAACGCTAGATGTCTTTGTATATATGATTGTATACAGAGGGGGTGCTTCCATGGGGTCCCCCAGGTATGCAGAAGTATCTTGGTTTGTAAATCAGAAAGTAACCCAAAAGAATTTTTAGAAACTGCTGAATGGGGGGGGGAATGCCCCCTTAACAGTTTACAGTAATCTGGAGATGAGGATTAAGGTCAGGAAGATGCCCAGGAAGAAGACGGAAAACCTTCCCTTCCTTCACTAGAGTGGACGTTTTGTGAGGGTAGAAATGGAAAGAGGACAGCCTTGCCCTTCCTTCCTCTCTAGACCCCTCTCCCCATTCCTCTACATAGCAAGAGATTTCTCACGTTCCCATTGGAAGCCAACCCTGAACCTGAGCCCTTCATCACCATATAGCACAATGCCAAAAAGCTTCGGAAGTGCTGGAAAATCCCCTTCCCCGGTCCTTTTTTGACATCCCCTCCCTGGCTCCTGCAGCATTATAATGTTCTTATTCCAGAGCGGCTAGAGACCAGAAGAAGAGTTCTCTGCTTAGGAGCTAGAAATACACTGCCCTGTTTCATTATCGGTGCCCATGCACAAAGGAGCAGCGGCTTGATTTCCAAGCAGACCTCCCTAGCAGCTCTGCCTGGGACATCTTTCTAACCCTGATCTGGGAAAATATAAATTCTTGCCCAAATAACACATCCACAACCAGTGTGACAATCATGCATGTGCACACATGCACTGGACAAAGCTCTATACTTCATTCAACAGAGGACTGCCACATTCTCAGGTTTTATTGAGGGATTTGCACTCCAAGCAAAGCCAAATCACCAACATTTCTCAGCCTTCAGAAGAGCTGCTAGCCTGCATTCTGCTCTATTCCACACCACACCACCTCCAGTAAAGTCTGGGGAAAAGACAAGTTGATAGGAGAGACACTGGATGGCAGAGTGGGGGGTATTTGATCAACAAAGGAGTGGCTCAAGAAGAAGCACATTAAGATCCTGGAGTGGCCTAGTCTCCAGACCTTAATCCCATCGAAAATCTGTGGAGGGAGCTGAAGGTTTGAGTAGCTACACATCAGCCTTGAAATCTTACTGACTTGGAGAGGATCTGCAAAGAGGAGTGGAACAAAATACCTCCTGATATGTGTGCAAACCTGGTGGCCACCTACAAGAAACGTCTGTAATTGCCAACAAGGGTTTTGCCACCAATTACTGTCATCTTATGCAAAGAGATCAAATACTTATTTCACTCATTATAATGCACATCAATCTCTGACTCTTGTCTTCTGGGTTTCTGGGGGTTTTCCTGTTGTTAGTCTGTCTTTCACAGCTACAATAAACCTATCATTAAAATTATGGACTGGTCATTTCTTCGTCAGAGGGCAAACGGGCAAATTTAGCAGGGGTTCAAATACTTTCCCCCCTCACTATAGCTGAATAACTGGCAACTCTGATTTAGAGACTGTACAGACAGGAGAATTTGGGCACATGCAACACAAACTTCCACTTCCTTGCAGTATCAGGAAGTCTCTTCCTGCCAAAGTTCTCCCTCCTCTTACACTAAAAAGCAGGAGAGCCCTGTCCTTCCAGCTTCGCAATGTTGCATTAGCTGGCAATGAGACTGAATGAAGGCTGCAGCCACCAATGGCAAACTAACACTGGGAGCTTTTACGTAGGGGGGTCATTCCACGCCAGATCACCTGATTTTAATACTCGACCGTGCTCTCATGGTAGGTTCGATAAGCCAAACGATAAGAATTTAAATAAGACAAAAATTAAGCAGAAGTAATAAATCTTTAAAAAGCCAGAAGGGGAAGTTGAGGGAAGTCATGGGGAGGGTCCCCCCTTTTTTTGTTTATATGACAAATGTTACATTGTGTTACAGTGGTACCTCTAGATGCGAACAGGATCCGTTCCGGAGCCCCATTCGCATCTAGAAGCAATGGCACGTCTGCGTATGCGGGCGTCACTTTTCGCCGCTTCTGCGCATGCATGTGACGTCATTTTGAGCATCTGCACATGCGCAAGCGGCGAAACCCGGAAGTAACACGCTCCATTACTTTCGGGTTGCCGCGGAGCGCAACTCGAACGCGCTCATCCCGAAGCACATTCAGCTCGAGGTATGACTGTATTTGGTTGAATATTAAATTGTAAAATCCAATAAAATTTATAAAAAACAACAACAGCATCATTGACCATATTACATGTATGGGAAACAAAATAGCTTTGACCATATCATTGCACAATAAAATGAACAAGGGCTCTAAGACGAATTTTGTTTTTATTAATCAATAAAACTTAATTTTAAAAATATATCAGATGACATTATAACATAGGAGGGTACCATTTTATCTATTCTCACAAATGTGTGAGTTATTTCAAGCTCAGAGAGACCTTAAAGCTGTACCAAAAAAAATTTTTTTTTGGTAAACAATTTACTTCAAAAACAATTTATTTTATAATGACAAAAAACACCCTCATTTTTAAAACATAACAAGTACATGGTTAGCCCATTCTACAAAAAAAGTATGATACATGTGTTAGTTGTTGTTTGTGCTCTAGGGTTTATTGAACCTTCCGGGAATAAAATGACAAAAATTCACTTTGAATGGTCAGTGACCCTTTTCTGTGGCAGCTAATACCATTTGTATACCTTATTTTGAAAGAGACCACAATTAGCTTTATTTTGATACCAAAATAAGCCCAATTGGTTGAAAAATAAGCGAAACAGGATTTTTTTTTTCTAAACGGACACAGAAATTGCATTACCCTAAATCGCGTGGAAAAAAAATAAATTAAATTCTCCTGCGCCTAATTTTGGACGAAAAAAATCTTAAAAAAATTAAATTGAGGTTATCTCATTGGTATCTACACATAATTTTTTTTGGAAGAAAATCTGAGTCGTAAGAGCACATGGCACCAGGTGATTTGGCATGGAATGACCCCAGGATGACACTCCAAAGGCAAAGTTGTAGAAGTTCAAAGAAAGTAACAGGTAACTAGATGACTGGCGTAGGAGGCAGGGGGACAATTGCCGGGGGGGGGGGAGGTGTCTACATTAAGAGAGCCACTTTGTGGGAAATCATTCAAGCCAAAGCTTACCTCTCGCCTGTATCAGAGAGGACAAATCTGGGTTTGCCAGCCACAGTACATGCAACAGAAAGCCACAGCTAATTCTGCCTCATAATGAATGGGTGTGGATGACACAAAAATCTGCAAACTTAAGTTTGCTTCCATGTGTTGTTAGTCAAAAACAATAAGCTTCCTGGGCAGAAGAAGTCTTAGATGGAACCTTGTGAGCCCCTGTTCATAAAAAGCAGCCCAGTAAACAAATGGGAGGCATAACAAGTTTAGGCACTGCCAGCCTGTAAATAGCTATGAGGAAGGGGTGACACATCAAGGTCAGGCAGGAGAAAACCAGGAGTGAGATGCAGTACAATCACATCTTGCATGGGAGTTAAGTTCTGGAGATGGCACATACAGTGGTGCCTCGCAAGACAAAATTAATTTGTTCCGCGAGTTTTGTCGTCTTGCGATTTTTTTCGTCTTGCGAAGCACGGTGTCGGGAAAGTTTTGGAAAAGCTTCAAAAATCACCAAAGTCTTTAAAAACCTCAAAAATGGCTACCACACCGCGTTCTATGAGTTGCTCCTCGAAGTCAAGTCGCAACTGTATTAACGGTGTTAAGAAAATGGAAACAAACTTGCAAGACGTTTCCATCTTGCGAAGCAAGCCCATAGGGAAAATCGTCTTGCGAAGCAGCTCAAAAAACAAAAAACCCTTTCGTCTAGCGAGTTTTTTGTCTTGCGAGGCATTCGTCTTGCGAGGTACCACTGTATACACAAAATACACCCAAGTCACAGCGCCCCCTTAGAATTGCCCCCCGCGCCAGCCATCTTGCCTCCCAGAGCTGGCACACCAAGCAGGTCTGGTGTGCACCCCCCCCCCCATAAGGCAGAGAGCTTAAAGGCCCTCTCCACACCTGGAAAACCTGCACAAAAAGCACTTTTAAACTCTCTGCTTTTAAACTCTCCGCCTTTCAACCAGCCGCACTTCAAACACATAAAGCTGAAACTGCACATATTAAACATGAGTAAATTGTGATTGTACTGTAAACAGAGAAACCTCCTGGCAAATATATATATTCACAAGTTAGCAATAGAATTGCCCTAGGATGGCAAATGAATCCACAACTTAGGACAAAGCTAGGTGCCAGCATGGTTTAAAAATAAAATAGTAGGTATGGTAACGTGATTACTGTCAGAACCGCTGTGTAAAGGGAGAAGTTTAACTCTTTTCTCCCCGACTCTGGCCCTCATGGAAGTCTCACCCTTCCTCCCATGTCCTACTTTTTATTTTTATTTTAACCACTGGCTGATTCCCAGTGTAACATCTACTTGTGCAGAGTAGAAGGGCTCCCAGTTTCTTCTATAATTCCATGAATGGGAAAAACAGGCTTTCAATATTAGGCACGTTTTAATTAAAAGGCTTGGACTGACATGGGGCCCCTTGCTTCACAACAAGGCTCTTGCCATAAGCTGAAGGAACCCCGTGGTTTGGATCCTAAGGGAACTTAAGCTCAGAAAAAGGAAGTTTCCAGGCCCAGCTCCCTGCCCTGGTAGCCAACTTTAACTTACATTAGAATGCAAGTCCTATTGGGGCTTCTCCCCCTGAAGCCCCCACACCCACCCTATATTGTTCAGAATGGTATAGGAAAGGGGCAAAGGGAAGGAAGAGGAAATTTCTCTTCTGTGAATTTCCGTAAGTTAACTGCTCTCAGGATCCAAGCCTGTTTTTCTTCCTCAACTAACCTAAAACGGAACAGCCCTTTCCAAAATGGTTTAGAAACTTCCTACTTCAAAGCCCAAGATCTGAGCTTGTTTCCCTGGCATCTTCAGCAGGCTTTACTCTCATTTTCAGTCCTACTCCAGCAAGTATGAGGGCTAGGAACCTACTTCAATATAGAACATACAAAAAGCAAGTAAACACTCCATGATACACAAGAATTTAGGAGCACTCTCCCAACTCCTAGCTGAACACGGGACAATGGCTGGCTGCTTGCATTCCACAGGTGGTGTGCTACCCAGTTACACTCACAATGGCAATGAGGAGCCAATGGCTCTTTTCCTAGTTAAGCACTGAAAAAAGTAGGATTCACCGCACAATCTGATACACATCCACTCAGACACAAGCACCAGTGAACCCAATAGCACTTATTCTTGGTATGTAAGATTGCAGTCAGAGTTTCACCATCTGCTTCTCAAGTGAGACACAAAACAGCAGCAATAATAAATAATGCCAACATTATGGGTGAACGACAAAGAAAAGTTCCAAATCTAGTGGAATGATGAAGTGTCCACCTCTGTGGCCTCTGGGTCTGCCTTCAGTAATGAGAACTGATACCAAGAGAAATATTTGATCTAGTGTTTATGTACCAGTAAGTTTTTGCTTTTTCTGGTCTGAAGCACAGCAATAAAGTCTGTCCATTTCCAGCATTTGCCAGCCAGATGCTCCTAGCAGCTGACAAGTAGGGCATAAAGGAAAGCAGCTCTCCTCTGTTGTCTCCAGTAACTGGTAAACACGGGCCCTATACTGGGAATTTGCTAGTTTTTGCTGTCATAAAAAGTAGGCACAGAGAGGCTTAATCTTCTAGCTCATTGCCCACACATTAAAGTACTGCACCAAGGAACAGCAAAAGCAAAGCATCTTGGAAGCTGACTATTCCAAGTTGGAGGTATTAGCAACCTCATTACAAAGCATGAAGGGAGTTAATTCAGGGTAAGTAACATGTTGTCTTTACAGAATGCCACTTCAAAGCCAATACAGGCCTACAATTTCCATTAGATCCATGGGTTCTTTGGGGGAAATGGAACATAATGCTTGCTGACTGACTGGGCAGGGGTCATGTCCTCTTAGCCACCTGAATCCACAGCAATCTTTTCCAGCCATGTCAGTCCGGGGTTGAAGGCTTGCATTCCGTCTCTGTGAATGCACTCAGGATCTAGCTAAACTTAGGACCCGCCAAAAGCCAAATTTGGGTTGAATCCTGCAAGTGAAGGTAACTCCTCACAGCTGTTCTGACAGGACTTTGAATGTGCATAGGCTGATGTTTTATGAAGATACCCTGGGTGAGATTCCTGTTAACAGGTCTTCTTTCGAAGACAGAGGTCCTTTGGCTGGCCAACTCCCATCCCTTGCAGGGGCGCAACTAGTGCCAGCGCCTTCCGTCAAGAGTTTGGGTGTAATCTTCAATGCCTCCCTTTCTATGGAGGCGCAGGTTGCAGCTACAACAAAGACAGCATTTTTTCATCTCTGCCAAGCTAAGCAGTTGGTCCCTTACCTCTCTCGCCCTGACCTCGCTACTGTGATCCATGCAACGGTCACCTAGAATCATAGAATCATAGAGTTGGAAGAGACCACAAGGGCCATTGAGTCCAACCCCCTGCCAAGCAGGAAACACCATCAGAGCACTCCTGACATATGGTTGTCAAGCCTCTGCTTAAAGACCTCCAAAGAAGGAGACTCCACCACACTCCTTGGCAGCAAATTCCACTGTCGAACAGCTCTTACTGTCAGGAAGTTCTTAAGGCTTAATTACTGTAACTCACTCTATGTGGGGCTGCCCTTGAAACCGACACAGAAACTCCAGCGGGTGCAGAATGCACCCTTACGGGGTCTTTGCTGTGGGATCACATTCACCCAGTGCTATACCAGCTGCACTGGCTCCCAGTGGAGTACAGGATCAGATTTAAGGTGCTGGTTTTAACCTTTAAAGCCCTATACGGCATAGGACCCTCATACCTACAGGACCGCCTCTTCTTGTATGTCCCATGGAGGACCTTACGGTCTGCAAATAACAACACCTTGAAGATCCCGGGCCCCAGGGAAATTAGACTGGCCTTGACTAGAGCCAGGGCCTTTTCGGCTGTGGTCCCGGCCTGGTGAAATGCTCTCCCACAAGAGACCAGGGCCCTGCAGGATTTGACATCTTTCCACAGGGCCTGCAAGATGGAGCTGTTCTGCAAGGCCTTTGGGCAGGATGCGGTTTGACTTACTTTCGTTTGTATAAAACAAGCCCGAAGGAGGCCCCCAACCCGCTCAAAGGTCCTTGTATGATCAGTGGAAACAGTTGGTCCTGGCAATTATTAACCACTCTCAATTGCCAGGATTTTAACTTGTCTGAATTAATTTTAAGATGTATTTTAATTAATTGTTGTCTGTTTTTATGCTTATTGTGTTGTTTTTATGATGTTAGCCACTCTGAGCCCAGCCTCGGCTGGGAATGGCGGGATACCCATTTATTTATTTATTTATTTATTTATTCATTCATTCATTCATTCATTCATTCATTCACTCACTCACTCACTGTGCATTACTTAGCATGGCAGTACAGGAATTGTGCCAGAATTGGGATGCAAAATCAAGGTCCAAAGACTCCCCAAGGTTAGCCAGGGAACAATTCACATAAATCACCACAATGAAGCAACATGCAACTCCCCAGACTGGCCTGCCTCCATTGATGTTATGCTTATCCCTGTGAGTTGTTATGAAGAGTCTGCTATTAAATAATTTAATTAATAAATAGCTTTGTGGAGTTAGTGGGTGAAAACACAGGGAACTGGGGCTCCGAAAACAAAACAAAACAAAACAAAACAAAACAAAACAAAACAAAACAAAACAAAACCCTCTATGACAAATGCATGTTTGGTATGGCACAGAACAATTAACACAGATTCTGAGGGAGCAGGGATGGGAGAATCTTTATTCAGCCAAATGGGGGAAGAGGTGACGGGGAGCCACTAGAAAGGAATTATTGGCTGCCAAAATCTATTATACAATCTCCCTGGCAAGATTGTACCAGGAACATGAATGACACATACATGGGTTCCAGCAAGCCCTTATCAGCCTCCCAGTGTCAAGACAGGCTTGCTCTGCGCTAGCAGTAGTGTGACGGCCAGAGCTCAGAAGGCATGCTTGGGCAGGACTGTCACACGCTCCTGTTCCCCACCTCCAATGCCATCCAGCGATTCCAGCCTGCTCAGGTGAGCCAGACTTCTTCCAAGAGCCTCTTCCAGTTGCCCACGGATGGCCTGGACCCGGTCCAGCTCCACCTGCAGTGTCTGTTCACGCTGAGAGCTGGCAAGGCTATGCAGAAAGGGAAGCAGATTAGGAGCAGTTTAGGAGTTGTTCTGCCAAGGTCTACCACCCTCTCTCTGGTCACCACTTACTCTCATTCCTTCAAAAGCACCAACCACCTCACTCCCCGCAGCTGCCTTTCAGCAACGCTCTCGCCAACAGAGAGAAAACAGGGGAAAGCTGTGGGTGCTGCAAGGTGGGTGCTCACTTCTGACAAGCTGGGTATTCAAACAGTTCTTCCAAATAACACCTTGAGGGTTTATGATTTACTAAACTAGCCTATAATCTTTGTAGATATGTCAAGCAAACAGCAAGAGGTGGGAAAGCAAGGGAACATAAGCGAAAGAGTTTCTAGTCGCAGCTACAAAGAAAACTCCAGCCTCTACCCATCAAATGCCTCAGCACTGGAGGCAGGGGAACAGAGCATCTCCTCACCTGTCAGGATGAGCTTGAAACTTCACCAAAGTGCTGTAGAGCTGCTTTTCGGCTTTCAGGGTTTCATTCAGCTGATTCTTCTCTGCTGCTAGCCCCTCCAACACCTGCAGCAGCTGAAAGCGCAAACATTTGCCTTCACTTTGTGCTTACGTGAGCGTTTTAATGCTATTTAACAGTCAAGCAAAAACAACCTTGTGCCAGATTGTGACCTGAGCTGCATTTATGCCGCTTGCTTCTCTTATTTCCTGAGGAAGATCTTGACCGAAGGCAGATGCAGGTGGACTACTGCACATACTTCAACCAAGCCTGCTTTTAATGGTGCTGATATCAGAGTTTTTTGCAAAGGAGGAAAGCCTCCAATTTCCCACAGACAGAGAAATCGACCCCTTAATTTCAGTGGGTCTACTCTGAGTAAAACTTGGTTTGTGAAGTGCAATCAACAGAGGGCTGCCCTTAGACTGCCGTTTGGGGATTAAATGCCTGCTCAGGAAGTTCACAGTCCTTTTCAGCCAGTCACCCTCTCACTGTAGTCTCACAGTGCTGTTGTGAGAAAAGCCTACATAGGTAACTCTGAGCAACTTTGAGGAGCAGAAAACAGACATAAATCAAACTAGCCTGTGTTCACCACATCGCTGCGACACTTTTCTGCCATACCTGCAGTCTTCTGTTTTCAGCAACTTCCTGTCCTTGCTGTTCCATCTTGGCTACCTTTTCCTGAAGCATCAACACTTCCTGGGAAAGTCGCTCAACTACTGGCATTTCTTCAGGGTCAACCAGCTGCATTTGCAAGTCCTGGAAGTCAAGGAGAGAGTGACTTGGAGAATGGAAAAGTGCAGTCATGGCCCTGGGCCATGCGTCTACCACCAACTTCCAGTCAAGAGATCTTCCACATCATTAAAGTGTGGAGTACATCTGGAATGGGAGGCCCTGAATGAAAAACCCAACACAGGTCTTTCATTTGCAACATTCCAAAGGCGGCCTGCGATTAAACAAACTAAATCTGCTTCATATTAAAACATTCTGCTGCTTCTTATAATTTTGCATTTAACCAAAGGTTTTCTGCTGCCAGTGTTAAATCATATACTAAACTATACACGCAGATATCTGCAGCCAGAGAGAACCAGAGTCAGGGCCCTTTTGTCCCACCTTTATGAGTTCTTCTTTTATCTGGATGCTTCTAGTCAGAGATTCAACATCAGAAGCTTGAACCTGTAGCTCCTCTTCTTGGGAGACCAGGACAGACTGAAGAGCAGCAAGTTCCAACTGTGGAGAAGAGAAACGAGAGCCAGTAACAGCAAAGAGAAGACAAGGGAGAGAAGTGCCACATGAGGATGTGGCAAATGTTTCTCATGCTGTCTTAGGCTTGCCCATCTGCTAGATCTGTCAGCTGGCACATGGCATCCTTCCCTAGGAGAACTGCCCAGAACTACAGCCCTTCCTTTCCCGCTCAGCAGGCAGCACATGGGCATGCTGGTTGTGCTGCCAGGGGTCTCTGTTCCTCAATACCTTGACTCAGACTCACTCTGCTTTCCTTCTCCTTTTGTGTCAATAGCTCAAGCTGTTCTTTGGCACCAGTAAGCTCTTCCTCAAGTCCAGCAGTTGCCTTCCAAGCTCCTGGAGAGAAAGCAGAACAATGTTAGGCTGGGATCTCATACCTCTTAACCCGTCTCACAACTTTAAAAATCAAAAGCGGTGCAATCCCTGTGGAGAGAAAAACTGGAGGTGAAGGGGAACTTTCAGTTGAAAAACAACCAGAGTAAAAAGAGTTAAGGATCCCACTTTCCTCCCAAAAGTTTTTTTTTTAAATGAATACACACAGAGAGAAAGATGCATGCAACTATATAATCACATGCTGATTCAGCTTTATTTATTTAGGGCATTCCCAAAGAAACTCCTAGATCAGCAGAGAACAGGAGACAAAGTAAATTAATAAAAATTAATAAGAACAAAGCAAAATAAATAAATAATGGGAGAACAGAATCATATTCATTATTAGCAACAGAGATTAACAGGTCAGCTGCTCCCCCTCCCCTCTTCCCCAAAGAAACCCTGGACTAATAAAAAAGCTTTCACCCAGTGCCAGAAAGGCAGTCTCAAAGCCAGGTGATTTTCCTTCAGGACACAGGAGGGTGCTGTGCACCAAATTAAACCTAGTGCAGTGATATCCACACAAGAGATGGGGAACCTGTGGACTACAACTGCCAACACTGGTCATGGTGGCTGGGGCTGATGGGAGTTGCAAGTCCAAGCAACATCTGGAGGGCAAAAGGCTCCCCATCCCTGGACTACAATGACAGGCAGCACCTGCCCACTGTGCTCAGGCAGGGGCAGTTCCCTGGAGGAGCAAAGGGCCCCTGCAGGCAAAGCAAAGAGCTCCATCTCCCTGACAAGCAGCCGTGGGCTTAGAGGTCACATGCACCATGAAGCAGCTGAATTGTTCCTGCCAGCAAACATTCTGGGTGGCCAAGGGTTAAACTGAATGGAAGCTGCTTATGGACCAACCTTTCTCCACATTGAAATGGCCATCCCCGTTCTTAGATGTCATGGGAGTGGGGCTCTTGCTTGAGCTTTCTTGCCTCAGTGCCTAAGAACATAAATATACATATTATTTCACTGATAATTCATAGGCCTTGAGAGTTTGAATAAAGTATTCAACTCCAAAGTTGAACAATGAGAAACTACAGTGTTTGCTCACAGTCTGTTTTCTCCCTCTGAGAAGCACCAATTCTGCTCACTCACTTCAACATTGCTCTCATTTCTTTCCTTTAGGAAAGACTTCAAAGGCTCTGCTCTGAAAACACTTTGCTTTAAAACTGCACACATAGGGCCAAGCTAGATATGGTGCTAAATGCATCATTAGAAACCATTTCTCTCCATATGGTCCTGGGCTTGCAGGCCAGGCCAGGCCATCATGCAACCATTTCCCCACTTGATTCCTAAGCCCTGAGCACAAGCGGCACTGGAGGCTGAGGCTGAGCACCACTGAAGATGGAAGAGTCTGCTCAGGGCACAGATTATTGCAGCGTGGACCTCCATTTCCTCACCCCTTTTCTTTCCAAGCAGGCCTTCCCCTCCCCCTCTCAGGCCAACCTCTTGGAGGGAATGTTCTCTCACAGAAGCACATTCTTACTTCTGAGTCATCCTTCTGTAGGAGATGGGCAGTGGAAGCTTCCATCTTCTCTTGTGAAAGCTGGCCCTGCAGTTGCTGACGTAAATCTTGCAGCTCACAACTTCTTTCTATTAAAGCCCGTGCCATTTTCTCAGAAGATATCTGATAATGATAATAATGATAATAATAATAATAATAGTAGTAGTAGTACCCTGCCCATCTGATTGGGTTGTCCCAGCCACTCTGGGCAGTACTGATACTTCACCTAGGACTGGTATGAGGGCCAACCGTGAAGGCGGCTCTTCCTGGTGGTATATTGCGAGTGAAACCACTGCTGCTCCCGAGTCCCTCTGCCACAGAGGCAGAAACAAGCTGCAGCCAGGCACTGGTGGCAGAGGGACTCGGGAGAGGTGGCAGTTTCACCCAGCAGTGTAGACTCTAGATCAGCGTACTCCTGCCCAGATCAAAAGTACACCACAGATCAAAAGCACACCCTGCCACATGGGCTGAACCAGGTATAATCTGAGGTAGGATTCCATGGGCTCTGGGGCAACTGCGAGCCTGAGCCACACCAGACAAGGCAGATTGGGTGTGGATGCCAAGCCTCCAACATCCCCTCGGAGACCACATCCAGCAACTCAGCAGGGTGGGGAGTGCGCTCACAGAATCCCTAGCCCGTCATGAGAGCCCAAGCATGAGGTACAAATATTTGATATGGAAAGACTCCTAAACAGAATACACAAAGAAGGAAGCATACTAGACAGAAGAACCTGAGGGCGTAAGAAAAATCCCAAGGGATGAGGCCAAAGGGCCATTCAGCATCCTCCTCTCACGGAGGCCCACCTGATGCCCATGGGAAGCCTGGAAACAGGGCCTGAGGGCAACAGCATCCTCCCCATTTCTGAGTCCCAGCATCTGGTTTCCAGAGACATATTACCTCTGGAAGCAGAGGAAGAACGTAGCCATCGTAGCCATGCAGGAGCTCCACCTCCCCAACCACTGAGTCTCTCTTGCTGAGACAGAGACGCCTGCAGATGCATCTGGGAGAGAGTGGCATTGAAAGCCCAAGAGAAGAGTGCCAACCCCAGTGCACAGCTGCCCACTTACACAACTCTGCTGCTCTCTGGTGTGGACAGCTTGAAGCAACTCCTGAAGCTCAGCCATTTGCTCCACAGTCTGCCGGCTCTTGTCACTGAGGAGTTCCTCTATGATCTGCTCTTTCTGCTGAAGGCAGAGATACAGCTCTTCCACAAGCTCCCTCTGCCCCGGCCCCAGCTTGCATAGCAGTTTTGCTGACAGTGCCTAGGGAAATGACAATGACAAGGATAATCAAGAGGGAGGAGGAAAGCAGGCCTTCCTATTTCAGACAGGGTGCTGAGATCAAGGAGAAGAGGAAATTTCAGAGGTTATTCAACTATGATTGCACCATTTCTGGCAATGTACAATGATCAACACAACCAGCAACTGCTTTCTGGATTCTGGTTTAGTAACAATGTCGTACCTGCAGAATGACTGTGAACCTGGATCAATCACTGGCTGAGAGGATGGGGCAACAGTCCCAGGGCCTCCCAACAGAGCTGCCTTTCTCACTTACTTCCACTTTCTTATTCCTGTCATGCAAAGCCGCCTGCAGCTGCCGGATTGTTCCCTCTTGCTCTGCCTGCCACTTGAGAGATTTTGCTTCAACTTCCTCTTTCAACCAGCGCAAATTCTGGTAGCTTGTCAACAGCTGCTCAAGTTCCAGACCCTTTGCTTTCAGCAAGCTCTCCATTCCCTACGGGAGAGGGGAGAGAGTGGATAGCAAAGAGATCAACAGAAGGCCAAGCCAGACCTCCGTCTAGATTTCTCATGGTACAAAACAAGCAACATCTATTTCCATCAGGTCCTTTTTGCACAAGGCACGGGGGGGGGGGGCACACAGCTCTACAGTGGTATGCATACTTTGGACGTTTTAAGGTCCAAGTTCAACTCCTGCAATCTCTGCTGCAGAAGAACCCAATTCAGGAGAGAAAAGCCCTTTGCAGAGACTTTGGAGAGCTACTGCAAGTAAGAGCTGCTCAACAGTGGAACGGTCTCCCACAGGAGGCTGTGGACTTACTCTCCTTCCTTGGAGGGTTTAGAGCAGAGCTTGGATGGCCATCTGTCATGGATGCTTTAGCCGAGATTGCTGCATTGCAGGGGGCTGAACTAGAGGACCCCACTCTACGGTTCTATGATTCTATGTGAGGATAGAAATGTTGGGCTGGCTTGTTGGCACCATTAGGTATAATTAAGTTGTGCTGAGTGCTACTCTGAAACTCTGGATTAACCCTAACATAGCTCAAGTCAACCTAAAAGCAATGGAAAAGGAATTGCTGCAAGAGTCGTCTTGAAGAGTGCTGCATTAATACAGTGTCAGTCTCAAGAGTGGGCAGGAAGCCATGGCAGATGGAAGGAATGGCATAAGCACTGCCCTTCCTGCTGCAACCCACCTGAATGGTAGCCTCATTATGGGAGAGGACCCTGCGCAGCTCTTCCAAGTCATGCTCTCGCTCTTTCACAGCCAAGCGAAGCTGCTGCAGCTCCTGCTCCTTGTCTTCAAGCACACAGAATTTCTCATCGACCGCTCGCTGCAACAAAAAAGGCCACGTAAAGCACATAAAGCATTTAAAAACCATATTGTCAGAAAAGCACTGTTTAATGTCTGGATAAGATATAAGGACTTGCTTGAAAATAAAACCCCAAGGTGGCTGTCACCAATGGAAGCGAAGGCTCAGAAAAAGCTCAATATGGAGGCCAAATGGCCGAAATATTGGGAAATTTTGGAACAAGAGGGAGACAGATTAAAACTGTAGAGTTTTGAAAAATTAAAAAATAGAGTGCAAGACTGGCTCCATTATTATCAAATAATGGAGGCGTATAATTTGGATAAAAAAATTGGCTTCCAGGTGGAAAAATCAAAATTGGAAACAGAACTGTTAGATCCCAAAATTAAGAACTTGTCAAGAATGTATAACTTGCTGTTGAAATGGAATACTCAGGATGAAACGGTGAAATCAACTATGATTAAATGGGCACAAGATGTAGGACATAATATTATGATGGCTGACTGGGAACAGTTATGGACCACAGGTATGAAGCTTACGGCATGTAATGCCCTAAGAGAGAATATAATGAAAATGATCTACAGGTGGTACATGACACCAGTCAAGCTTGCAAAAATATATCACTTGCCCGATAATAAATGTTGGAAATGTAAAGAGACTGAAGGTACATTTTTTCACCTTTGGTGGACATGCCCAAGGATTAAGACATTCTGGGAGATGATTTATAATGAAATGAAAAAGGTATTTAAATATACCTTCCTGAAGAAACCAGAGGCCTTTCTCCTGGGCATGGTCGGCCAATTGGTGCCAAAAAAGGATAGAACTTTCTTTATGTATGCCACAACAGCAGCAAGAATACTCATCGCGAAGTATTGGAAGAGACAAGATCTACCCACCCGGGAAGAAAGGCAGATGAAGGTGATGGACTATATGGAACTGGCGGGAATGACTGGCAGAATCCGAGACCAGGGAGAAGAGTTGGTGGAAGAAGATTGGAAGAAATTTAAAGTTTATTTACAGAAACATTGTAAAATTAAGGAATGTTAGAAGGATGTTGGAATGAAGTAATGTGGTTTTAGCAGAGATGTCGTAAAGGATTAAGAAAAAAAACAGATTGTTAAATGGTGAAAGGAGGGAAAGTAAAATTACATTATATTAAGATAAAATAGAGGACAAAAACTGGAAAAGATGGAAAGGACTTGCTGAAATAGCTAAATGAACTAGAATACAAAAAAGGGAGGTGTGAGGAGGTCAAGAAAACAAGTAAATGAAAGATAAGTTATGGGAAGATTCATTGTATTTTTTTCTTTCTTTTTTCTTTTTTTCTTTATTGTGATGTGATGTTCTGTTTTTGCTTAGGATGCTGTTGTTGTTTTTTTATTTTCTCTTTTTGTAACCTTTCAAATCTTAATAAATATTACTTAAAAAAAAAAAAAGGCCACGAGTGGGCAAAGAAGTAGCAAGCGTCACAAAGACAAGCAACCAAGATTATAATTTAATAAAATACATATAAACTATTTAAATGGTTTACAAACATAGAAAAAGGGTTCCACAAAATTGTGGAACTCACAACTCACACCCCACTCATTGTTAAGAGGGAGATTCAGCTCCCCTTCTCCTCTTCAATGCGCCAGACAAGAGAGAAAAGAGGACATCTGCTCTTGGCATTGCAAGGGCCGTCCAAGACATTTGGCTGCCTGAGGGAAAGGGCAAGATGCAGCCCCACCCCCTACTGGCACCCAGACTGCCACCTAAGAGCTGCAGGCCACCTCAGAGGTGCAGAGCAGGGTGCTCTGTGCTCCGCAAAACCTACCAGCTGAGGAGACCTGGGACAGCAAAGGATGGCACCAGTGTGAACACAGAAAAAATACACAAGAGATTGTGCTGGACACCTCTGTAATTACCTCCAGGATGGCATCCCTGTCTTTGATTCGTTGTTGCAATTTCTTCACCATATTATCAGCTGATGTGGGGCTCTTGTCCAAGCTCTGGTGATACTGAATAAGTTCCTTAGATTCCTGCAAAAATGGAACATATTGACACCATCAATAACACCTGAGCAACTTCAGAAAGCTCCAAGAGAGAAGCAATGCTGGTGAGAGATCCAAGCGTTCTTGGGAAGGCAAATGAAGCAGTTGTGAATAGGGACAAGGAGGCAACTTTTCTGACCCACAGTTACCCAAGGTCAGGGCACAAGCCACAGCCAAGCAAGGCCTTTTATCATGAGACAGCAAGGACTGGCCCAGCACCTTCGACTCCTTTAACCTTGACTGGCCACTGCAATGTACTCTAGAGCAGCCTAGATAGGGCGTACCTTGAAAGCTTTCTGAAAAACCATTGCATGCCTGCTCACAGGATGGGGGTAGCCACAAGCAGTCCGAATCTGAGTGAATTTATCTGCAAAAAAAGCTTTGCACAATCATTGCAGGAGATCTTGGGGTCTATACCAGGCCCTGATGGCAAAGGTGGTTCCGTTAAATTACGAACCACCTGAAAGAGTCTCCTGCTGCTATTTTCTGCAGATGCAATAGAGGCAGTGAAGAAAGTGAAAAGTGAAAGTTCTCTTCGCCGTCGCTTGGTAGGCTCAGCGTTGAGCTCTAATCTGTGTCTGGTCAGATTCAGAATGAGTTTTCTGCCACTGGCACCCTAACCGTCTCAGCGGTTGTTTCCGTGATTGGAGAAGGCAATGAACACATGCAAAGGGTAGGCAGTGTTAGGATATTTCCGTTCCACCTTAAAAGTGAGCAGGCTTTGTGAGTCACAGAGTCTGCGTATTTCCTGTTCACAGGAAGTTTATGTTTTGTCTATTGCTTTCGTTTCTCTCTCTGTGCCTGAGACACCGAAGCAGGCAGTCATGTTTTCTTTGTTCTGACCAATGCTGAATAAACTTGTAAATAATGCTCTCCTGCGTGCATCTTTCACTGTGTGAATTCTGCTGATAGAGCGTGCATCAGCTCTGGAATGTGGCAAGCTATTTCCGGTAGCTCATGTCGCTAATTGAATGATACTGTGTGTCTACGGGAGATCGATGGACGTCCGGAGGCGGCTTGGGGGCCATGATGGACTTTGTCTCCCTGGCAGTATCCCAACAAGTGGCTAGAGTGGGGAGGGAGGGAGGAGGCTTGTATTCGCAATATACTGCCGGGTTGGAAATTCTGAAATCCTTAACTGCAGTCAAGACCTCAAACTGCTTTGGGGCAATGTTTTGATACATCACCCAGCCCTACTATGTATCTGATCATAATGCAGTTATGTGGGGGCCATAACCTGGGGAAGGCTTCTAGTATCTGGTGTATTGATATGTCTTTACTTAATGATTAACATTTTGTTCAACCAAAGTGGGAAGAGACTCTACAATATTTTGAACTGAATTAAGCAACAACCTCTGTGTGAAAGTCTGAATGGGAAGCGTACAAAGCACGTATCAGTGGACATATTATAGCACCTGCCTCCAATAAAAATCAGCTTAAAAACAAGGGAAAGAATAACTTGATAAATGAAAGAATCTTGGGCACAAATGATTAGAAATCCATCTACAAAATACAAAAAAGGATGAATTAAATAATATTCTTTCTCATCAGACAGAATTCATGCTTGCATGTACAAAGAAGAAATATTAGGAAAATGGTGAAAAAACAGCCATGATCTTGGCTAATTGTTTAAAACAAAAGAAAGCCAGAGCATTGATTCCCAGTATTAGAGGGGCAACCAGTGAATTATAAAATTCTCCAAGTGATATTAATACCCAGGTTTTTTAAATTTCATGCAGAATGGGCAACTCAATGAAAGTAGAAAAGGAAGATACACATGTCCTTTTTTATAAAAAAAAATACCAAATTTAAACCGTATACAAAAACAATTTTAGCATCTCTGATTTTAAGATCTGGATTAGATGGATTCCCATCTGAATGATTTAAAACTGTGTGGATCTTCTAGCATCAAAACTATGTTTATTATATGAAGAGGGGAATTCTTTCAATGACATTCAATCAAGCATGTATCGGTTATACCAAAACCAGACAATATCATTAACTAATGTAAATATAAAGATTTTAACAACCGTTTTGGCAAATAGAGTGCAACAAGGGATATTGCCAATAATAATGAGTGACCAGGCAGGATTCACTAAAACTAAACATGCTTCAGACAATATCAGGCTAGTGGCTGATCTAATAGATTTAAATAGAATAAGAAAGTAATCTCTTTTTTTAGGATACTGAAAAAGATTTTGATAAAATTTATAAACAGTACATGCAGGAAGTGCTGGTTAGATTAGGATTTCCTTTGATATTTGATGCATCCACATCCAAGACACAGGAAATACTCAAACACTTGACTGAATCCTTAGAAGCTAAAAAAAAAACCCAGCTATTACTTTTTACAGAAGTTTAGTGTCAATCTGACACACAGACTTTGAGAAATGAATGGAATAAAGAATTAACAAGCCTCATCTTAACTGAACAATGGGATAATGTTTTAGCCTGTTTCTAATGTGTTGTTAGATTCCTAGCAATGCACTGTAAGCCAAAAGCAGAATTAAATAAACCTTCCATTACTGAGCTTTTCCTTTGAGTACATCCCAATAAGCTCTGTTGGCACCAACTGGTGTGAAATGGCTGCTGGGGTGTTTGAACCTCATTGCGGTGGGTGTCATTCCTTTTCTTTACTATACTTTTCACATATTTTAGCCAAGTAAAAGTGAACAAAAATGCAGTTCCCCACAAATCTTATAATAAATGTGTGCTGAGTTGCAATAGGTTCATTTCCCCGTGCATCGTTACATGAAAGAGAAGTAGAGCTCGGTATCATCCGCATATTGATGAACACCCAGCCCAAATGCCCTGATGATCTGTCCCAGCGGCTGCATGTAGATGTTGAAAAGCATGGGGGAGAGGACAGAACCCTGAGGCACCCCACAAGTGAGAGCCCAGGGGTCTGAACGCTCATCCCCCAACACCACTTTCTGAACACGGCCCAGGAGGAAGGAGCGGAACCACTGTATAACAGCTCTACACCACTTCTCTGTTCTTTTGAAAATGTTATAGCCTTTGTGAGAAAAGACAGAACTACTGCAAAAAATATACAGGATGACAGCATCATGCAGATGAACAAAGCTGGTTAATTCCAGACTAGTGTGGAAGATTCCCTTTAGCAACTGTATTTCCCAACCCAACACCAACAACTCTGGGAACTGTTTTGGTTTTATCTTTGGACCTTCTCACCTGTTAAACACACACACCATCTGAAATAAGGTGTGTTTTTGCCCAAACAGAATTTAACAACCCATCTGTATCTCACCTGTAGAAGCTGTTCTCTGCAAGCCAGCCTGTGCTTCAAATGCTTCAGTTTCAGCTCTTGTTTCTGCATCTCTGACCATCTTTCTCTTTCCAAAGTACAACATTGCCAGTTTTTGTTCTGCAGCTCTGTTCTTACTTGTTGAAGAGCACAACGCAGCTCCTGGAAACCAACACAACAATGTAGTCATTAGTCAATCAGGCCTGGAAGCATCTCTGAAGCTCTCAAAAGGGCAGAAAGGTTGAACTGAGCTGCAACAGGGAAAGCGACAGGACTGCTCACACTCCCCAAAAGGCAAACTCTGGCCATTTCCACCACACTGCCACAAACCGGTTGTGTGAACCTTACTTTTACAGTTAGTAACGTGAGGCTTTTTATTTGTGACATGAAAACATTTTCTGGCCCTTGAAGTACAGCAAAGGACAATGCAAGACATTCAGCTGTTCAAGCTCCATTTAGGCCTGGTCCCTTACCTTTCTCACCCTGTTCTGGCCACAGCAATCCATGTGACAGTCACCTCCAGGCTTGATAATTGTAACTCGCTCTATGCAGAGCTGCCCTTGAAACTGACCCAGAAACTCCAGCAGGTGCAGAACGCCACAGTGAGGCTCCTTATGAGGTCCTCACCCTGGGACTACATTCAGCCAGTTCTATACCAGCTGCACTGGCTCCCGGTGAAGTACAGGGTCAGGTTTAAGGTGCTGGTTTTGACCTTTAAAGCCCTACATGGCCTAGAAGTCTCGTACTTACAGGACTGCCTCCCCTGGTATGCCCCGCGGAGGACCTTAGTGTCTGCAAACACTAATACTTTGGAGGTCCCGGGCCTCAAGGAGGTTAGACTGGTCCCGGCCTGGTGGAACGCTCTGCCGCAAGAGACCAGGGCCCTGCAGGATTTGACATCTTTCTGCAGGGCCTGCAAGACGGAGCTGTTCTGCCAGGCCTTTGACCTCCCTCTTTCTATGGGACCAGCACGGATGGCCGGGCCTGATGAATATTTAATATTCCTTACCACTATAGTTGTTGCCATTCAATTTCATTTTGATTTTAATGTGATTTTGAATCAATCGTTTGTGTTTTTATTGTATTATATATTTGGTGTTAGCTGCCCTGAGCGTGGTCCTGGCCGGGGAGGGTGGGGATAAATAAATTTATTATTATTATTATTATTATTATTATTATTATTATTACTACTACTACTACTACTATTATTATTATTATATTTTGATGGGTGAAAAGGGCTCAGCGAACGAATTCATGCCATACCTGGTTGTGTTTCCATGCAGCCTCTTTCTGCTGCTGCTCCTCTTGCAGCCATGTTTCTACAAGGCAGGAGGTCTTCCTGGCCTCAGCCAACTGGAGATCCTTTTTCTGCTGAGCCGTCTTCAGTTGCTGCACTTCCAGCTGAGTGAAGAAAAGTGTGTTCTCTACCTCAAGGAGTGCTCCCGGCTGTGTCTGCTGCAACATGGAGGAGCCCCCTGGGATCTGCAGAAAGGTGAAAACAGAAAAGGTGGGGGGGTTAAGACTGAAATCACTGCCCAGAAAAATCCTGGAGCTTTTAAAAGTGCATTCCATGGTATATCATAGGCTCTTGCCGGTAGCCAATGCTGCAGGCAAAATTCTTTAAGGGTGGAACATATTCAGACAGTGAGGAAGTAGCTAGTGGCATCTGCATGTACACTACATAATCTGAATAGCTTGGCTGTGTATTTTGTCTCCTTGGAATCTAATGGGAATTATCTTTGTTTACTTATTATATTATCTTTGTTTACCATATATTACAATCTACAGCTAATTTTCTTGAAATACAGTACTCTAAACATCAGGGCAATATACTTTGAACCTCTAGTTCAAATGTCTGGGATAAGACAAGACATATTCGATATAAGACAAGAAATATCAAAATAAGATACATACCTGCAATTGCCCAAGTTGTGTTTTATGTAGTGTGTCTTGTAGTTTGGCTATTGTCTCATTCTGCCCTTCAATTACACGGTACAGTTCTTCAGACTACAGGACAGAATTGAGCAGCGAGAAATTAGCAAAGGCACCTATCACCTCCCCCTCCCGAGACATAATCTGTAGTGGGGTAGTTGAGATAATGGATTTCAACATTGCATTATTTCACATGTTCTCTCTGCACAAGCGCTGCCACTTGCAATCTCAAGGAGCAATCTCCCAACTCCTCCCCTGAGTGCTGTTCTGGGGGGGGGGGGGATGAATCCCCACCAGAGCCTATTTCAGGTAGAGCACAAAGCAGAGGCCCCGCTGCACAAGACAGAGTCCTTCAGCTGGTGGGCATGTTCGGCATATTCCGCCCCAAGGTGCAACAAGACTGTTAGAATTTCCTAAAATGCTGTACCAGAAAGGACAGCTCACCCCATTCTCTATAGAATTATCTTACCCAATTTCACATACTGGGAAGATTTCATATGCTACAAATAACAGTTAGATGAAATTTTGAATCACTGGCTCTATTTCAGCATTTACTGGACAAGGAGATGGCAACACTACAAACCTCTTTCTCTTTGCTCTTCAAGGTCTCATTCAAGGTCTGGATTTTGTGATCCTGTCTCTGGGATGTATGCTGAACAGACTTAAGTTCAAAATCCATCTCATTCAGTTTCTCTTGCAGCTGCTAAATGTCGTAAACAAACACACACTTTGAACTCGACCATATAAGATACTCTTTTCCATTCTCAGTACAGGCACACCTCAGGGACAATACAGGTTTGGTTCCAGACCACCAAAATAAAGGGAATATTGCAATAAAGTGAGCCCCACAATTTTCTTTGTTTCCCAGTGCATATAAGTTATGTTTAAACTCTACTGCGGTTTATTAAGCCAGGCCCCGCTGGCTGCAGGGGTGGAGGGGAGAGGGAGGCAGCTTCCTTTCCCTGGAAGCAGCTGTGCTGCCTACAGCTGCGCCCACATCCTCGTAAGGAGAAGTATCTGCAAAGTGCAATAAAATGAGGTATGCCTGTACAGCTTTAACCTACTGCTGAATTACTCAACCTTTCTACATATTTACATGAATTGCAATTTCCTAAGCCTCCAACATATATTGTGTTATTGGAAAGTTTACTGCCCCATAATTTTGGGAAATTTTAGATGAAACCTGAGGATTTCAGGTTTCATTTTTAAAGTAAATGTGTAATGCACAACCCCTAGCCTCACCCTAGTGTTAGGTTGCATTTTGTGATACTAGCAAACTGACAGCTTATGACTGCGACAGATCACATCCACAGGCAGAAATGACAGTGTGTGCGTGTGTGTAACACACTGATGGCTCCAACTGGCCCAGAACAGTTTTTTAGGCTTGAGCACAAAAGTTTAAGCCCACATGCCCCAACCCATGGATTCAGTTGTCTCGACACAAATGCAGATGAAATGGAGCTTTTAATTCAGGATGGCAAATATGGCCTGCTAGGTATTACTGAAACCTGATGGGATGAGACTCGTGACTGGAATGTAGGAATTGAGCGGTATAACCAGTTCAAAAGGAACAGACCAAGCAGGGAGGAAGAGTCCCCAACCCACTCTTAGGAGGAAGTGCACAGCATCGAAAGTGCTGAGGCAATAGGACTGTGTCTGGTTGTCCCCAGCTCTGCATTTCCATGTCTTGGACAAAGTGTTTTTCATCTAACACACATCGCCTGAAGTATGGAATCTAAACCCTTCCAGCTTTTGAAAATAGGACCGAACCTATGCATTTTTTACTACGGGCACAGGCACCTGTAGATGTTATGACCACCATACAACTAGACATAGGCCAGGAAAAGGCTATAGATGTCTCACCATGTGTTGTGTTTACTCACACATTAGCCCCAAATCTATTTAATGCACTTTTGACTTTTATTATTTAAAAAATACCTTGTTGGTAGCATCAAGGCAGCTGATTTTTTCCAGCAGTTCTACATTATTTAGTTCAGATGCTTGTTTGCCTTGTGATAAGTTGCTTGGAGTCAGTTGCTGCTGGTCTTCAAACAAATACTGAAAAGGGTGAGAAAAAAGTGACATTTGCTCAGATAAGGTTCCTTTTGCAGTTTGCTTCCATTGTTATATAGCTCAGCAGGGAAATGGACTGGTAAATGAAGGAGATTCACAGTGAGAGGCTGGCCTTGGGACAATTTAGCTCTTCCAATTCCATAAACACAGCTTTTAAGTTCCCTGACATTTCCATTTTCTACCCAAATATCTTATTTTCCATCAGTTACTAATTAAAGTATCATTAATTATCCCCTTCCCCTGCTCTTCTCAATTCCATTTCTTGCTATTCATTCCTCATTCTTCCTCATTGTTCTAGCAAAACTAACCAGAACTCAAGTTACTTTGTTTCTTCAAGCTGTATTGGATCTAATATGTCTAGTACAAGAAGTCTGTGTGAATTTATTATTAAAATATTTCCTGCTGCCTTTCTGACACACAATGACATTCAAGGCAGCTCCAAAATATTTGTTCTCTGTTGCACCATTTCCCCTCATACTCCTTTAAGTCACTAAGCAAGGAGTCTGATTCATGTTCATCAGCACAAAGTTGCCTCAACTTCATGACTTCCTACTGAGGTAATCTGTAGTCTTTATCTCTTTCCCCATGGTGGCAAAAGCAAGGTCTGGCATTAACAATTGTGTCCTGTGCCTTGAAAGTCTGTACTGCAACCAGGCTCAGACTCACCGCTGAGCTTCAGGATCCAGAGGCGTCTAGGGAAATCACTGCCCAGGGACCTGTACCTTAAATAGCCCCGCTCTGTGCTGCCCCTGAGTTGTGGAGTAAAAATATTTCATAACCCTTTTGCTTCATCTGAGTGCCCTCCCAAATGCCATTAAAGGTCTGATGTATGGAATATCCTCTCTATAGTGAACAGATTTAGATTCTGATATCTGAATCTGTCACAGTGATGTCAAACAAACATTTCCTGAATGGCTCCATCTTTCCCAGAGCACAGCCTTTTCTGAGTGAGGGCAATACACTACTGCTGACAGCTCTACTCAGACGTTTCTTGTCACAGCCTTACTAAGCTGCGTCCAAATTAATGAGTTGTTGTTTTATAGAGAAGACCAGGATCTTTTTCTGCTGCAAGCTGATCACTCCTCCGCAGGTAAAAAAACTGTGTATTCCTAATAAAGTATGTCTAAAACAACAATGCTACTAATGTCCCACATGCTCCAAAAGCTGTACACACTTGCAGAAAAGTTGTGTGCTGTATTAAGCTGCTTGGAAATTATTCTGTGTCACAGTAACAAAGAACAGAGAATGAATTCCAAGAGCTTTTGCTTGCTAGTGTTTCAAGGGGATGGTGGTATAATAAGGCTCTTCTATCATTGCTTGTTACTTTATTGCCATTAAAATTACTGTTTTCATTATTTTGTAGTGCTTTTTCCTATTTGACATTTCTTGGTGTTTTTAAGATGATTACTTTTATTTGTTAGTTTCAAATACTTGTACCCCACCATTCAGGACAATGGCATGACAAGGCGGCTTACCATCACAATTAAAAAGCAATAGATTTAATCAGTAGGTTGAGTAAAATTAAGCAGCCACTAAAAACAGCAGGTCAACATAAAACCATTAAAAGAAAAGCTACATGAGACAAGTCATTGGGGCTCATTTAAGGGAACCGAAGAGGAGCTTGCTGATTATTTTGAGAGGAGTTTCAAAGATCTACAGCCACTCCTTGGAGTAAAAATATATGTATTATTCAATGTATGGTGGAATTTTAAAACCAAGCCACTTAGCTCCTCTGTTTTTACCAACTAGTTTATTCCATCCTGTCTCCAAAAAAACAATCATAATGTACCTAGTTCTCACCCCAACTCCTTTTTATTACCAAAACAAGCCTGTGAGGCAGGTTCGGCTTAGGCAGGCTGACCCAAAGTGAAGCTCAAGGCTCAGTACAGATTTGATTCTAGGTTTCCTCAGAGTTAATCTGACATTCTAGCCCTTAATGCTGGGAGGCATCATCACCTTGGCATCCTAAAACTGCATCAGTGTCTTACCTCAGATGTTAAGCACAGAATACAATATCTGGCTCAAGTACCAGATATCAAGTTTTCTAGCAGACATGTAACTTGGCCCGTTTCTGATTTTCCACGTACAGCTTTAAAGCAAGCCGTATCTGGATTAAAAAGGCCTCCTCTGTTGCAGTTTGACAATGAAAGCAACCCTGGCTGGTGACAGTATTTTGTTGCCCTCAAAGATAAGAGTGTGGGTTTGTAAATGATCAAAACAGAAAATTAAATCCATTATCTTCTTAAAATTAAACACGGGTTATTCTCTGGCACAGTGGCCTTCAAACTCTTGCACACCCAGCACTTATGTTCAGCATGCACTTTTAATATTTTTCTCAAATATGATTTTACTACAACTGATCTGACCTTTTCTCTTTAGCTTGTGAGACCCACCCCACGGGCACAATCCGATGCACACTTACCTGGGAGGAAATCCCATTGTACTTAATGGGACTTAATTCTGAGTAAACACGCATGGGATTGCCAGGTAGCAACTCAAGTTATGGGTCAAAAAGGCCACAAACCAGCTGAAGGCCAACAGATTTGGGGATCTTTTCAGTGCTACGACAATTGCAGTCTTGTCATACCTACTGACTTCAATTTAAGCCAAAGCTCTAGAAAAGGACCTACTTCTTTGCAATAGTGATAACCCCAAGGTTTAACAGAACAAGATTTTCTCAAGGTGTTACAAGCTCAATATAATCCTCAGCCGCAAAAGGCTTCGGAGGCTCAGCTCTTAATGCGAAGCTTCCACTACTGTGTTTAAAAGCAGTTCAGTGAGCTTCCCCTAATCAAAGCTGGATGATAACTAGATGAAAATGTCATTGTCACCAATCATTGGTATGCATTTTTTAAATTTTCTGCTGCTAGCTGAAATCAGCACTTATCACTGACGTGAATCCAATTCGGCTGACATGGATGTTTCTAAATTAAAGATGACAGAGGCACAATTTCTTAAATACAACCAGAAGTTGAACTTAATGAGATTTCAAATTCTAGCAAAGCCAAGAGAATCCAAGACTCCATTGCATATTGTACCTAGAATGTTGGCGACTGCAGCTGACACAGTTCTAGGGGAGCTGCCATTAATTCAAGGTGACACACCAATTATTTAGAATATTTAAACTGCAGAAGTCTGTCTATAGGCAGCACAACCCCATATTAGATCCCATCTGTACAAGGTCACTAAGAGGAGAGAAAATTGTCACAATGCTGCCAGGTGTACACTCGGTTTACAAGACCACCCCCTCCTAAATCCATGCCTTTTAAGGGTTTCTCCTCCTTCAAAAATAATTTTGCCAACTTTGCAGTTTCACATTTTGTACTTAATTACATGACAGCACAGAAAGCGGGATTTTGTTCTGCTGCCCTGATGCTCAACACATCCACTTGTGTTGCACAAAGTCCAATATACGTTTTGAATAAAATGCATTCTTAACGGTAAAACGAAAACAAGGATTTGTAGCCCATTGACATGCGCGGCCAGCCGCTCCTTCGGAAACCTAAAAAGGAGCCGGCAGGCTTCTCCTCCCCGCTCGGCTCCCTCCCGGCCCCCGACAGCAGCCCTTCCTTCCCCGCGGCGGCCCGGGAGGGCGCTACCTTCGGCCGCAGCGGGACGTAGTCGGCGCACAGCTCTTCCCACAGCTCGCGCAGCTCGGGCGCCTCTCTCGGAGCCCCGGCCGCCCCCTCGGGGCTTCTCCGCGCCGGCACCGGCAGCCGGCTCCCGCGGGGGCTGCGCACGGGCTTGCAGCCGAAGGCCTTCAGCAGGCTCAGCGCCGCCGCCAGGCCGCCGCCCGCGGGCCCCGACGCCAGCGACTCCAGCGAGGACGAGCCGGCTTCCTCGGCGCGCCTCCGCCCCGGCCCGTCCGCCTCCGCCTCCCCGCGTCGTCCAGGCTCTCTCCGTCGCCGGGGCGCTGGGGCTGCCCGGCGCTCTTCGCCGCCGCCGCCCTCCGCGGCACCCGGCACACGGCCTCGTAGTCGGCGTCGGCCACGCGCAGCGCCGCGCAGCCCCGGCACCGTCGGGGGGCTCCGGGCGGCTGCTCGTCGACGCGCGCCTCGCCCTCCGTCCAGCACTCGAGGCCCGAGAAAGCGAAGTCCTCCTGGAGCAGCGCCAGGTAGCGGGCGTCCCAAGCGCCCCCGCCGCCCGGCTGGCCCTCCGGCGGGGCCTCGGGGGCGCCGTTGGTCCTCCGGTAGAGGGCGGCCAGGCACAGCTTGAGGCGCTCCTTCTCCAGCAGCAGCCGCTGCAGGCGCTCCAGCGACAGCGCCTCGACGCGCGCGATGACCGTGTCGAAGCGGTAGACGCGCTCGAGCAGGAAGGCGCACTTGCCGCAGGCGAACTCGGCGCGCCCGTCGCGGGACACCTCGCGCCCCGTCGCGTGAGCAAGGAGCACCTGCAGGCTGGGCCGGGAGGGCGGCGGCGCGGGAGACGGCGGCGCCCCCGACGCCCCGTGGAAGAGCCAGCGCCGGTGGGTGCCGCACAGCGCCCGCCCGCACACGCGGCACCACTCCGAGCGCATCCCCAGCGCGGCCCCGAGCGGCCGCCCGCCGCCCGCCCGCCAAGAGATGCTCCGGCCGCGCCCGGTCCCCCGGCAAGATGGCGGCCGCAGCCGGCCCGCGGAGGCTTCTGGGAGTCGTAGTCCCCCGCCCCGCCCGGCAGCCCCCGGAGCTCTCCAGCATCCCGGCTCTCCCCGAAGGGAAGGGGCCCCAGCGCCCGGCGATGCAGGCAAAACCCTCCAAGGAAGGATGGAGCGAGCTTTTTCCTCCCACTCTGGAGGGCAGGACTTGAACCAATGGGCTCAGGTCAGTATTAGAAAGAACTTTCTGACGGGAAGAGCTGTTCCGCCGTGGAACGGTCTCCCTCTAGAAATTGTGGACTGGCCTTTCTTGGAGGTTTTTAAGCAGAGCTTGGATGGCCATCTATCCCGGATGCTTCAGTTGAGATTCCCACATTGCGGGGGTTGGACTAGATGACCGCTGAGGGTCCCTTCCAGCTCTACAGTTCTATGATTACGCCATCTTAAATGAACTTTCATGCAATCAGGATTTAAATACATAGAACACAGTGACTTACTAAAAACCAGAAAAATAAAGTGTTAGGCAAACCTTAAACGTACAGTCACATCAGATATGCAAATTCAGATGCTTTGAGCTTGCATTATGTATGTGAAAGGGAAGAATTATGTATCTGTGAGTAATACAATTGACAGAGCAGTGATGATGACACTGACTCAGTTTGCAGATAAAGCTAAGCCAAACCATAGCATAGTGTGAACTCACAGTCCTCATAGACTGGCATCACTGAACTCCTCCCCCAGCTCTCCTGCTGCCATGCTTAAACCATTACTCAGTTTAGGGTGCTGTCTGAACCTGATCTCCTGGTTTTTGGGGGCAAACCACATGCCCAGGTTTGGATGGCACACTTAGCCAAACCACAGTGCAGCAGCAGGAGGACCAATAATATTAATTCATTATTTCTATGCCGCCCATCTGACCAGGTTGCCCCAGCCACTCTGGGCAGCTCGCATCAAAAAATTGTAAAAGCACATCACACACTAAAAACTTCCCTTCAGATGTCTGTTAAAAATCACATAGCCACTTATCTGTTTGACATCTGCTGGCAGGGCATTCCACAGGGCGGGTGCCACCACCGAAAAGGCCCTCTGCCTGGTTCCCAAGGGAGGAGTACAGCTGCCAGGAACGTACCTGCTTGTGTTTTCCCCACTAAACAATAGTTTGGCTCAGCATTACATGTGAACTAAGCCATTGGCAATGTATGTTTGACAAATTAGTGCCTATGGAAAGGGGGTCATGGCCTTTCCAATAAATGAGCCACCTTTCATACATAGGATAAAAAGCCATTAAGCTTTAGGAACAAAGAAAGGAGGAGTACACTGGCTCTAACACATATATAAATAACAAAGGAGAAGTAAGACAATTATTCTGTCATGAAATTATTACTGGAATGCTGCATTTAATTCTGTGACTCACAGAATTTTTTTGAAAGTTATTTGAAGACCAAAACATTTTTTATACTTTTAAAAGAGACTTAGACTGGAACCTAAGACAAATAATTGGCTTTCTTCCACCACAAGGAGAACAAACACAGTTTCCTTCCACATTAGCTATTTTCTCTGGAATCACCTTCCTTTGAATGGAGAATCCAGAGGACATTGTCAGATAACTGTAGTTGACTGTTGTTGTTGTTGTTTTGTTAAAAAGTTAAAGGACCCCTGACAGTTAAGTCCAGTCACAGATGACCGTGGGGTTGTGGAGCTCATCTCACTTTACAGGCTGAGGGAGCCAAAGTTTGTCCACAGACAGGTATCCAGGTCATGTGCCAGCTTGACCAAGCCGCTTCTGGTGCAACGGAATACCGAAACCAGAGCAGAACATGGAAACGCCATTTACCTTCCCCCCGGAGCGGTACCGATTTATCTGCTTGCACTTTTTGGCATGCTTTCGAACTGCTAGGTTGGGAGGAGCTGGGACAGAGCAATGGGAGCTCACCCCATCGCTGGGATTTGAACTGCCAACCTTCTGATCGGCAAGCCCAAGAGGCTAAGTGGTTTAGACCACAGCGCCACCCGCGTCCCTGTTTTATTTTGTATGTAGAGAAATGCAGTTGTTTCCCCACTCCCCCATTATTTCCTCCTGTGATTTCAGTGCAGGATGAGCAGCTACTAGCTATTGCCTGATATTATAAGTAATTAGTAACATAACTCCCTGGTCTTCCCATGTCACTGGACCATTTTATTAAGTACATTTGCAGCTCCATGCTTCAGGGGGCGATATTGCCTCAGTCCTGCTAACAGTCATCCAGGAATACACACATGTACAAAGAGAGAGAGAGAGTGAGAGAGAGAGGAATGCCACATAACAGCAAAGGCACCTTCTCACTCCTGGCAGCTTTGGGGCTTTTTATCTCTTTCTTTGTCTACTGGTGGGCTTAGGTGGAACCATGCTGCTCCTCTGCCTGCATTCGCTGAAGCAGAAGCTTGCCTCTTTCAATTGACACTGTACATTAATGCCTCTGTAACAAGGGCTGTCGGCTCATCTGCTATGTGAGGACAGAATGGTCTTTCTATTTGGACTGCGGGGGCGGGGGGGAGGTACTCAAAGTGTAATGTGTAGGTGAAAAGGCCCATGGTATTTGTGAGGCTTGTTTCATTTTCAAAGCATGTCTGCTTTACTCTGTATTAGCAAAAATAATAATATTTGGAAGGTATCTGGGATCTTTGGGGGGATTCTGTTACGGGTCCAATGATGCTTGAGGATTAGATTGGGACTGAAGGGGTTCTTGTTCATGCAAGGAGGCCACGTTGCCAATATCTGCACAGGTGGGAAGAGAAGTGGCAAAGGGAGGCAGCTTCCTGAAAACAAGGATTCATGGCCTCTGAAGACCAGCGTAAACACTTCCCAGGCAGAGGGAAACATCTTGTGTGGCTAGAGAAGGGACCACAAGGAATATATACCCAACAGCAGGCCGTTTGGGCAGGCAGGATGCAAAAGAACCATTAGAAAAACAGTGCTTGCACTGGAGAAACTTCAGCTGCATTGTTACCTGCACTTTCATTTCCTCATGCTCCTGCAAACGTTGCAACAGGTTCTGCTTCTCTGTGGAGAGCTGCTCAAGGAGCTGCTCCTTGTCCCTCAGATTCCAAGCCAGCTCCTCAATCTTCCTGCAGAGGAAAAACATTCTGGTCACCATGGCTGGAAGCAAGGAACACTATGAGATACAGGGCAGGATGGCCATTTGGCACGACTGTGGGCAGTTAGACCAGGTCAGGACATCACAGAGGCAAATACAATGAGCTACGGATGGCTTTGTCAGCCTGTCACTCAGAGGAGCACCTCCTCCACCAACGAAGCACAAAACCAAACAAGCCAGGAGACTTCCAGCAGCAAGGCCTCAAGTTCACCCCTGCCCCCAAAAGAGAGATACAAAGTTTGCGCAGACCTCTTCAACTTGTCATGAATTCTACTCAATATTGATCCTGAGCAGATTCCAGCATACAGTTAGAATAAAAAATTAAACACATTGCAGGATTCCCCAAAAATAGACCAGAGGCAATTTTATTTCATCCAGCAGAGCTTTACTGCTACTGAAGGCAAATGAGCATAATGGTCAAATCTATACATTTAGGATTGGCAGCAGACTTAACTTAACTTAAAGTTACAAATAATAAGACTAAACCTTAACACTAAGCATACTGTGTACAGAACACCACACCAGAAAGAAAGAAAGAAAGAAAGAAAGAAAGAAAGAAAGAAAGAAAGAAAAGAGCAAATCCAGGCTCCTTCTGGCCTATTATTATAGTCAGCATGACCTTGAGAGAAAGAGATAACAGGACCACTTTTAAGCCAGCTGTACTCAGCTTCTCTGAAGTGATAACTAAATATAATGAACCTTCTGCTTGTTTCTTTCATACAGAGAAGCTTCCAGAACCCTCTTGAATTAATTAAAATAGGAAAGATCTCTACCTTCTGCACTAAGAAATGCAAACTGACACAACTTTGGGCAAAATAAAAAAACCTATCCCCCAAATTTCTCAAAAGATTTAACATTACGGGTGGCAGACACAAACCGAATCAGTGGAACTAAACCCATAGAAACATACTTATTTTTCTCAGCCAACATAGCACTGTAGGTTTCCAAAACAGCCTGGCTTTTCCTGGTCTCATCCTGCAGCTTGGTGAACTTCATCAGCTCCTTGGTGAGTTTCAGACAGCGATCCTTTTCAACCTCTGCCATAGTTGTCATCCTCTCTGCTTTGGTCTTTGCCGACTGGGCTTCCTAAAGGAAGAATCAGAGATGAAATCAGCCAAAGGAATCCTGAAAGAGTAGGTGCCTCCAGTTTGGATGTCTCCTGTTGTGTCCAAACCAAAGAGACCTCAGTCTTTCTCTTCAGAAGAAATCAGGAGGAGGCCAGCAGAAGACTGTGATGCATATTTACATGAGCCCTGTAAAATTTTTCCCAAGTGTCACCTGAAAACTGCTCTAGAGGAGGCACCTAGTATTTTCATCCTACTTGGCAGGCCACAAATGTCTTGGGAAGGCTCACAGGCAGGATGGATGGCTCTGAGAAAGGCTTGGACTGCTTGTAACACCTCATTGAAGTCATTCTCTCACTTGACATTGAGAATGAACGCATTGGTGAAATCTACAGTCAACATTCAGTATGGAATGTCAGTACAGTTAGTCTGTCAAAACCACATCATAGAATGAGACCCCTTCACCCCACCTAAATCAACTTGGATATACATCGCTTCCTCTGTTTTGCACCTACAGATTCTAACTCTGATACAGAGTCTGCATCCATCACAAATGGTGACCAGGAGTGGTCAGAGTTCACATGTACACCATTCTCTAGCCGTAAGTACATTGAAGTAATGGTTTTCATTAAGCTCCTAGGCTGCAAGCATATTTACTCCAGAAAACAAATATTCCTCATCATTTAACTGAATTAGGGTTAGATAGCAAGTTTCATGACAATGCAGGACCACTCCTAAGGTTACATAGCTATTCCGTTTGAGAGGGGATCCTGATGAGATCAGGCTCTCCCAGCATGTGGAGGATTCTACACACATCTCTTGATGCATTCAATGCACCTTTTTGATGCACTTGGGACGGGCAGCCAGAGATGGCACTCACGCATGCAGCCCCTCATGTGCTATTTAAACATGGAGGGGACATATAAACTGCCTTTGATGGGAGCACTTCTTGGAGCAAGGGTGAACAGAATCCACAAGTGAGAGCCACGGAACTCCCAAATCTCACACCTGAATAAACTGATACCCAACACTAGAACTGAACTTCCTCATTTCCCAACTGTCTTTTTCCAGGATAGTCACCCTCAGCGAGGCTTTGTAAAATGCTGCCCAAGAGCTTAGCTTGCTCTACATGCTAATTATCTTTAAACAGACTTGAGTGGCTAATCTAAACAGAGCTCATTATAAGATTTAAGCTTTTGGAATTTTTTTATTGAATTATTATGCAAATACAAATGAAACAAAGAATACAAACATTTCTACCGAATACACAAAGAAAGAAAAAAGGGGGAAAGAAAAGAAAAGAAAAACAAAACAAAACAAACGCAAACGCAAACAAAACGTAAAAAACATAAGTATAATATAGCATAACTGTAACAGTCATTCCAGAATGTCATTTCTTTACCTGAATACTGACCCTTCTGGGGTGAATCTATTTCTATTATACTTTTTGTGTTTGCAGGATCTCATGATTGTGCCCTACTAAAATGGTCAGCAAAACACACACACATAAATCCCTGTGAGGGAATTTCCTCACCTCCTGCAGAAGGTGGATTTTCTTCTCCAGGATCTCATAGGCATGTTCATTCTGTTGCTGGCGAGAGATCTTAGCCTCATTCTGACTACCCAGGTTCCCAGCTGCTGCCCTGAAATTCATAGCAGTGGTTGGCAAGATAGAAAAAGACACCCCTGGTACATGGCAGAAGGAATACTAACAAGAAAAGGAGGAGCCACGGCTCTGTGGAGACTGACTGCTTTGCCTGCAGAAAGACCAAGGTTCAGATCCTCACTGGCCCCTTTAGTGAAATGGGTGCCATGCAGCAGGGCTGGAAGTGGCCTCTGCCTGAGAACCTAGAGAGCAACCAGCAGGCAGAGCAGAGACAACACGAGGCTTGATGGACAAGCCCAGCCCAAGGGAACTTGGTGCGCTCAAAGCGAGAGATCAAAGTGACGAGGGACAAATGTTTTTGCACATACTTAAAACTCCTTAGGCCAGGGTTGAGGAACCTGTCAATCTGGGGTTATAGCCCAATCCTAACCACAGATACACAGAAGAAAATTACATTTATTTCACTGAGTTTTACCTCCATGCAAACCTAACACAAGCTTACTCAGAGTAGGATCCATCCACCAAGCTCAATGCAGCAACGCCACCAAAAGTTGTAGCAGCATACTTTGGAACACAAGCGTTCCTCGTACATTAATGCTTGGAAGAAATCAAACATGAGTCCACTTTAAAGTATGACTAAATCTGGATCCAACCCAAAGTTCTTCTGCAGCTTGGTAAAAGAAAATGTGCTTTTGAACAGAAAGTGCATTTATCTTAGACCTATTTAGTCAAACTCCAGGGCACCAATGCCAACTCAAACAGAGCAGAGCAACCCCCAGAAAGCATGTTTTTAGGGTTCAGTTGCTCCCTCTGCTCCCCAGCCCTGCGAAAAGAGAAGCAATGGAGTCCCAGAGCCTGCTTGTTTCACTCAGTGACATAATCAAAGGCTTTCATCCTAGTGACTGCAAACTGTCCCCAGAGACTGGACGATGTTGCACTAAGGCTGCTTACCAGGAGGGGGAAATATTTACCCTCTTCTCCCCGCAGAGCTGATTTGGGGGGAGGGGTCCAGGGGGAGCAGAGCAGGGAAGCCCTGCCATGCTAACACAACTATTTAGTTGAACCCAGTCCAAAGAAACCTTCTCCCAGTTGCCTTGGGATTCAATAGAAATGACAACATTCTGAATACCTGAGGCATCTGACTCTGACTGTTTAGCTCTACATGAGCAATAACAGGCATCTTGGGACTCAGCTACATTAGTAAAGAAACAGCCATTTGAATGTGCCAGAAACATGCAACACCAGATGGCACCAGAGAGCAGGAAATTTTAAAACACAATTTTCCATAGAGATTTTTTTCTTTTGTTGAAACGATCTGATTTCTGACTTTTTAATAGCATTTTCACCCCCATGTTTAGATCCACCCTTAGTGACAAAGCAAGAAACTTGCTTGGATGCTAAATTAAAGAAAATCCAGATCTGGATTTTCTTTTCAATGGGAACTCAAATGTGAACACAGGATTGTGACCTTGGTGTAGTGCAGGAGATAAACAGAAGGGCCCGGTAAACTCTCTTTGTGTGCATGCACAAATACACACACACACACATGTGCATTCCTAAGGGCGGGATGTGTGTGAACCGGGCTCTGCAGATCCATCTGTACCACCTCTTACCGGGCTTGGTCCAAGCTTTGTTGCTTCTCCTGGAGCTCTTGCTTCAGGCTTTCCACTTCCACCTTCAGCTCGATGTTCTGAAAGGTATAAACAGGCATGAAGGATCATAATCTGCTCAGCTGTGGATCTCTCCTGCTGCACCAGTATTCCAGTCTTGAAGCAGGTCTGTCTCCTTTTGACTTCAAATACTGAGGTACCTGGTAGCAGCACACAAAGAGCTTCCCTTTTTTGAAGACATGGTGAAATATAAACATAGAGAAATCTCCACAAACTATTGCAGTTGCAATACTCTGGTGCTCTATCAGGAGCCTAACTGGGTGGGCATGCTGTTGTTGTGGTTGTTGTTGTTGTTGTTGATACACCAAAAAAGGAAAAAACAAAACTAAAATGCAAATAAAAACAGTGATAAAGACAATATTAATTACAAATCAATAAAGCAAAAAGTGGTCCTTGAACTACAGACCTGACCTCCCATCTATTCCTTATTTCAATTATATATTATTTGTTGCCAATACACACTTTTATCATAGATTAACTAATTATTGGTTTATCTTAGGTCTCATATCTTTCTTAAAGCTACTACCGAAGTTATTCAAATGCTGCGACAGAGTTTAAACTGTTATAGTTGCTTTGAAGACTTCCCATTTTGAGACAAATTCCTGTTTTGGGTTGTTCTTTATTTTTTCTGATAGACTGTCTAACTCTGCATATTCTGTTAGCTTTTGGATCCATTCATGAATAGAGGGGATTTCATCACTCTTCCATTTTGTAGCGATAAGAACTCTTGCTGCCACTGTGGCATATAAAAAAATACCTTTCATTTTTTGTGGAATATCCAAATCTGTAATCCCCAGAAGATAAGCTTCTGGTTTTCTCATAAAGGAAATCTTTATCATTTTTTGTAGTTCTAAGTGGATACTCTCCCAAAATGCCTGGATTTTCTTACACAGCCACCACATGTGATAGAAAGCTTCTCCACACCTCCAGCAGTTGCTTGGGACACTTTTGAACATCTTCGACAGTTTCCAAGGTGTTAGATACCATAGGTGTTACATTTTTAGAAAATTCTCTCTTAAGACATAACAATTTGTAAATTTCCAATTTCCAGTGATTTTCCCCACAAATTTTCCCACTGTGGCATGGTTATTGATTATCCAAAGTCTTGTGTCCATTTAACCATGGCCACTGTGACCTCCTCCTCCGCCTTGACTTGGGCATTTTGAAGCCATTCAGCTCTTTTGTGCAGCAGCTCCTCCCCACTTTAAGATTAGCCAACATGCAGCTTTGGTCAGGGCATTGCATGTGGAGAGGTCTGAAGACAAGCAGCAGCAGCAGCAGCAGCAGCAGCTCCAGACTGATCAAATTGTTGTCACAACAAACTATTTTTTATCTTTAAAATTCTACCTCTTCAGGGAGCTCCATCAGCTTCTGGTGAAGTTGAACTTGAGGAGAACAAGCAACTATGAGATGGTGTCAAAAGGAGTGGGGAGAGAAAGAAAAAAGCAAGCAGGAAGAGACAGTGCAGTGGTTTCTAAAACCCCTCCTTAGGTTATCTATCTTAACCCACTTTTTGAAGCTTTTAGAAATCATCTTAGTAAAGTCAAAACTTGCACAATTGCTTTGCTGTCTATTTGTATTGTTATGGGTTGGTGGGGGGAACAGGGGTAAGAAGCTGTTCTCCCTGTGCAAAGGTCAGAGGGGGCAGGGTTTCTGTTGAGGCAGGTGATTAGCTGTGGGAGGAGCTTATCAGAGCTTGCAGGGCAGCAGTTGAAGAAGGAGCAAAAAGGGTTTTCTTGTGTGTGTGTGTTTCTTTGTGGCTGATTAGCTGTTCTCCCTGTGCAAAGGTCAGAGGGGGCGGGGTTTCTGTTGAGGCAGGTGATTAGCTGTGGGAGGAGCTTATCAGAGCTTGCAGGGCAGCAGTTGAAGAAGGAGCAAAAAGGGTTTTCTTGTGTGTGTGTGTTTCTTTGTGGCTGATTAGCTGTTCTCCCTGTGCAAAGGTCAGAGGGGGCAGGGTTTCTGTTGAGGCAGCCTAGCGGCGCGCGCAGTTTGAGCCATCTTTTAGATTTAGGGGAGCTAGTCTCAAACGTTTGTTGGGGGAGACCTAGGTTTTTTTGGGGGGGAAGTTATTTGTCCTGTCTTCACGCTTTTTATGATGGAGGACCACTGTAGCCACCCCGAACGACACGTTCTCAAGATGGAGGGGGAGGGAACAGCTGCAGTCGCCTGTGGTTCCTGCGCAATGTTTGCCATCTTGCCAAAGGTTGCAGGCAGCTTTACCTGCAGCAATTGCATGTTGATTGCCCTCTTAAAAGACAAAGTCCAGCAACTGGAGGAACGTGTAGCTACACTCCAAAGAATTAGAGAGCTGGAGCTCTTCTTGGAAGCAACAGAGCACACCGTCTCCACCAAGGAGGTGACAGGGGACTCCCCTGAGAAGGAGGCTAGTTCACCAACACAGGAGCCAGATATATGGAGAAACGTGACTCAAAGAAGTAGGAGGCCCAGGGTTCGCTCTGATTGTTTAGAAATACACAATCGCTTTGAGGTCCTCTCCCCTAGCAAGGAAGACGAAGAGCAGACTCCATTTGAGGATCTCTCCCTCATTACAGTCGATCAGGTATATGAAGACGAGCAGCAAAGTCAGTCCTCAGGGAATGTGCAGGCGACCTTGGAACGGACAGCTCACGGAAGGACCCCGAACAAACCTAAGAGGAGGCGTGTAGTGGTGATAGGGGATTCCCTACTGAGGGGAACAGAAGCAGTGATCTGTGGGCCTGACAAGATGTCTCGGGAAGTGTGCTGTCTCCCTGGGGCTAAGATCCAAGATGTAACTGAACGACTGCAAGGAATCATAAAACCCACTGACAAATACCCCTTCCTCTTGGTTCATGTGGGAACCAATGACACTGCAAGCAATAGCCTCCAGAAGATCAAAAGAGACTACGAGGCTCTGGGCAGGAAATTGAAGCAATTAAATGCACAAATTGTCATCTCATCTGTCCTCCCAGTTGAACGACGTGGCCCAGGGAGAGAGGGAAATAGTGGAAGTGAACAGCTGGCTTCGCAAATGGTGTAAACAGGAACGGTTTGGATTCTTAGATCACGGACTGCAGTTTCTTGAAGATGGACTTCTGGCAAGCGATGGGCTGCACCTCACAACGGTTGGGAGAAATGTTTTTGCCAAAAATCTCAGAAACCTCATCAGGAGGGCTTTAAACTGACTAATGTGGGGGAGGGAGACAGTGCTCCTGAAGGTAGGAGTCTATCAATTGATGAAGATGATCATCCAAATGTCATAGACCAAATGGAGCAAACAGCACGCAGATCTAGTGGTGGGAGGAAAAAATCCTTAAATAAGAGACACGGGGGAATGATTAATGGACTTCAATGTCTGTACACTAATGCGCAAAGCATGGGAAATAAACAAGATGAGCTTGAGCTCTTGGTACAGCAAACTAAATATGACATAATAGGCATCACTGAAACCTGGTGGGATAAGTCCCACGATTGGAATGTAATAATGGAGGGATACAATCTATTTCAGAGAAACAGACCAGACAAGAAAGGAGGAGGAGTGGCGGTATATGTCAGGGATGTGTATACCTGTGAAGAGATCCAAGATTTAGAACCTCAAAGCCAAAGTGAGAGCATTTGGGTCAAAATTAAGGGAGAAGAATAACAGTGACCTCATTGTGGGAGTTTACTATAGATCCCCAAGCCAAACGGAGGACATAGATGATGCCTTCCTGGAACAGATGGCCAAGCATGCAAAAAGAAGGGAGATAGTAGTAATGGGGGACTTCAATTACCCAGATATTTGTTGGATGTCAAACTCAGCTGAGAGCATAAGGTCAAACAGATTCCTCACTGGCCTTGCAGACAACTTCATTGTCCAGAAAGTGGGAGAAGCAACAAGAGGAACAGCCATTTTAGATCTGGTCCTAACCAATGTGGATGACCTGGTTAGTGGGGTAGAAGTGGAAGGATCATTAGGCGCGAGTGATCATGCTCTTCTGAAGTTTACTATACAGCGGAAAGGAGCAGCCAAGCATACTAGGACTCAATTTCTTGACTTTAAGAAAGCCGACTTCATCAAACTTAGGGAAGTGCTGGGTGAGATCCCATGGACAGTAATACTAAAAGGAAAGGGAGTTCATGATGGCTGGGAGTTTGTTAAGAGGGAGATACTAAAAGCACAACGTCAGGCAATACCAATGAGATGGAAACATGGAAGGTGCCTAAAGAAGCCAGGGTGGCTATCTAAAGAACTTTTAACTGAGTTAAGATTAAAAAGGATGTGTACAAAAATGGAAAAGGGGAAACCACCAAAGAGGAATTCAAACAAATAGCCAGCACGTGTAGACACAAAGTCAGAAAAGCTAAAGCACAGAATGAACTCAGGCTTGCTAGAGAGGTTAAAAGCAACAAAAAAGGCTTTTATGGGTATGTTCGTAGCAAAAGGAAGAACAAAGAAACAGTGGGGTCACTCAGAGGAGAAGATGGTGAAATGCAAACAGGGGACACAGAAAGGGCTGAACTCCTCAATGCCTTCTTTGCCTCAGTCTTCTCCGATAAAGAAAACAATGCCCGACCTGAAGAATCTGGAGCAAATGATTCAGCAGAGGAAACACAGCCCAGAATAACTAAGGAGATAGTACAAGAATACTTGGCTAGTTTAGATGTATTCAAGTCTCCAGGGCCAGATGAACTGCATCCAAGAGTATTAAAAGAACTGGCAGATGTGATCTCAGAACCACTGGCAGTCATCTTTGAGAATTCCTGGAGAACAGGCGAAGTCCCGGCAGACTGGAGGAGGGCAAATGTTGTCCCTATTTTCAAAAAGGGAAAAGAGAGGACCCAAATAATTACCGCCCAGTCAGTCTGACATCAATACCAGGGAAGATTCTGGAGCAGATCATTAAGCAAACAGTCTGTGAGCACCTAGAAAGGAATGCTGTGATCACCAATAGTCAGCATGGATTTCTGAAAAATAAGTCATGTCAGACTAACCTGATCTCGTTTTTGACAGAATTACAAGCCTGGTAGATGAAGGGAATGCAGTGGATGTAGCCTACCTTGATTTCAGCAAGGCATTTGACAAGGTGCCCCATGATATTCTTGTAAAGAAGCTGGTAAAATGCGGTCTTGACTATGCTACCACTCAGTGGATTTGTAACTGGCTGACTGACCGAACCCAAAGGGTGCTCATCAATGGTTCCTCTTCATCCTGGAGAAGAGTGACTAGTGGGGTGCCACAGGGTTCTGTCTTGGGCCCGGTCTTATTCAACATCCTTATCAACGACTTGGATGATGGACTCAAGGGCATCCTGATCAAATTTGCAGATGACACCAAACTGGGAGGGGTGGCTAACACCCCAGAGGACAGGATCACACTTCAAAATGACCTTGACAGATTAGAGAACTGGGCCAAAACAAACAAGATGAATTTGAACAGGGAGAAATGTAAAGTATTGCACTTGGGCATAAAAAATGAGAGGCACAAATACAAGATGGGGGACACCTGGCTTGAGAGCAGTACATGTGAAAAGGATCTAGGAGTCTTGGTTGACCACAAACTTGACATGAGCCAACAGGGTGACGCGGCAGCTAAAAAAGCCAATGCAATTCTGGGCCTCATCAATAGGAGTATAGCATCTAGATCAAGGGAAGTAATAGTGCCACTGTATTCTGCCCTGGTCAGACCTCACCTGGAGTACTGTGTCCAGTTCTGGGCACCACAGTTCAAGAAGGACACTGACAAACTGGAACGTGTCCAGAGGAGGGCAACCAAAATGGTCAAAGGCCTGGAAACGATGCCTTATGAGGAACGGCTAAGGGAGCTGGGCATGTTTAGCCTGGAGAAGAGGAGGTTAAGGGGTGATATGATAGCCATGTTCAAATATATAAAAGCATGTCACATAGAGGAGGGAGAAAGGTTGTTTTCTGCTGCTCCAGAGAAGCGGACACGGAGCAATGGATCCAAACTACAAGAAAGAAGATTCCACCTAAACATTAGGAAGAACTTCCTGACAGTAAGAGCTGTTCGACAGTGGAATTTGCTTCCAAGGAGTGTGGTGGAGTCTCCTTCTTTGGAGGTCTTCAAGCAGAGGCTTGACAACCGTATGTCAGGAGTGCTCTGATGGTGTTTCCTGCTTGGCAGGGGGTTGGACTCGATGGCCCTTGTGGTCTCTTCCAGCTCTATGATTCTATGATTCTATGATTCTAAGAACTCATATGCAGCATTGGCTGGGGGAGGCTGCGCCCAGAGACCAGGGACCATGGCTGGAGGCTGCTTTAGACCCAAGCTGGATGAAGCTATGAGAGGGGCAACACTGAAGGCTCTAGGTGTAGAGCTGTGTCAATTAAACCATACTTCTTAAAGACACTCATCTTTGCTGTGCCTTGAAACACAACCCTGCCCGGAATCCCTAGAAGCTTGTGGAGACTGGAGTGGCATGTGCCAGTCTGGTTGCACTTTCCGCTCTCAAAATGGGAAGGAAAGAATGCCATCAAAAATTGCCCCAAACTGTTTTAAAGAAGAGAAGCTGCATGACCTAACTATCTGGCTTGGGGGGGGGGGGGCGGAATCTAGATTCCCATTTGAATTAAAAGGACTACCCCTTTTATTTTTATTTTTACTGTAAACATAATCAACAACATGCCTCTGCCTCTGGTCCAGTAAAGAAAGCTTTGGCTAAGCAGGAGTGGATTATTGTGCTCCATTAAGTCCCAGTACTCAAAATAAATTCCTGAGTTTCCAAGTAAAAACAACAAAGAGTCCTATATAGCATGTTAAAGACTAACAAATTTATGATGGCAGAAATGTTCATGGACTTGAGCCCACTCTTAGTTTGCAGGAATATAAAGGAGATTATAAAGTACAGATAGACACACACACACGGCCGTATTTAGATTTGATGAGGCCCTAAGCTACTGAAGGTAATGGTGCCCTTTATATGTCCAGCTGTCCTTTGTCAACAACAGATTGTCGCTGTTTTTTGTGTTGAATATATGCTATATGGTAATTTATGGACCTAATAGGTATCTAAAACCATTTGCACATAACATATAGGAGCCTACACAACACAAAACACTGTTGCTGTATGTAGGTTTTATTTTATTTGTTTTTTATCTTATATTTTGGAAATGTACATCCAGGTTTTTTTTCCTTTAAATTTTTTGGTGGCCCCCAAGAGAGTGGGGCCCTAAGCTAGAGCTTGTTTAGTTTATAAACTGCACACACACACACACACACACACACACACACACACACAGTGCATACCAACAAGGTCGTGGAGCCCAGCCTATTGCCAAGACAGGAAAGTCACCCCTCAAAACATCCCTGAGAGTTGGCCATGCAGCCTCTGCTTACAAAATCCCTAACCAAGAAAAAATCCACCAAGAAACAGCGCCCAAGAAGAGGAGATTGGCAGCTGGCCAGTAGTGAGATTTTCTGAATCCAGGGAGGGGTTCCAGAGGTTGCCCCCTGGATACATCCTGACAAAGAGCACATGACTGCTTCATCCCATGCTCAACCCAACATGGGTCCCTGCCACCTCTCCATTCATCATGTCACTGTGGTCACATAAAATTGCTCTTTGTGCAAATATGGCATGAAGACAGGCGGCTCCACTGGGGGTTCCAGCTGTCAAGCAGGTAAAGCACCAGCACAACTGCCCACAAATCCCCACGCAAGCTGCTCCATGAAACCCCGCGTCACTTGCCACTTTTGTATTCCCCTTGTGCCAATTTAAACCAAGGAGCAGAAGTTGTATTATTCAGTAGCCTGTGAATAGCATGGCCAGAAGCCAGCAGACCCATGTGATGCTTGCCTCTCCTGGAACAGAATGTCCCGACTTCAGTTGCCTGCTTTAGAGAACACAGATCATCTGCTTCGGACAGAGAATCTGAGCTGCCCATCCACAATTGGATCCCTCGCCCACATGCTCAACAGCCATCTTCTGACTTGTCTGGTGCCCTCAGGTTCAACCCACGCTTTTCCTGGTACTATTGTTTCCTGCCTGCTCATGAAGCACTTGATGACCCACAGCCCAACCAATAATAATACAGTGGTACCTCAGGTTAAGTACTTAATTTGTTCTGGAGGTCCGTTCTTAACCTGAAACTGTTCTTAACCTGAAGCACCACTTTAGCTAATGGGGCCTCTTGCTGCCGCCGTGCTACTGGAGCCTGATTTCTGTTCTTATCCTGAAGCAAAGTTCTTAACCTGAAGCACTATTTCTGGGTTAGTGGAGTGTGTAACCTGAAGCGTATGTAACTTGAAGCGTATGTAACCTGAGGTACCACTGTACGGCCACTTTTGCTCATTTATTCCATTGTTCTTTGTACTTCTTTTGTGCCAAGTTCTTTTTACTGGCTGCATTTCTCTTTCTCTGTGGATTTTCATGTGAACGAGTGATGTGCAATTGTTACTATTACCACAGGAATAGTTCCAATCTTGCAGAATCAATTTGGTGCCCTTTACCCCACCTTCCTTGACTTTTAACTTCAAAGAGCTGGAGTCTATAGGAATGAAGTTTTATCCTCCATTTTACTTTCCTGATGGTCATATTTTGCATGTTTTGTGGACGCTGCTTCTTGTTGTGTTCACCTGCACTTGTGCCTTCCTCCCAAACCTTCGCATTTCATTTTTTTGGTGGAGGAATTAAATTTGCGGCTGTGGTAGGAACATGACTGTGGTGGTATATTAATCCCAACACATGCCAAGGAGCCTTTTGCCCCAATAAATCTTGGTGGGGCTTCTCACCCCACCCCAACCGCTGGGGATCTAATCAAGTCTTTCTTTTCCATCAACTTAAATTGAGATAAAGAGCCTGGTTCCCCCAAAATGGCAAGGTGGAGTAAAAGGGTCCTTGGTAGACAGAACATTTCTCCCACAGGTCATTTCTGGGGAATTAGCCAGTCAATGGGGAGATCACACTCTTTATTAACTTGCATGATTAGTCTGTGCAGACATGGAGGAGCACATGCAGGTAAATGATTTTTTTTTAAAAAGTGACCTTTCAGGCACCACCCACCTGATTTTGTGTGCATTACTTAAGACCCTGACACTTTTCATTGCATATTGCAGTGGCATGCAACAGTGTTACAAACAGGGGAGACTCAGGGTGCATCCACACAAATCTTTTGTCCTGGGCTTTCTAGACAAAGGCCCACACTTTCTCAGTCCATTTCCAAGCGCTTTTTTTGTCCTCCACTGTTTTCCCCAGGAAAACCTGCTCTTTACTGCTGAATCAGAGCAAACAGCCATGGGAGTTTTTCCATGGGTTGCCATTTGCTCTGATTCAGCAATAAAGAGTGGTTTTTGTGGGGAAAGCACTGGCTGAGGGGGGGGGAGGTGCTTGGACACAGAGCTTTACAGCCTGGACCTGTTCCTAGAAACATGGCACAAAAGGAAGCCCAGGCATGTTTCGCTGCGTGTGTCCTATGAGCAGCAGTTGCGTTGGCAAAAAATGCCAGTCCGGCGATGCACCACAAATAAAGGGGACTTCTGTGTGGATGACACCTGGGTTAGGAAGCTGATGGCTCAAATATCACCTTTCCAGCCATTACTAGTTTCCCTATGTGGTTTGCTCTACTCTCCTAGTGCCACAGCCTCCATTTTTCCAGTCAGAGAGAAAGTTGGGAGTGCTTTTCAAGCAACTGCGATTTACTTTCTCCAGCAATGTTCCCTGGCTGGCATAACAGCTGCCTGGGGCTTGGCATCAGCTCTTGAAAGCCAGGAGATCTAAACCGAGCAGAATGCTGCGTCCAATATTTAGGGCACCTCTCTAGTTTGCTAGATGTGCCACTCCTTACTGACTGAACTGTTTCCCAGTCTCTGATGTGAGTTTGTGACAGGTTTGGTACAGCAAGGGAGCAGTTGGCAAATGTTTGACAAACCAAAAGTGGCACTTTAGGTTCTCCCCTCTCTTTTCCTGCTGCAAAGCCACCCTGTCTGATAAGGCCCTGCCAGTTCTGCTGCCTCACTTGTTCTCCCTCCCACAGCAAGAAGCAGAACAAACCTCGCAATCATTTCACCCAGTAACCAGGCTATTTATAACTTCCCTCTCTGAGAAGAAGCTATTGGCTGGCAGTTCTGTGACATGTCAGCTGCCTGCACTTGCTTTTCACAATTTTGAGGGCACCTGTCAACACCAGGGTGACATTTCTCTTGCAGTGCACTGACTGTAAACCTCTTAGCTCCAAGTTCTTAGTATGAATGTGTTTGTACAAAGTCAGAAGATGGGTCCATCAAGCCTAGTATTTTCTGCTCTGGTTGGTGGTAGCTCACGAGCACCTCGGGTCTCTTCCAGGCTCTCCCCCCGAGATTGTTCTAACCAGAGATGATGGAGGCCTGATGGACCCGAGGACACCGCAAGCAGAACAGGCCTTCTGCCACGGAGCTCTGGCCAGCCCCCCCCCTTTCATACAGGGCTATGGATACGCAGACAGATGTTTATACCACCAATCCCCACAATGCACATCTACGTGACCCTGTGGGTAAAGCACATTTGTGGAATATTCTGCTACTTATGGGAGGCAGCATGTGTGCACCCACATTTGTGCTCATGGGAGCTGAAAGATGCTATTCAACTCAGCACAAATTATTTACTGACCACTTTTATCTCTCTATTTTGTTCCTGATCAGGAGGGATGGACTTTAGCAACCTTTCAGAGCCAAAAAAATGGCACTTATAACTCCTCACCATATCCACATTCATGTCCTTTTATTTCACGACTGCTGGTTTTCTCAGGAGCCTTTGATGAGAGACTTTGTCAAAAGCCCTTTTCAAGTCTAGATATATAATCTGGACATCTCCTTATCTCTAAGAGTCTCCAAACACTTTAAAAGGATAGTGAGGCAGAGCTCCTTCTCCTGCAGAGTCCGGGCTGATTCTTCCTGGGCAGGGTGGGCAGCCTGAGCCCTGCTAGTCTTGCTGGTCCTGGCAATGAACAAAAGCCCCAAGTAAACACACTCCTGGGAACCCGAGGAGTACAAGAAGCCATGGCACAGGTCCCACAGCCCTCCACTCGCATGCACTGCTGGTCAAACTGGGTTCTGTATTGTATGTGGTACTATCCTTGAGGTGGCCTTCAATCCTGGGCAGTGGCATGAGCCTCGCCCACCTCCATAACCCAGGCCGTCGATTGCGCAAATGCTCCAGCTGAGGAGGGGAGCAGCTCTGCTGTGGGCTGGCTCTTCCTCACCTGTTGGGATTCTTCTTGGTTTGCTCACTGGAACTCCCTCCCACTGGAGATGAGACTACTGAACGTGTTCACTGTTTTTAGATGTCAGGCAAAGATGCATTTCTTCCATCAGGCCTGGAGGTGGTTGGTTTAAAAACTGGCTTCTTTTGAAGCTGGACTGCTGTTATGTTAATTATTTTTATGTAATATTGCTGTATTGTATTTTAATTCATTGTGTGCCACCCTGGGAACCTTCTGGTTAAGATAATGATACTATTTTTTATTTTTAGCTATGTAGAAGTCGTTCTGAAGCATGGAATTGCAGTGAACTGGGGAAGAAGAGGAATGCTAATTGTGTGCTTGGGAACCAAAGGAATTCACATGACTATCTAAAGGGAGAGCCCTCAGGGGCAGCCCGTCCAGTCCCATTTTGCTGCTTGAGGCGAAACAGGGAGGTGCTGCCCATGGCCATGAGATCTCACCGGAAGAAGCCACTGCAGGACCCTGGCTGGGGCACCTGCGGGGACATCACCCTGTGGATTCTGACACCTGAGGTGGCTGCTTCAGCCATCCTTATGACTGGGCTGGCCCTGGGGGCCCTGCAAAATCTTTAAGTCCAGGGTCTTAAATTGCCTAACCCTATTGTGGAATCCCAGTCCTGGGCCAGGGCTGCAATATCTTAAAGAATCAGGGGAACAAGACTTGCTGTCCAGACTCCCAACATGTTCATTCAAATGGACTGCCATATGCGGTGTGATAACAGAGAAGGCCCTACTCTGCCCTGTTGCACAGTAAACTTTGGCTGTTGATGGAACTGCTAGCAGGACCAAAGAGTTGCTTCTAATAGACAAGCCGCCCTTTAATGGTTGTATTTAATTTTAATATAAAGGTAAAGGTACCCCTGCCCGTACGGGCCAGTCTTGCCAGACTCTAGGGTTGTGCGCTCATCTCACTCTAGAGGCCGGGAGCCAGCAGACACTTCCGGGTCACGTGGCCAGCGTGACAAGCTGCATCTGGCGAGCCAGCGCAGCACACGGAACGCCGTTTACCTTCCCGCTGGTAAGCGGTCCCTATTTATCTACTTGCACCCGGGGGTGCTTTCGAACTGCTAGGTTGGCAGGTGCTGGGACCGAACGACGGGAGCGCACCCCGCTGCAGGGATTCAAACCGCCGACCATGCGAGCAGCAAGTCCTAGGCACTGAGGTTTAACCACAGCGCCACCCGTGTCCCAATTTTAATATATGAAGTCCAAATATCTGAGTACTTGAAAATATGAGGAATCCTAACTTCATTCTCATATTCAGCAGAAATATCCTGGCATGATATTACTGGAGAAATAAGTGGATCATCATCATCAGTGGGTCCAACCTTTTTTTGCATCTCTCGATATAAATATTGAGTCTGAAAGACAAGGCCACTTCCAATTTTAATATCAACTTTAAAGTACAGTTGTTGTATAAGAAGCAGCAGTCAAATGAAGTAACTGATAGTTTCCCCCCCAGAGATGCTATCAGTCATAGAATCATAGAATCATAGAGTTGGAGGAGACCACAAGGGCCATCGAGTCCAACCCCCTGCCAAGCAGGAAACACCATCAGAGCACTCCTGACATATGGTTGTCAAGCCTCTGCTTAAAGACCTCCAAAGAAGGAGACTCCACCACACTCCTTGGCAGCAAATTCCACTGTCGAACAGCTCTTACTGTCAGGAAGTTCTTCCTAATGTTTAGGTGGAATCTTCTTCTTTCTTGTAGTTTGGATCCATTGTTCCGTGTCCGCTTCTCTGGAGCAGCAGAAAACAACCTTTCTCCCTCCTCTATGTGACATCCTTTTATATATTTGAACATGGCTATCATATCACCCCCTTAACCTCCTCTTCTCCAGGCTAAACATGCCCAGCTCACTTAGCCGTTCCTCATAAGGCATCGTTTCCAGGCCTTTGACCATTTTGGTTGCCCTCCTCTGGACACGTTCCAGTTTGTCAGTGTCCTTCTTGAACTGTGGTGCCCAGAACTGGACACAGTACTCCAGGTGAGGTCTGACCAGAGCAGAATACAGTGGCACTATTACTTCCCTTGATCTAGATGCTATACTCCTATTGATGCAGCCCAGAATTGCATTGGCCTTTTAGCTGCCGCGTCACCCTGTTGGCTCATGTCAAGTTTGTGGTCAACCAAGACTCCGAGATCCTTTTCACATGTACTGCTCTCAAGCCAGGTGTCCCCATCTTGTATTTGTGCCTCTCATTTTTTTGCCCAAGTGCAATACTTTACATTTCTCCCTGTTAAAATTCATCTTGTTTGTTTTGGCCCAGTTCTCTAATCTGTCAAGGTCGTTTTGAAGTGTGATCCTGTCCTCTGGGGTGTTAGCCACCCCTCCCAGTTTGGTGTCATCTGCAAATTTGATCAGGATGCCCTTGAGTCCATCATCCAAGTCGTTGATAAAGATGTTGAATAAGACTGGGCCCAAGACAGAACCCTGTGGCACCCCACTAGTCACTCTTCTCCAGGATGAAGAGGAACCATTGATGAGCACCCTTTGGGTTCGGTCAGTCAGCCAGTTACAAATCCACTGAGTGGTAGCATAGTCAAGACCGCATTTTACCAGCTTCTTTACAAAAATATCATGGGGCACCTTGTCAAATGCCTTGCTGAAATCAAGGTAGGCTACATCCACTGCGTTCCTTCATCTACCAGGCTTGTAATTCTGTCAAAAACGAGATCAGGTTAGTCTGACATGACTTATTTTTCAGAAATCCATGCTGACTATTGGTGATCACAGCATTCCTTTCTAGGTGCTCACAGACTGTTTGCTTAATGATCTGCTCCAGAATCTTCCCTGGTATTGATGTCAGACTGACTGGGCGGTAATTATTTGGGTCCTCTCTTTTCCCCTTTTGAAAATAGGGACAACATTTGCCCTCCTCCAGTCTGCCGGGACTTCGCCTGTTCTCCAGGAATTCTCAAAGATGACTGCCAGTGGTTCTGAGATCACATCTGCCAGTTCTTTTAATACTCTTGGATGCAGTTCATCTGGCCCTGGAGACTTGAATACATCTAAACTAGCCAAGTATTCTTGTACTATCTCCTTAGTTATTCTGGGCTGTGTTTCCTCTGCTGAATCATTTGCTCCAAATTCTTCAGGTCGGGCATTGTTTTCTTTATCGGAGAAGACTGAGGCAAAGAAGGCATTGAGGAGTTCAGCCCTTTCTGTGTCCCCTGTTTGCATTTCACCATCTTCTCCTCTGAGTGACCCCACTGTTTCTTTGTTCTTCCTTTTGCTACGAACATACCCATAAAAGCCTTTTTTGTTGCTTTTAACCTCTCTAGCAAGCCTGAGTTCATTCTGTGCTTTAGCTTTTCTGACTTTGTGTCTACACGTGCTGGCTATTTGTTTGAATTCCTCTTTGGTGGTTCCCCCCTTTTCCATTTTTTGTACACATCCTTTTTTAATCCTAACTCAGTTAAAAGTTCTTTAGATAGCCACCCTGGCTTCTTTAGGCACCTTCCATGTTTCCGTCTCATTGGTATTGCCTGAAGTTGTGCTTTTACTATCTCCCTCTTAACAAACTCCCAGCCATCATGAACTCCCTTTCCTTTTAGTATTACTGTCCATGGGATCTCACCCAGCACTTCCCTAAGTTTGATGAAGTCGGCTTTCTTAAAGTCAAGAAATTGAGTCCTAGTATGCTTGGCTGCTCCTTTCCACTGTATAGTAAACTTCAGAAGAGCATGATCACTCGCGCCTAATGATCCTTCCACTTCTACCCCACTAACCAGGTCATCAACATTGGTTAGGACCAGATCTAAAATGGCTGTTCCTCTTGTTGCTTCTCCCACTTTCTGGACAATGAAGTTGTCTGCAAGGCCAGTGAGGAATCTGTTTGACCTTATGCTCTTGGCTGAGTTTGACATCCAACAAATATCCGGGTAATTGAAGTCCCCCATTACTACTATCTCCCTTCCTTTTGCATGCTTGGCCATCTGTTCCAGGAAGGCATCATCTATGTCCTCCGTTTGGCTTGGGGATCTATAGTAAACTCCCACAATGAGGTCACTGTTATTCTTCTCTCCCTTAATTTTGACCCAAATGCTCTCACTTTGGCTTTGAGGTTCTAAATCTTGGATCTCTTCACAGTCAATGGAGTCAAAGGCAGATGAAAGACCAACACATGTGACATGCAGGTTTTTATAAATAAGATAATTAAAAAACAAAAGAGGGGTCAATTGTGCTATGTCCCTTGTGAAAGTCAGCTTTCATGGGGATAGAACCTGCTTCTCTTCCATCCATGTGTTGAGGGGACATCAAGAAGACTTACTGGGTCAGCTTGTGGGCAGCTATCCCAGCCACTTTTCTTAAAGATGGGGAATTATACTATAAGTCCAGCAGTCAGCTGTCAACATTTCACTTGAATTAATTGTCATACACGAAGGGACCATAACTGGCACCTATCAAACTGCGTCAATATAGGAAAAAACCAGGCAATATCCTGTCTCCCCTTCCACTTTGCCTTGGTAAGTCTCTTAGTCAGAGTCGTAGCTGGGTGATCTTGCGCCCCTGGCAGAACCGCACAGATTGCGCCCCTCCCCAGTCACTGACAAATTAACTCTTCTTTCCGCCTCTCCTCTAACCCCCACCCATTCAATTCACCCTCTATTTAAAACCTTTTCTTATGAGGCAATAATTGATATTTTTATTTTTAGGTATATTTATGGACATATTTTTAAGTCGTTAGTTTGGGGGGGGGGCCTCGCCTGCACCCCTGGCAGGGGCCCACCTCACCACCCCCTAGCTACAGCCCTGCTCTTAATAAGACATTCTACTTGTATTTCTATTTACTGCTTCATGAATCACAACAGGTGCTACCTGGGCCTCTTAAAGAGTGCCATTAAGCATATTTTCAAAATGTTAGCTCCATTTTGACATTGGAATTTGACCTCCATAGCTGGCTTTGTTTTCCAAAGTCCCTGCGTATCTGTCACCCTGTATGTGCCTAGCTAACTGCCTCCTTGCTGTAAGATACTTAAAAAACTGAAATGAAAGAAAGGATGCTGTGAAAACCAGCCTCCTCTGCCCTGGTGAGACTTGTCCTCCTTGTGGTGGTCCAGAGGCCAGGTGCCAGGCAGATTTTGGCCCCAAGCTCTGGTCCTCATTGCACCCCTGTTGGGACTAGAACTAGTAGAGCACCGTGAATGCAATCTTAGGTTTAAGTGTCGTTTGGTTTGATTCAGAGGGCAGAGGGTCCCAACCTATTCTCCAATTTACTGCCTGCAAAGTTTCTGAGATGGAATAATATATGGCACTTTCAAGCTGCCTCCAACCAGGCTCCATCTCCGTCTGAAGAGTGCGAATCCCCCACAACATCTGACACGTCTCCACAGGCTTCTCTCATGCACCGCCTTCATTCCATTACAACTTTCCACATCCATTTCTATCAAGTTCTCTGGCAAACTAAACAGATATGTACACTTGCTTTGAGTGAACACCCTTTTGTGGGTAGTGAGTAAGTCAAACACCACTCCCTTAGAGTCTGGTGACATGCCTGACTAAGTTGCTCTAAATGCTGGTTTTTAAAGTTTTCCACCTCCAAGGAATTTTTTCCTGTTGACTCTTCTGCTGAGGAATCACAGCACATGGCAGAAGATTGGGGGTATGTTGTAGGCTAGGGTACACCCTTGGTTAACCCAGAGCACTGGCAAGGCTCCCTGGCCCTTGCCGCCACACCAAACAAATGGAGTGTGTGCACTAGAAAGTCATCACATTCTCCTGCAGCTGCACATTGCAAAAGAAGGTTGATAGTGGTCAGCAAGCTGCTTTTCAGATAAGCTTCCCACCATTTCTGACACTCACTCTGAGAAAACCCTGGCAAACTTCAGAGAACCACCAAGTCTTCCTTCAAACACAGTTTGAAAACCACCGTTTAAAAATATTGTTGCATATTCCCCTCTTCTCTGAGCAGTAGAGAAGTTTACAGGGTTGGGGGAAAGTACTGGAAATGGACCTAAAAGTTTATTATGAGGCATCTTGTTTTTGCTGGTTGAGAGATTGGATAACATTGGATAATACAGATGTATTGGATTTAGAGGGATTTGACGCGTATTTGTGGTATGATAAGGTTAAAATACATAGAGGTTTTTTAAATCACACTATTGGCGCTGTGGGTTAAACCACAGAGCCTAGGACTTCCCAATCAGAAGCTCGGCGGTTCGAATCCTCACAACGGGGTGAGCTCTCGTTGCTCGGTCCCAGCTGCTGCCAACCTAGCAGTACGAAAGGTTCATGCTCTGGTTCGCCAGAAGCGGCTTAGTCATGCTGGCCACATGACCTGGAAGCTGTACGCCGGCTCCCTCGGCCAATAAAGTGAGACTAGTGCCGCAACCCCAGAGTCAGTCATGACTGGACCTAATGGCCACGAGTCCCTTTACCTTTACCTATTAGGAAATCATTATACGAGGTTTGGAGTAGATACAAAACATTGTTAGAATGCAAAACGCCATGGTGGCTTTCTCCATTGGAAGCCTTTGCAGTAAAAAAGAAAAACATGGGAAGTGAATGGGCAACATACAAAGACCTGTTAATCGAAATGGATAATAAACTAAAGGTAAAGCCATTTGAAGAACTGAGAGAAAAACTAACTGATTGGTTGCAGTATCACCAATTGCAGGATGTATTCAGAGAAGATAGCAAAAGAACTGGGTTTGGTAGCACAAAATCAAAAATAGAGACTGAAATGCTGAGTAGTAAAAGGAAAATACTGTCAAAAATATATAAGCTATTACTGGAGTGGCACACAAAGGATGAGGAGGTAAAAAGTGTTATGATTAAATGAGCCCAGGATCTGGGACATAATATTGATTTTGAAAAATGGGAAAAATTATGGACCAAAACAATTAAATTTGCAGCGTGTATGTCACTCAAAAAAAACTGATTGAAGATGATGTATCGATGGTACATGACACCAGCCAAACTTGCAAAAATGTATAGAAATCAAGATAAAAATTGTTGGAAATGTAAGGAGGAGAGGAATTTCCTCCATATGTGGTGGACGTGTACTGAGGTGAAAACTTATTGGGACATAATTTACAATGAATTAAAAAAGATCTTTAAATATAATTTCAGTAAAAAACCAGAGTTATTTTTGCTAGGTCTAATTGGAGATGAAATTTTTTTTTAAAGATGTGAATATTTTTATGTATGCCACAACGGCTGCAAGGATACTTTTGGCTCAGAAATGGAAATCACAGGAGATTCCAACATTGGAAGAATGGCGGAGTAAGATGGTGGAATACGTTGAGTTAGCAAAGCTGACAGGGAAGATCCGGAATCAGCACGACGAACTGTTTCAAAAGGATTGGAGCAAATTTATATTATATATGAAAGAATATTGTAAACATCTGAAAACGTTTCTAGCTTTGAGTTGAAATGTTTTGTAATGACAATATAAGGAACTGATTTACATTTAACAAGGGGAAATATAAAAATTAGAGAAGGTAAAAAAGTGGTTATAGAAATGCTAAGATTAAAGTAAATATATATGGAAGTCCGGAAGAGGGGTGGGAGGAGGTCGATGCTCTGGTAAGAGCGAGGTTTGAGTTTATTGATGTATGTATGGATATTGTGATTACAAAAATTGAAAATGTAATAATAATTTTTTTGAAAAAAGGAAACAGATATAATTTTTGAAACACTTGCTGTTTCACAAATATATGGGTGACAAGTAGGAGTACTTCTCTGTACGGCAGTATCCCATTCCCCAAAGCAGCAGCAGACCCTTCAAATCCTTCCTCCTCTGATATTTCTGACCAACAACCAAAAGTCACACTTTCCTCTCCTTTGGATACATTCCAATGTCCAAACTTTCTTTCAGCATCCGCTCATGCAGACGGAATTGACCCATTAGCCAGGAACCCCCAAAAATCCATAAATCAAGCACCTTCCACAAACAAATCTTTTAGAGAAACCCATCTGCTTGCAACTATTATCCTCACAAGATGAGTTTCAGTTGCCCAGATACTGCATTTTTATATTTCGATGCTATACATTCTGTTCTGTTGTCACACAGTATTTTATCTGTCACCCTGTATGTGTATTTTATTCTCCAATGCTCATGTTTTCAGAATTCTAAGTTTGGTGCACATTAACAAAGTTGTCTGATTGAATTACCAAGCAGAACATAAAAGACTATTATACTTAGTGCTGCAGTTTGTTCCCAAAGTGAAAAAACACAAACTCTGCAGGTTCAACAGCTATCTATGGAGGGTACGTGCAAATTTCTCACCTCTTCTCGTGTTTTCCACGAGGCTCCCCACACCCCCCATATTTCAAAACCCTCCTCCAGGCAGTGATAACTAGCAGTGAACCCCAGACGACTCCTGTCAGAAGGACAGACTCCAGCCAGAGCCCAACTTCTAAGTGACACCATGGCAGAACTGCCAGCACTGAAGCGTTGTTAGCTCCATGAAGTGACTTTTCTTCAGTTAAGTAGTATAGAAAACTCTTGCCCAGCTCTGCCTCCAGGGCCAAACGAACTCAGACTCTGCAGTCCCCAGGCCCTGCAGGGCTGTTTGCTCACCCGTCTGTGGACGTCCTCCCCGCTGGCCTCATACTTCTGCTGCATGCGCTCCTCCAAGAAGTAGATGCGCAGCTTGAGGCTGAAGTTCTCCTTCTTCAAGTCATTGAGGTGCTGAGACAGAGTACGGTAGCCATTAGACATGGTGAGTGATCCATGGGGTGGAAATCTCCTCTCACCCCTTTTACTGCAGTAACATTGTGAAGCCGAGAAAAGAGGGGAAGCCCAGAGAAATGGGCTACAGCCACAAGGCCTGGGATGCCTATGGAGACATTGGGATGAGCTCAAAGCTCTGGGCGTCAGCTGCCCTTCAGCTCTGGGGCTGCTGCTCAGCTCTGGGGCAGAGTGCAGTTCCATTTCTTTTTTTACCTCCAGGAGGTATTTGAGGAATCCTTGGCAGGCGCTCATCCTGCATGAACCCCTTCGCAAGTGGTGTAATCTGAGACAGGCTGGGGAGGGATCTGCAGCCGTCCCTCACCAACTGCAGGAGATTAGCAGCTCCGAGGGAAACAGGGTGACTAGGGCAGCCCCACTCGCTGCAGAGGGAGACAGAGAGATTGCGCCTGGGCCAGGTGTGGGATGAGTAACATGATCAAGGCACAGCACGACGGGGAAGGAGAGGAGAACCCCCTCAAATGCCACTGGAGATCTGGTTCCATCACATAATCCTGCATCTGAGGAAAGGAAAGAACTCTCCTCTCCCTTCCCTTCATGGGCCTAGTGAGCCCTAAAATTTCCAAGGCTCAGGTGGACCTCCAAACAAGGCCTGTGACCAGGGTTGCAAACCTTGCCAGTATTTCAGTGGCCCAGCAACTAATATAAACTGTCAGGTGAGCAGTAGTGAGGCCTGAAGAGCCAGAAAATCTGCAGTTTCCTTGGTTCCCACTCAAATACACCAATATTGTTCCACCTTTCCAGGTTAAGATTCATTCCGCAAAGTATGGGGTGGGAGCAAGAAATTATTAAAGCTTCCTCTAGGCTGCTGCTATACTTCTCCCCACCTGGCAGTCAAACCATGCTGACCTCTCTGCAAACTTGGCAGACATTCTATTAGAAATTTGCAGGAGGATTGTACATTTGGGAAAGGACTGTGACGTATTTCGCAGGATAGCTCAAATCACAATAGATTCGGCTTGTTGCATAAGAATCCCATCGTCCCATTAATCAGTGCTGGAAAAATGCAATATCTTCAAAACAAAAGCACTTCTACCTAGAGGGGAGTTTCAGTCCCAGTACAGGGAATTTCCAACGGACTCAGGGACAATATGTGGTTTGACTGTTTGGGGGCCATGCTTCCAGACTGCTTACCTTTTCAAAATCCCGCAGCGTTTGGGTCTGTGCTGTGGTGCTCTCGTCAAAGGCTCCTGGGAAGCGGCTCTCGACAAGGGCTGTCTCCAAGCCGCTCAGAACTTTGGGCTGCACCTGCACCATGGAGCAAGCCACATCCAAGTCCTCGGTGCTGGGCGTCTGCAGCAAAGGACCTGTGTTGAAGAAGCTCAAGATCTGTGGCTGGATCTGGCATCTCTGCTGCGTGGTATCAACAAAGGCTGGGGAGCCGCAAGGAGAGAGGTGCATTCAGACCATGGGGATCTCTGCGTCACAGCAAAACTTCATCACAACACCAGACAAAACCCTAGAGCACTGGCACTAGAAAGCCAGGAGATCAGAAGCGCATTCTCCTGCAAGTTCCTCTCTCATGCAGTCTACTTAAAACGGAAGGTACTTTCTGGCCAAGGCAGGGGTTACACGGGAGTAGGGTCAAGGGTTGGCATGGCTGGGCATCTGCCAACGAAGAGTCCCCTGAACCTGCTGCCTTGAGAAGGAGCCAACATTTGTTTCACACTTGCATTACAAAGACAGGAAAACAAAGCAAGAACTCATAGGAATGGAGGATGGAGATAGCACAGCACTGAACAAGGTATGAAAAATGGCAGTAGATATGATCCAAGCCACACAGCACCTTCCCTTTAAGTGGTGGTGGGGAGGGTCATCAGGGGAGAAAAATAACTAATGGGGAACATGATAGAGATTTATGAAAAGTATGTCTGTTGATAAGGTGAAAAAAGTATCTGTAGAACTCTTGAGTTTCCCAAAGAAATAGAATCAGATTGAGGACTTCCGACGGATCGCGAAGTGGAAGCAAGCGAGATCTCTCACTCTGGAGAGTATCTGGCTATTGAGGAAAAACGGGGGTGCTGCAAGGGCACTGCAGCCCCCCAAATACTCTTGGAAGGGAATTCAAGAGGCAGAGAATCCGGCGTTGTCGTTTAGCAGCTCCCTCGGCCATCAGGTAACCCCCTTTTAGGGGGTGAAGAAGAAGAAGAAGAAGAAGAGTTTGGATTTGATATCCCACCTTTCACTCCCCTTCAGGAGTCTCAAAGCGGCTAACATTCTCCTTTCCCTTCCTCCCCCACAACAAACACTCTGTGAGGTGAGTGGGGCTGAGAGACTTCAAAGAAGTGTGACTGGCCCAAGGTCACCCGGCAGCTGCATGTGGAGGAGCGGAGACGCGAACCCGGTTCCCCAGATTGCGAGTCTACAGCTCTTAACCACTACACCACACTAGCTCTCAAGAGTGTGGCGGGGTAGAGATAAGCCGACAGTGGGAGGCCATTGCTGTTTCTCAATAGCGAAGCTCCAAGCTTGTGCAGAGAGCGATCCGTTCTCGACTAAAAGAAACCGGATTAGGACTGGAGAGCTAAATTAAGGAGTAATTAGAACTAATTCGGGGGGGGGGGGGCAAGGTGGAAAACAGGAGGTCAGCCTTGCCTGGAATTTTATTTCTACACAAGAATTTGCAGAGCGGCAAAACTGTAAGTTACCCTAAGTGGGAAAAGTGTGCTTTGGAGAATATACTTAAAGGATTTTAAAAAGGCTTTCTATAAAGGCTAAAAACTAAGATAAGGAGGGGGATTTTATGAGAAAGCTGTAATTGTGGCAGCTGGAGGAGAATTGGCTGCGATCGCTGGAGGATTTTGGAACGGGAAAGAATGGAGACAGAGGAGTGATTTACTTTCACTTTTAAAAGAACTGCGTATCTGGACAGTGTCTTAAACTTTTGACAAGTTTATAACCATAATTCAAGTACTAAAGTGTGAAAAGAGGACTGGAGACAGCTTACCTCTACTGACCTTTTGTTTGGTTTTTCTTCTGGTTGCATGAACTTGGTGGATTTTTAAGAGGCTTTTTTTCCCCTTAAGCAAAGACGGTGTTCCCCCCTTGGTTTAACAGAGACATACTTCGCCATTTTGTTGCCAGTGGAAAAATACCAACTACCAACTACCTCCTGAGATACAATTTAACTGAGAGGATTCAATTTAATACTTCTAACTATTAGAGGGAAAACTTTTGGAAGTGAAAGTTGCTTTAAACAGGAGGGTGTTTTTTACACCCCCCATTTATCTAACTGTCTTTCTTTTTCCCCCCCTCTTCCTTATTTCGTTATATGAGTGAATAAGGAGGTGGCTGCCCCTAGTGGAGGAATTTTGGGATAACCTCATGGATTCTGAATATATTTTGATATAAGGTTTTGGATATTTCAACAACCCAATTGGATTTAGCCGTGAAAGTGGCAAGAAGCATTGATTAAATAAGAATTTGGATTTCCCTGGTCTGTTTGAAACGATTGGAATTTATATATGGACTCAAGTATTTTATAACTATTACTGGGATTTGGCCATTCAAGTGGCAAGAATTGGACTTAAGAAAGATACCTTCAACTGAGTTAATAAGACTATAAGCCTCAAAGTTAATTGGAAGTGATTTCTTAAGGTGTATTAGTGGATAAATTTATTTTATTGGAACTGATTCTTAGGAGACGACTTTAAAGACTGAACTAATTGAAATAAGAGATATAACATATACATATATAAATTTAAAAACTTTGATAATTGTGGTTTTAATTTGGTATTGGTGAGTTGATAATTCTAAATTTATTGTTTATTGTATATTGTATATTGGATGAGGATTTAAGTTGGACAAAGGTATTGTGAGTTTAAAGAATGTCCTATACACAGAAAAAAGGAGATGGTGCAACCCCGGGAGATAGGAAGAGTTCTAAACAAGAACCAGAGTGGAAAGGGGAAATCTTAAGAATGTTTGCAGAGTTAAAAACTGATATTAAAAATATTGAGTCAAATATTGAGACCAAATGGAATCAGGTGGAAACCAAATTAGAGCAAGTGGATAAAAAAATGGATATAACAGTAAATGAATTAAAAGGGCAAATGAAAGAAATTTTTAAGAGAACACAGAATCTGGAGGAGGGGATAAAAAAAACAAAATTAGAAATGAAAGAATTTAGAAAAGATGAAGAGAAAATAAGAGCAGAAGTCTCTGAGGTTAATAAGTCACAGGATGAGCTCTGGGACGCGGTTGCGATGAATGAACTCCGGCAAAGGGAGACAAATTTGGGATTTAGGTCTGTGCCAGAGGTGCAAGGAGAAAAGATTAGAGAGAAATTGACAGCAGAAATTGCCAAATGGATGGGTATGCAAATAGAAGAGGTGGATAAGACAATTCAAAATGCATTCCGAATTAAAACAAGGACTACCAGAGTAAAGAAATTCCCAGGGGATTGTTTAATTATCTTCAAGGACAGAGAAATGAGAAATTAAATTTTGCAAAAAAACAGAGAAAAACGGCTGGAAATTGATGGGAATTATATAATTATTTTTAAAGATGTACCATTGAGGCTTTTGAAAAAAAGAGATTATTATAAACAATTGGTGCAAGTCTTGGAGAAAAATCAAATTGAGTTTAAATGGGAATTTCCGGAGGGAGTAGCATTTACGTATAAAGGAAAGAGGCACAGACTATTGAAACCAGATGAAGTGGACAAATTCTTTAGAAGATATAAAGAGCTCACCAGAGAAGGATTGGAAGAAGAAATGGCAGGGGCAGGAGCTGGAGGAGAGGAAGAAGATTCGTTGGAGTTGGAGGAGAAAGAAGGAAGTGGTAGAAAGAAGAAAGGAAAGAAAGGGGAAAAAGGAGAGGAACGAGAAGAAAAAGAAGAGACAGAAGAAAAAGAAGAAGAGGAAAAGTAAAGTAATATAAAATAAAGAATATTTAACTGACAGACACTATGGCGATGAAGTTGTGGACTTGGAATGTGAATGGAATGAATGATAAAAAAAAGAAATAAAATTGGACATTATTTAAAACAAAAGAATTTGGATATTATTTGTTTACAAGAAACTCATGTGAAAAGAACTCATAGAAAAATTTTAATTAATAAGAAATTGGGAAACGAATTTATCTCATCAGATAAAAGTAAAAAGAGGGGAGTGGTACTGTATATTAAGAGTAAAATTGAAGCAGAACAATTATTCAAAGATGAAGAAGGAAGATTAATTGCTGTTCAAATTAATTGGCAAGGGGAAAAACTGATAATTATTGGAGTATATGCACCGAATGGAAATAAAACAGAGTTTTTTAAAGGTCTGGAAGAAAAATTGTTTGAATACATGGATCAAAAAATTATAATAATGGGGGACATGAATGGGGTGGTATCAATGGAAATGGATAGACTGCGAGTGAAAAGCAGAATGAAAGAGGGGAAACTACCAAAGACTTTTTTTGATATGGTAGAAAACTGTAATCTGACATATATGGAGGTTGAAACACCCATTAGAAAAACAATTTACTTTTCACTCGGAAGCAAATCAATCACTGTCGCGAATAGATCAGATATGGATATCTAATGAATTATCTTTGAGATTCACAAAAGTAGAGATTCAACCAAAAGTTTTATCGGACCACAATCCGATCAAAGGTATATTAAAATGTTATGAAGAGAAATCCTTCCGGTGGAGATTAAATGATAATCTTTTTAATGATCAGAAAATTGTGGAAAAAGCACACCAATGTCTAACTGATTATTTTCTAAATAATGTAAATAAAGGAACTAAGATAAGTACGGTCTGGGATGCTAGTAAAGCAGTAATGAGAGGCTTCTTTATACAACAAAATGCTATTAAAAACAGAATGAGAGAAAAAGGGAAAAAAGAAGTCCTGAAACAAATTATGGAGAATGAATGAAAATTTATTACCAGACCTGGAGATGTAAAAATGAAACAAAGCATAAAATTGCTCCAAACACAATTTGCAATGATGATCAACAAGGAAGTGGAATGGAATATAAAAAGAATGAAACAAAAGAACTTTGAATGGGCAAATAAATCAGGGAAATGGTTAGCATGGCAAATTAAGAAAAGGAAGGAACAAAATATGATAAATAAGATAAAAATAGAAGATCAAGAGATTGTTAATCCAAAAGAAATAAGAAAAGGATTTGTGGACTTTTATAGAGATTTATATAAGAAAAAGGAGAGATGCAACAAAAAGAAAATAGAAGAGTATCTAAAGAAGAAAGAAGTGCAGAAAATAACTGATAGCGACAGATTTAAATTGAATGAACCGATTGAAATAGAGGAAATTAATATGGCTATAAAAGAATTGAAAAGTGGGAAGACACCAGGCCCAGATGGATTCAGCGCAAGATATTATAAAGAGATGAAACATATACTGCTTGCACCAATAAAAGAAGTGATGAATAATATACTAATAAGGGCTGA